GTGAGCCGAGGAACAAGGAGGAGCTTCTCCTTCGGTGCACGGTCAGTCCAAACGCCTCGGTCATATCGATGCCTCCCTTTGCCGCCTGATCTGCCGGTATCTCCCAATCAAAACGGTAAACAAGGTTTGCTAGCATGATCTCGATGGTGGCAATAGCAAAATTTATGCCCGGGCATATCCTCCGCCCACTACCGAATGGCAAGAAATGAAAATTGTTCCCATTGTAGTCAGGTGCTATGCTATTGAGAAACCTCTCTGGTATGAACTCTTCAGCATTTTCCCAAAAGCTAGGGTCTCTGGACAGAGCCCATGCATTGACGAAGACACGTGTGCCAGAGGGTATTGTGTAGCCCTCGATATCACATTCAGCAATAGAGAGGTAGGGTACGAGAAGTGGCCCTGCGAGGTGTAGCCGAAGCATCTCCTTTATCACTGCCTTTAGTAGGGCATTCTTCCCAGTTGCTCTTCAGTAACTATCTCCTGCCCTCTTGGTACCACACTCCTAACCTCGGCCTGTAGCTTGGCCATTAGTTGGGGCTTCCGAATCAACTCGGCCATGGCGTATTCAAGCTCTATGTACGCCGTGTCCGTGCCGCCCTCGAACATGATCACCAAGATTGCCTTGACGTTGTCTCTAGTGAGACCGTATTCATGCTGAATGGAGAGAAGGACATCGATGAAATCACTCTCTTCATTGTCTAGGTCTAGCACCGAGGAGGACCGTTTGGTGGCATGATCATCGATGAGCTTGTCGAGCAGTTGGTCCCATCTCTTGTTGACATTATGGGCCTTGGCGCAAAGCAACCTCCTAACAGTAGTTACCCTCGCCAAATTGGGGAAGTAATCCTCAAGATTGAAACCACCGAGTAGCAATGAGTTGGCCTGAATTAGTTCCCAAAACATTTGGTTTTGACCCTCTTCACGGAAGAACTTACCAGACACGGCGTGACACACTATGTCATTGGTAAACCAATTGAGCAACTCACTCAGATCGACAGTAGTGCGTGCCACCGCTGCCTCGTTGATCCTGGCCATTACCAGGCGCACCTCCTGTTGTCTTGCCCTGCTGTAGGAGCGAACCTTCTTGTTGGTGAGGAGGTGTGTGGTGGCAATCTTCTTGACTTGCCGCCAATACTCGCCATAGGGAGAGAATGCTACATCTGACGAGCCATAGAAGAGGATGTCGGTGACGGCAGAGTAGGTCCGTGACGCGAACACGTGGTCATTCGTCCGCAAGATGGCCTGCGCCGCACGAGCGGATGACACCACGAGAGTCGGGACGGTGCCGAGGCGGAGAAGCATTAGGTCAGGGCCGTGCTTGATGGCAAGTTCACGGAAGGAGACATACGGGAGGGAGCCAATGAGGTGAAGGTGGCCAATCACAGGGAGCCTTCCTGGCGGCGAGGGGAGCTTGTCAAACAGCTCGTCGTCCCTGGTTTTCGCCCGGCAAAGTTTGATGAGTAGGAGGAGAAGAGGGCACAGGAGCGCCAGCAGGAGAGTGTAGTAGGATGCCATTGTTGGCTGTGGAGCTACCGGCGATGGATGCTCATGCTCATGGTTGTGGTGCTGGTGCAAGAGTAGTAGTGGAATTGGCACTAGCATCACAGCCATGGCTGCCTAATCTCTCTAGTGTCTTCTCCAAGAGGTTGGTGTGTGAGACCTGTCACTTGATGAGTTGTGTTCAATATATTATCTTGGCACAGATATGATCCTCCTGATATATATATGCTCATTAATTTGTCTAGAATATTGTCGAGTCGACGTCGCAGCCGGCTGCTAGCTAACGATCTAGTAGAGCATTCTAGCTAGCTAGTAGCTTGCTTGTCGTGCCCTGCAGTGCAATAGGCTTGCTTTGTTGCGAAACTTAACAATACGTGTCGTACCATACTTTTTTTTTAAAAAAAAAGCCCGTGCCGTACCATATACTTGTTCTGAATCAATGGAACTCTTAACTCTTTTGAATTGTCAAAAAAAAAACTTGCTTTTACACCATAGTCCAGGTTAAATAATTTTAAAACAGATTTCTATACCCTTATTATACATATATTCTTTTTGTCAGCTTTCCCGTTAAATTCATTGTCACTAGTACACAAAAAAATTTTCCTACACAAGGAGCTCCCATTTTCCTATACGGACCTCTTTCATGTTCGTCTATAAAAAATTAGCCTTCTATTTTCACGCGGATCCTTAAGAGACCCGTACGGAAAAATCGATTTTTACGTGCGGACCTCTCCAGTGGACCGCACGCGAAAATATCTCTTCCTTTTTTTCCCTCTCCTTCACTTCAAATTTTTCACCTTCTCTTTTCCTTTCCCCTTTTGTTCTCCCTCGATCACTCCTCTCTCTCTGCCTTTCCTCTCCTCCCCTCCCCTCCCCTCCCCACCACTCCTCTCTCTCTCCTCTCTTCCACTCCCCACCAAGTGCACGGGGCGCTGGAGGCGCTCTGCTCACTGCTGCCGCCGAGGCGGCGGCCAGGAGCGGGCGGGAGGCGGCTCAGAATATGTTCGGGTTCCGCGTCACCGTCTTTGGGATTGTTGGGCCGTGTATTATGATGTAGTATAATAGGGACGTGTCCAAGGGTCCAAGATATACCCTATAACCTATATATTCTGTAGTCGTCATTGAGTTAAGGTTGAATTTTGCTTAGATTATTTCTGCCATCGCAGTATCGCTGCTAGTTCGGTTTGTGTAACCCCAACTTTGAGTTCTTAGTTAATCATTCATCTACAAGAGTGCAATTGAGTTGTTGTCTCTCTTATTCTTGGTTGTGCTCTACGATTCACTCGTAGCGATTAGCCTTCTCGGCGAGGTAAATCGGGTTTCGGCATGGTTGATAACCAAAAGAGACATGGTACTGCGATTGCAGGATTTGGATCGTGTTGATCAGAAACCGGATCATGAGTCAAGTTTCTGCCAAATCGATAGTTATCTTCACCTGACAGAAGATCGAGCATCCCGTGGGCCGTGGCCATCAATTCCTTGAATATCTATATAGATGAAAACTACTCACCTGCATAGAATGAGAATTGTCAAATGCATATTATATAATACTGTCTCTTAAGTGTCACTAGCCATTTCGTGACTGCGATACGCGTTAGTTTAGTTTGCTGATAAAATTTAAGTTTGCCACATGGAAAAAATACATTTGCCCACGTTGGTCCCTTGTTCCACCTCTTGTCATGTCACTTTCTCTCTGTCTGTCCTTGTCACCTCCTCCATTTTCCTCCGCAATCATCCTGCGATTTGATTCGATTCATTTTGCACGGCGGATCGAGGAAAACCAGTGCAAACAAAAAGGAGTATGTATAAGGTCATTGTACACTACTGCTACGTGACTGAAATTGGCTACCAACCTCATCAAATTCTTCTTGTATTAAGCATATATTTTTTAAGATATTGTAAAAGAAGAATTGGAAATGGGAAAGGAACTCTGTTTTGGCACTACAAGAAATATGACATTCTGTGACGAATTTCTCGTGACATCGGAGCTATTCGTCATTAGCACATTCCATTTTATGACGATTAGTATGAGATGGGTGGCTTAGTGACGAAAAAAATATGTTCGTCATTAATACCAACTACAAATCGTCATAAAGTATTTCAATGAGAGATTGTGACGAATATTAATTTGTCATGAGGGGAAAAAGCAAACGTCATAGATTTATATATGTATTTCTAGAAGCAATTTAATCAAGTGAATTAATAAGGAAACAATTTTTTCCTTTAAAAATCATGGCCGGAAATATTATTTAATATTATACATGGTCTAAATTATTCTTTGAAATTTTCTGTGAATTGTCGAAGCTCAATAAATAATTTTAATACCATAATATTCATTTAACCTATTAAAATAAATAGAAAACTAATTAAAATCCTTATCTCTGTAATTGGGCCTTTTTCGGCCCAAGTGTTACTCTCTCCCTCCCTCAGCTCTCAGCCTCTCTCTCCCTCCTTGGGCTGGCTTCCCCTTTCCCTCCTCCCTCTTCGGGCCGCCGGCCCAGCTCTTTCGCTCCTCCCTCGACGCAAAGTCTATTAGGCCTCCCTCCTCTCAATTTAAATAATTTTTTGGGTAGTAAATAATTTTAAATGAAAAAATTGTCAACAAGAAAGTTATATAACTTATCAAGATCTACAACTTTTGTTTTGGTCATTTTGCTATATGACTTTGTTTCAATAATTTGAATTTGAATTTAAAATTATGAAAACTTCAAACAATATTTTTAAATACTAAATGATTTCAACTGAAAAAGTCATCCACAACAAAGTTGTATAACTCATCTACAACTTTTGTTTTGGTCTTTTTGCTATATGACTTTGAAATTTGAATTTGAATTTCAAATTATAACAACTTCAAACAACATTTTCAAATACTAAGTGATTTCAACTGAAAAAGTCATAAACAACAAAGTTGTATAGCTCATCAATATCTATAACTTTTACTTTGGTTATTTCTTCATCCGATAAAGTAATAGTAACGTTGTTTACAAAATTTATTTCTCTCTTACAGTCTATAAAACCATATAAGAGATGGATTTTAATACTTTGTATGTTTCTATTTTTTTTTCCTTGGCAACATTGAGCATGAACAGAAAACTCAATTACCTGATTTTGGATTAAACTAAATGAGTGAATTAATAGTAAAAAGAAAGAAAAATTTAGAAGTGTATATGTGATTAACATCAAGATGGCATGGATATTGTGTCTGGTGAGATTGTACTCTTGTTGATGATCGAGCAGAATATCAACAAAATCTGACTCTTGCTCCAGAATATCAGCGTTATGTACACTACTGTTTTGTGACTGAAATTGGCTACCAACCTCATCAAATTCTTATGAATTTGTTGCTGTTACTTATTAATTTCTATTCTTTTCACACCTTAGAGCCACTTTCTTTCGGCTGTCACCATCAGGTTGCAACGATATAGAGGTGAAGAGAGATTACAGTATATAAGGTACCAAAAATAATCTTTTTTTATATAATGACCGAAAAGAATCTTCCATGCGCATTTAAACAGAGTATGTACCTGTACTTAATTCAACATAAATTTCTTAACAAACGTACATATTGACATCTGCTATATTATAGCATATATTCAACATCTTTATTTAAAACATATTGACTTTCTTCTTGTTATTTACTTCTATTTGTCCCCCTCAAGAGACGAATGGACTCTCTATTTTATTTGGTACTATTATATATATCTTATAGCAGATAACTACGCTATTGCTTGGTATCTATGGCTACCATACAGAACTCATGGCTATTGAAATGTTGGCCATATGTTGTGTTATGTGATCTTGATAACGTGTGATCTCGGGATGAGGTAGAGTTTCTCTTTTCGCGCCATTGTAAGTGCGAACTGATCTGTCATATCGACATCATCTTTGTCCATTCCAACCGGGAGCTCCCAGTCAAAGCAATACATAAGGTTTGATAGCATGAGCTCAACAGAGGCCATCCCAAAATTCATCCCAGGACAAATCCTTCGTCCAGCTCCAAATGGGAGAAACTGAAAGTCGGTTCCCTTGAAATCAACATTATCTATAGTGTCTCCACTATCCATAAACCTCTCTGGCATGAACTCTTCTGAATTCTCCCAACATTTAGCATCTCTGCCAAGAGCCCAAACATTGATGATGACACGTGTGTTGGCTGGGATTGTATAACCATTGGCATTGCACTGAGCCATGGAGAGGCGCGGGAGGAGGAGCGGAACTGGTGGATGCAACCGAAGTGTCTCCTTTACGACGGCTTTTAGGTAGGGCATATTGTTCAAGTCATCTTCACTTACCATTTGGGTAGTTGTGTTCTTCCTAACTTCATCTTGTAGTTTGGTCATGAGATGTGGTTTTCTTATGAGCTCGGACATAGCAAATTCAAGGGCTATATATGAAGTGTCCGTCCCCGCTGCAAACATGTCCTATACAGAAATTAAAGATTAGCTAGATTCGTCAACTCAAAATATATATATTATATTAACGTTGTTTGGAAGAAACACATGTACAAAACTCAATTACCTAATTTTCGATTAATCTAGATGATAGAATTAATAGTAAAAAAGAAAGAAAAATTCAGAAGAACATATGTATAAGTGATTAATTACCATCAATATGGCATGGATATTGTGCCTGGTTAGATTGTACTCCTGTTGACGATCGAGCAGAATATCAACGAAATCTGACTCTTGCTCCTCCTGATCATCATCACGGTCATCATCCATCTGTACTTGATCGTCACGACGCAGCGACGATTTCTTTTCATGCTCGCTTACGATGTCACCAAGAACACTGTCCCACTTCTCTTTGAGCTTCTTGGTGTCGGCGCTCACCACTCGCCTCAGCAGATCCACCTTCGCCAAGCTCGGGAAGTAGTCTTCCAGGTTGAAGCCAGCGTACTGATCAGCGTTGCCGGCGGCGAGCTCCATGAACAGCTTGTTCCGGCCTTCTCGCCGGAACGACGACTTCCCGCACACGGCGCGGCACAGGACGTCGTTGGTGAAGGAGCCGAGCAGCTCCCTCATGTCGACGGCGGCGCCCGCGGCCGCCGCCTCGTGGAGCTTGGCGACGGCGATGCCCACCTCCTCCTCGCGGCCACGGCGGAGCGACTGGACCTTCTTGGGGCTGAGCAAGTGGGCGGCGACGAGCTTCCTCGCCTTGCGCCAGTAGTCGCCGTAGGGGGAGAAGGAGATGTTGGAGGAGCCATAGGCGAGGATGTCGGCGATGGCGGAGCGCGGCCGCGACGCGAACACGTGGTCGTGAGCCCGGAGGACGGCCTCGGCGGCGCGCGGGGACGAGACGACGAGGTTGCGCACCTGGCCGAGCTGGAGGAGCATGAAGCCGTCGGCGGCGTGCTTCTCGGCGAGGTCGCGGAGGGAGACGTGAGGGTTGGAGCCGACGAGGTGCATGTGGCCTATCACCGGCAGCCTCGGAGGCGACGGTGGCAGGACATCATCGTTGCTCTTGCTCGCCGCCGATGATCTTCTGGTTGATGCAGACAGGTAGTAGTGAAGAAGCACCAGCAGCAGCAAGATGATGATCATGATGAGGACGAAGGGCAGTGGCTCCTCTGCCATTGGAGCCATGAATTTGTCATGGAAGAAGAGCATCAATTGAACAACCATGGCTGCTAGTACTAGCTAGTGAGCTAATTATACTTGCTAACTAACTAGGGTTCTTCTTGTAGTGAAATCGATCGAAAGTTTGTGGAAGCTAGATGCATGACGAATGGTTGGATGCCTTCGATTTCTCCTCTTCCTTGGGAGGCGGTAGCTAGCTAGAGTACTGTGCCACGCGTCGCGTCTCTTCGGACGCTTCGCTTGTTTGCGTTAGAAGCCACTATAGCTGACTGGTGTGTGAGCTCCATGGCCGTTGCTTTGTGTAACCAGCCAAAAAACACGGGAAGATTTCTGGCCCATTCATTTATTATTGACGTTATCGACGACTCATCTCGTCCTGATCCCAATCTCTATCGATATTGCTCTGCGTGTGTTCCCTTTCTGCTGTAAAAGTTGTAATCCCACCGGTTTCATAGTTCTTGATATTTCAAACACGTGAAAAAGCTGTTCTTAGAGTAGACATAAAGGAATTAGGGTGTGTTTGGTTGTCGGTCACACTTTGCCACAACTAACATTAGCCAAGTTGTGGCAGCTATAAAAGTGTTGCTAGCCACAAAGTGTGGCAAAATTGGCACGAAAATTAAGTCTATAACATGTGGGAGATGCTATTGAAAAAATATGGCAAGCCATGATTGTGGCAGTGAACCAAACACATGCCTAACAAACTGTGACAGCCACAGAATTAGTGTAGCAAAGTGTAACCATGAACCAAACGCCCACGTTCTCACTTGGCAAATGTGCACTCACTAAGATGTCTACTCTAAAAAATTAAACAAATATGTAAAATGCTATATGTTAAGTCCATGTATTACTCGTTATCCCTGAGTGAGTGCTATATTGGACCTAATTAACTTGTCTTTTTTTTTTTTGGAAAACTAATTGAGATTCTCCTAGCTAAGTTCGTTTATCATATTTTGATTTCGACTTAAAGAAAAGTTATGTCCTGGTGACGACAGGTGTCTCTTTCGGCCGAGCTCTTTTGTTGGAGTTACCAATATATATATGAAGGCTCGGGCCCGATGGCCCGGCCCATGCATGACGCGAGGTTTTGGCTCGGCCCAGATACGGCATGACCCGACTGATGTCGAGCCCATGCCGGTCCGACCCATATGTTTGGTCGTGTCTGGACCTCTATCTTGGCACGGTGGGCTGGCCTGACCCAGTACAGTTCAATAATTAGGGAGGCAAAATAAATGAGGGACGAAAAATAGACTTACTTTAGTCATATAAGACATGGCCAAAAGAGACGAGGGATGCGAAATGGATTTATTCTAGCCATATAAGACAAGGTCGAAAGAGATGAGGGAGCAAATAGACTTATTGCAACAACGAGCACGATAGACTTTGTTCCTTCTAGCCGACCCAGCACGGCCGAGTCTTATTGGGTCGTGTTTGGGTCGTTAGTGCAGCCCATAGACAGGCCTGGCCTGACCCAGCATGAAATTAATATAGTATTTAATAAAACTAATTTAGTATTGTAAACGTAGCTAATTTTTTCTATAATAAAAATAAAGTCAAAAGACTTGAGAATACGGATTGTTCCCATATGAATATAATGTGGTATAGGAGGAGTATATTATACTGTAATTCTTCAGAAAGTAATGCTGATCAGACTTCTTGCGTAAAACGATTCTTTTACTCCAACCTCGTGGGACAGAGACCAATCAAATGACTCTGTTTTAATCTGGAGATCTGTTCAAGTCAATATACATTATTTTTTGACCTTCAAAAGGGATAACATATCCAAGTAGGCAGGTCGTCATCGTCATGTATATTTAGGTGGCATGGTAGCCTAAGGGCCTCATCTTTTTTTTTCTTAAGCTTATCAGCCAAAATTTAAATTTTCAATTTTAAATTTGGAATTGATTTTGAGGTTTTTTCATCAAAGTTTATTTTTCAGCATTTGCTTTTAAATCGCTAAGGACATGTACATAAAAGTTTTATTCACAAATTACTTTTCGTTTACAAATATATTTTTTTCTTATTCCGCAATGGGTCCGTAATTCTCCAAAATTGTTATATATAGACGCAATTGATCCTTTTATCAAGTTTTGTAACTTATCTCAATATATATATATTAATTACCACGTTTTAATTAAAAAAATTCCTAGCATTGAGGCCTGAAATGAAACTAGCTAGCATGCACAGGGCCTTGCCAACTTACAGATTGTACTTACTCGAAAATTAATTAGACATGTGTGCGCTTAACAGGGGTGGATTCACCGTTGGGGCTTGTTGGGGCTCAAGCCCCAGCTCCATTTTCCGCCCCCAAGTATTCTCCCGGTAAGCTCAAAGCTAGCAGAGGACACCAAGGCAATTAGAGAAGGTATATTTTGGGCCCGCAGCTTTAGAGAAGAAGGCAACTCGCGTATAGGTCTGTGGTGTGATTAGTGCTCCATCTGCTAAATGGTTTATTAATTGCTAAATGGTATACCAAGCCTAACCGGTGAAGACAATTAGGCAGATATTATGACCCATTGGAGGGTCTAATACAACTGGACAAACATGATTTTACAGAATGAAACATGGATTTTAAGATCATATTTTTCAGGAAATATGATTTTCAGTGCTGAGTATTAGCACCACCTCTATTTTCATCCTGGATTCGTCACTGGCGCTTAATATGTATAATCATGACTTAATTTGTCTCTTGATCATTTCGTATTGACTCAAAGAACGACAGAAGAGTTCGACATATTTTTAATAGCGATAATCTCTGTTAGAAAATATAATATATGCAGGTATATATACGATAATATTAGGCGGCTAAGAAAATAAAAAATATATAATCATATATTAAGATTTGAAGACATTGGCCACCGAAACAAAAGAGAAAAAGACCAAGTACACAAGTGTTCATACGCATGAGAGAGACATGCACTTGATTAATTTCCAAGTTTTTAGCATGAATGCACTCACACTCACGTGACACGTCACATAAGAACGCCATTGATCGATCGTACTCCCACCGTTCCAAATGATCGGCAAATATTTTTATTAGGATAGTATATTCCTAATTGATATGATTGTACTCTCTATGTATGTTCATTATCCGTGCATTAAAATAAATGAACATGGTACATGTATCCATACACACAACTATTTAATTTATTTACAACTAACATGCAACATCCGGATATATATAGTTGTCGACGTTTGATGTCGCAATTCTGGTATTTGCATAGTATGGGGATCGTCGGTGCTAGGATATACGCGAGACTGAGGTAAAAGAGATGGAGACGAGAATTTTTATACAGGTTCGTGCCCCTGAGTTGTCAGGTAATAACCCTACATCCTGTTGGCCGGAGCCGGAGTTGCTTTTATTCACCATAATCACACCAGTACAATATGTGGGTAGCCTATCTAACTGTTGTCGACATGTCGGTCTGAAGGTCTGACTCGTAGTCGACAACAGGGTAGCCTTCCTTCTCGAATCCGTGTCCGGCGAGATCAGAGATAGCGCTTTCGTCTCTCCTGACGGTATCCGGAGACACCATAGGGAAATAGCCATGCCTATCCCTGAAGTCGATATCCGGCGGCGTGTCTTGGCGTATGTTGGCTTGTATTGGCTTCTGTTGTTCCGTATATTGCGGTGGTTGTTGATTGTGATGGGTCTCGATCATGGTGACCGTGTTGATCATGTTGATCATGTCGATCGTCTGTCGATTGTCTTGTCCCCTCTCCTCCTAGGGGGTTTTGTATTTATACCCATAGGTATCTCCTTGTCCAAGTAGAACTAGGGAAACTAATATGGATACAATCCGAGTAGTCCTGGTCGTTTCCATGTAAAACTCTGGTTGTCTTTCTTTATCCGGAACTCCCTCCATATCCGCAGGTTGTTTCCGTATAGGACATGGTATGTGGTGGGCCCTGCCGAGATTTAGTCAACTACTATTAGGTATGTGGTATCCATAACCTGACAATAGTACTCCAGTATAAAATAGTTATTAACTCTTTTTTCTGTAAAACCATCATGTTGTATGTTGATCAATTGGGAACGGAGAGCGAGTATACTATTGATAAGTGATCAATACTCTCGGAGCCATCGTTTCACTTATTTGCGGAATAAGCGAAATGACATATTTATAAATGAAAAGAAACTTTTATATACGTGTTTTTAGCGATCTAAAAGCAAAAGCAAATATTAAAAAATAAACTTCGATAAAAAATCTCAAAATCAACTTCAATTTTAAAGTTAAAAATTTAAATTTTACCTGATAAGTATAAACATAAGAAAAGATAAGGCAGTCCAAAGTAATACAAGGAAAAGACAGACAACACAAACACGCAAGTACGTACTAATGAATGATATAGATGAATTAGGCATCCAAGGCTCGATCGGCTATAAAATCACAGCGCAGATTAACACTCTGGCTCACCTCAATCGATGAAGCAATTAGCAATGGAGCTCAACAACACCGAGCCATTAACAGCTAGTAGGGCACAAGCAGCAGCCGTGTTCTTGCTCCTTCCCGTCGCGCTCCTGCTGCTGCTTCTCCGCTTTGCGCGAGCAACGACAATGGCAGGAGATCGCAACAGCGAGCTTCTTCTGAGCAAGCTCCCTTCGCCGCCGCTGAGGCTGCCGGTGATCGGCCACATGCACCTCGTCGGCTCCCTCCCACATGTCTCCCTCCGAGACCTCGCCGCCAAACATGGCCGCGACGGCCTCATGCTCGTCCACCTCGGCTCCGTCCCCACCCTCGTCGTCTCCTCGCCGCGCGCCGCCGAGGCCGTCCTCCGCACCCACGACCTCGCCTTCGCGTCGCGGCCGCGCGCCATGGTCCCCGACATCATCACCTACGGCGCCACCGACTCGTGCTACGGCCCCTACGGCGACCATTTCCGCAAGGTCAGGAAGGCGGTCACCGTCCACCTGCTCAACTCCCACAAGGTGCAGGCCTACCGCCCCGCCCGGGAGGAGGAGGTGCGGCTGGTGATCGCCAAGCTCCGCGGCGCGGCGGCGATGGCGGGCGCGCCGGTGGACATGACCGAGCTCCTCCACTCCTTCGCCAACGACCTCATCTGCCGCGCCGTGTCCGGCAAGTTCTTCCGGGAGGAAGGGCGGAACAAGCTCTTCCGGGAGCTCATCGACACCAACGCCTCGCTCCTGGGAGGGTTCAACCTAGAGGATTACTTCCCGAGCTTGGCGAGGACGAAGCTGCTCAGCAAGGTCATCTGCGTCAGGGCAATGAGGGTCAGGAGAAGATGGGACCAGCTGCTCGACAAGCTCATCGATGACCATGCCACCAGGTTGGTGCGCCGCCACGATCATGATCAGCAACAAGACAGTGACTTCATCGACATCTTGCTCTACCATCAGGAAGAGTATGGCTTCACCAGGGACAACATCAAAGCTATACTTGTGGTGAGTGCTAGCTGCTACATGCCAACTTAAATTTAGCTACTGTTGATGTAGAATCAAGAGTTTACACTTCCCATGTTGTACAGATTACGCTACATTACACAAACCGCCATACACTATTAATTTATGTTATTTATGCGATATGTAGGACATGTTTGAAGCAGGCACGGACACATCGTACTTAGTTCTAGAATCTGCCATGGTTGAGCTCATGCGCAAGCCACACCTCCTAGCCAAGCTAAAGGACGAGGTGAGGAGGGTCATACCGAAAGGACAAGAAGTAGTCAATGAAGATAACATTGTCGACATGGTCTATTTAAAGGCTGTTATCAAGGAGACACTACGGCTGCACCCACCAGCTCCTCTCTACATCCCCCACCTGTCTAGAGAAGATTGCAGTATCAGCGGCTACATGATCCCTACAGGAATACGTGTATTCGTCAATGCATGGGCACTCGGTAGGGATGCTAAATTCTGGGACATGCCAGATGAGTTCCTACCGGAGAGATTCATGGATTCAAACATTGATTTTAAGGGACATGATTTTCATTACCTGCCGTTTGGGTCTGGACGAAGAATGTGTCCTGGAATTCACTCAGCAACGGTTACCCTCGAGATTATGCTGGCTAACCTTATGTACTGTTTCAACTGGAAGCTACCAGCAGGTGTGAAGGAGGAGGATATTGATATGACAGAGGTGTTTGGATTGACAGTGCATCGGAAGGAGAAGCTCTTCTTAGTCCCGCAAGCTGCCTAAGTACATGCCTATACAAGAATCAGTACTACGTTCGTTGGGGCAAGTTATATTATTCATCCAGCAATCACGTGCTAAATCAATTAGTGTTACATGTTGTCGTTAATTGTTCGTGTAATAATAAGAGCTATTATTGGCACATGTCATTTCACTTGTTTGTAAAACAAATTGTCCATGTGGATCACCCTCCATTTGTGCTGTTACTTGTATAATGTATACTACATATACACCCAAACAATATAATCATCATTAATGTTTGTGATATTCATTGGTTGTTTAATTTGGTCCTTCTGTAAATTCAAACTCTTCAATATATATATATATATATATATATATATATATATATATATATATATATATATATATATATATATATATATATATATTAATTCAGACAGGGTGGATCTAATAAATATTGGGCCTAGATCTTGAGCTGGCCCAGCCTGCATTGGCCTAGATCCTAATTAGGAATAAGTCTATTTTGCATTCCTCATATGTTGCCCTTGTCAAATCGCATCCCTCAATCGTAAAACCGGGCATAATGCCTCCCCGAGCTTCAAAAAATGGTGCAAATTGACTCCTTTGGTGGTTTTGAAAGCGATTTATGTTGAAGTGGCACGTTGATTTGGTCCAAGTATCCTAATGTGATAGCCCAATCATCAAAAGAATTAAAAATAGAAGTGGGCCCCACATTTTAGTGACAAAAGTAAAAATAAAAAACGGTGGGGCCCACTTGTCAGCCCTACTTATCCCTTTCTTCTTCGTCCTCCCTTCTTCCCACACGAGACTACGCGGCAGCGGGAGGCCAGCAGCGTGACAATATGCTACTTCACTCTGCTGCTCCTTTATCCTCCCGAGCCGCTTCTCATGGCGACCCCGATCGGAGAACTGGAGGTCGGGGTCGGAGTGCGGCGTTGACAGCGAGAGGTTCGATGGGTGCAAGCGTGGGAGGCCACCGTCGGCCCCTTCATCACGAGAGGAGCTGATAGCCCAATATAGTAAAGATAATAGTATGCATACATCACTCTAATTTAATTTTAGAGCATTTCGTAATACTACGCAATGCCGCAACCACGCGCGAGCTGTTTTTCTAAGCTAGAAAAAATAAATAAAGAAAAGAAAAGCCATCGATCGCCGAGACCTAACCCTTATAGTCTACAAGGTAGACCCTCCGTATTTTAATGTATGACATCGTTGACTTTTTAATCAACGTTTGACCATTCGTCTTATTTAAAATTTTTATGCAAATATAAACATATTTATGTCATGCTTAAAGAACATTTGATGATAAATCAAGTCACAATAAAACAAATGATAATTACATAAAGTTTTGAATAAGACGAACGGCCAAACATTCATCAAAAAGCAAACGACGTCATACATTAAAATATGGAGGGAGTAATAATTAAGGATTATGCGGTCTAGTGTTTGCTCTGATTCGGACATCACTCGTTTTATTTGTTCTAGGCCGCCTTAGGAGAGCGCTTCCACGTATGCATGCATATGGGTCTTCTTTTATGGCCGGCCCAACGTCGCTAGCCCATGTGCTCAGCATGTTCCTAGCCTCTCAATTAATTTTTTGCCCAGTTAAAAAAATTATAATTTTATAAAAAATAGAAAAAAATACCCGTGTGTTGCAACAGGTGAAGGCTATTTTAATCGTATTATTGTTAGATTTTTTTTTCTATTTAAAAAGTCTATGGGATTTTTTATTTTGATAGTATTTATATCTAATTCGGAACTCTTATTAGGACGATTGGTCATGTCATGTACGTTGCTTTCTAATGGCTTGGCAAGAATTATGAAACAATTAGTTGTCCGACTCTCGTCCCAAGTTAACATGCAAGTTTTTTAAAATAATTTTTTAATATATTTTCAAAAGTGAATAAACTTAAAAACTGACTCAAATACGAACGATGTAACGATACAGCTGAAACATCTTTAATTTTTATAATATCTTTTGATTTTTATAAAAGTGTACATGCATTCGGAAGAAATAGGGAGAAGCAATAAAGAAAAATTAGGGGAGAACACCAAACTGAAACAATAGAAAAATACCAAGAAATAATTTACTAAGAATTATGTGGGCCAAGACAGATGAGGCCCATCAGTTAAAAAGAGGGACACTCAGCCCGTGGTGGCCAAGACGCTCGGCCCGGAGGTCAGCCGTACGGTAGAACGACCCCAGGGTTGCACCGGTCATCTGCGTTGCGCTCGGTAGAAGAAAATAGAATCGGACACACGAAAGGAAGATATACGAGTAAAAAAACAGAATCGGAAAATCCGGAAACTAAGCTACAGATTCACGACGTACCAAAGCACATGGTAAAAACATCTTTAATTTTTATAATAGTAGAGATAAGAATTCATGGCACATGTCATTTACTTGTTTGTACAAATTAATTAAAATGTCCGTTGAATATGCATATACATATATGTCACCGTCCATCATTGTTTTTCATATTCACGGGTGGCTTTGGTCCCTATCAATTTGAAATACTTAATCTTTTTCTTTCTTTTTCGAGACAAACTTTTTTTTCTAAGTAATTGATATGCCAAACGTTGCAGACGTTGTAGACCCAGATTAGCAAACATTGCACACATGATCGATGACACCCGCAGGCCTAGACCGGCGGACCAAATGGAGTTAATAGCATGCCAAACGGCTTATTAGTGATAAAAAATAATTTGTAAGTAAACTTTTATATATGTTTTTAGCGAGTTAAAAACCAATGCTGTAAAAAAAACTATGTCGAAAATATCTCTTTTAAAAATTTAATTTTAGTAGCGACTGATACATCATAAGGCAAACGATGAGGTCTGCTTGAAAGCTTACAACACATACAACTTAAGCCCCCCTCCCATCAACACTATTACGGTCTAATCGAATATCTTACGGTTTGAAAAGCGTGTCGTCCATGTGATAATCTAGCGGGAAACGTGCTGTCTGTCTTCACCCACCTATGAGATCGATGCCTTTTTAATATTATTATCACGTACTTGCATGGTACTCCACTTATATTCCCTCCGTACTCATAAAGGAGGTCGTTTAGGACAATGTTGAAGTCAAACCTTAAAAATATAAATCATAAACATCTCTCAAGTTGTTGAGTTAGAAAATATTAAAATTATATAAATAGATTTGTCTTGAAAAATATTTTCATAAAAGTATACATATATCACTTTTCAATAAATATTTTTATAGAAACAAAAAGTCAAAGTTGTGTTTTGGAGACCGTGTCGTTATCTAAAACAACTTCCATTATGATTACGGAGGGAGTATACCTCCTCAAAACACCTTCATATATGTTCCTCGAAAAAGAAAACTTTTATATGTCACCAACAAGATAAGGCATTCTCCCTTCATTAAAAAAAAAATCAATTCTAACTATATACTTGAACATGATGCATATCCTACATAGCTTGGTCCCTTTTTTAGATGGAGCTAGTATGTGATAAGACACCACACCTATTAGCAGTGAAGAGACAACATAAATAGTTAAATATATAGATTCTCAATGAGATCCATAGACATATGTCTTTTTTACTTATATATAGCTAATGCTATAATGTTGAATATCTCTCGTTGATCTTAAGCTGCGATCCACTTAATAAAATAATTTCTATTAGTCCTTCTTGCATGCATGAAGGATTAATCAAACCAACAAACATGTTGAAAAGACATAAAGTAATTTTATATTCCGTATGGGATTAGCCACAATTTTTTTTTACAAATATAGCTTCCTATGCATAAAATTATACTACAAATATTAAGTTATTACTTATGCTCACTTTTACATGCATATTGGAGATGCCTATAATTACTTAGCCACAATTAACTTTTTCTCTAAAATTAATATAAATGGTTATGAAAAAACGTGACAGTGTAAGTACATCATCTGTCACTCCACTAAATATCAATTCCAAAATCAACCTACAAATAAAAAACAAATAAATCTGCTCAAAAAATAGTGATATAAAAACCCAAATCTAGGTCGGGATATGATGTGACACTATCTAGTACAACGAATTAATTAAGTTGTTCAGATTCGTCGTACTAGGTAGTAGGTAGTGTTACAACTCATCTAGATTAGGTTTTTTTAATGGAGGGAGTATGATTATTGTGATCTTTTTTTAAAAAAATTGTGATAACTATTTAAAAAAAAGTTTACCCACAAGTTGTCTTTAACCCTGCTCCTCTCCACCTTAGCTATTGTCCAACATCGCATATCATTTCAAACAAATTGATTATATTTATTCTCTAATTGTATGTGTTTCAGCTAAAAAATATTTTCTCTTTAATTTCTTAAATCAAATGAGTTCTTGACCAAGCTACTTTATTATTAATAATTGTACTTCTTGAATCACTCAGCAACATATTTTCCACATTTATAATATGTGGAATTGACAGCATGCATATACTATACACGTATGTTTCATTAGAGACAACTATAAAAATAAAAGCATGGACTGCTCGTCTTTTGTACTTTAAGATTCTGGCCGTTCGTTTTTCACATGGAGATTTTAATGTGAAGATATAAATGTGTTACATTTAATTGTTTTGTGTTCACCAGTCCACCTATTAGACTATGTTTGAGTGAAAGGGTAATACGCAAAATAAGATAAACCATCATTACATGATTAGTTAATCAAGTATTATTTATTTTCAACTTTTAAAATAGAATAATATGATTTTTTTTCAAACAACTTTTCTACAGATTTTTTTTCAAAAAAAAAACATTGTTTAGCAGTTTGGGAAGCATGCGCACGGAAAACAAAAAATCTTTTCTATATTTCCTTTCCTATAGATACCTTTTTAGCTTGAAGATAACACATACATGATGCATATGGTCGGGAAGTATATTTGTCCCTCGAGCGGATATGTCGCTCATTCTTGTGTGTTATCTTAATGTCATTAAAAAGTCTAAAACAATTGATAAGATAGGTATATATAATACATCACTTAAAAATACGTAAGTTTAAATTTAACTTACACAAGTAAAAAAATTACCAAATTTGTATATAAATAATACACGCTATATTCGCAACTGTTGCACAGGTAGTATTTTGTAACGTACAGTGAAAAGGCAGCACAGGTAGTATTTTGTAACGTTGCTATTATCTAATTAACATGGTGCATATATACGTACCATCAGACCATGAAGCAATATATTTTCATCAGCTCTAATTTCTAGATTTCTGACCAATTAATTGTGCATTTTAATATTCTTGAATTAACATAGCTAAACCATACTTTCTAGTATCTAGCTCTTAATTCAAATGAAATCTTGACCAGGCTATTTTTTTAAAATAGTGACTAATCTACTCTGTTAATTATTGTGTTTCATGCACGTACGTGTCACTTTACACCCAAGTTTCACGTTTGTAAAATGTGGAAGTGAGAGCATTCATCTACACTTGTTAGCCTCCGCACGGGGAATTGTTATTTTAGCGCTATATATCGTCGTACATATGTGTGCAAACCCTCAAAGGAGGGCTAAAGGACGGAGAGGGATTATAATCAATCGTGTGTGGTGTCTACTTGTTTATCACATGTTAATTAAATAGTTATAATATTTTTTTTAAAAAAATAACAAGATAGATAAATAAATAATATATCACTTCACATAAATGAAAGTTCATAATCAAATAATACAAGTTATAGCAAAAATAATAAATTAAACTCCAATTAGTATACACATATAGTAGAATTTATTTTTTGTTACAATTTGTAGGGGTCGAATTTGAACTTTTATGTTTGCATGTAAGGTAATATATTACATACTAAAATAAATATATATAATATATAATATATCTTGTTATTTTTTAAAACAATTTATAACTATTTAATTGATCTATAATAAATGAGTAGACGTGCGATTAAAAGAGTTTTATCTAATGGAAGGAGAGGGACATGCATGCACTATAGAATATTGGCAAGTTGGGTTTCTGCAATTTGGATCGATCGTTTTCAAGTAGTACACCATTGAAAAGACAATATATAGCTGATAAAACCTTCGTCTCATGGTTATACTGTATATATGATAGAATTTCAGCATATAATATAACAAGGACCACATACAGTACAGGAGAAAGAGGAGGAGGGCAAGAGGGCGACGATGACGCTTGCTAAGCTACTCTATTGTTGTGTTTCTCGTGTCACTTTACAACCAAGTTGCAGTACATATTAATTTGTAATATGTGGAATTGTTGTGTAGCACGCGGCTTTAATTTGTTCCAAGAGCACGCTTCTTTGTAAAGAACTTTTATATGAGAAGTTTCACCTGAAAAAAGTATATATACGCTATAGGAATACAGCTAGCCAAGCTAAATAGCAATTCCGATGCGAAACTGCTAATGCGCGGGAGACCCAGCGATCACCCCGCGCTCTCCTTCCCCTATAGTCCCTCTTCTCCCCTTTTCTCCTCCCCTTCTTCTCTTTCTACACCACAAAATTTTTTAAAAAACAAAAAGTTAGAAAAATTTATGTATAGAAATACTATATATAAAAAATTTGAATTCAAATTCAAATTTGAATCGGGTATGTAAACTTTTGACTTATAAACATTGGGTCTATAAACTTTAGGTGTATAAACTTTAGATGTATAGAAATACTATATATAGATAATATTTGAATTCAAATTTAAATTTGAATCAGATAAAATTCAAATTCAAATTTGAATCGGGTATGTAAACTTTTGACTTATAAACTTTGGATCTATAAACTTTAGGTGTATAAACTTTAGATGTATAGAAATACTATATATAAAAAAATATTTGAATTCAAATTCAAATTTGAATCGGATATATAAACTTTTAACTTATAAACTTTTGGTCTCTAAACTTTAGATGTGTAAACTTGAGGTGTATAAACTTTAGGTGCATAAATTTACTAAAATAGAAAAGTAATGCGGTGCCAAAAAAGGAAACTAGGTGGAGGGAGGAAGGGGGAGGGAATCGATCGCTGCCCCCTATCTCCAGCGATCGATTGCCCATTAGGATCGCCCATTCCGATGGAGCCTAGTGTGCAATCTAAGGCCTTAAGGGTACACAAACGCACTCAAAACGAGGACCTAATAGATGGAGAGGGACTTGCAATTAATTGATTGCCAAGTTGGATGTCTGCACACTATGCCGAATCAGGTCATCTGTGACGGGTCCAAATCCTCACCTTTGATGGGTTTATCCCTGGTCACAGATTAGTGGTCAGTGATGACTTAACCTCACCTATGACGGGTGAAGATCCGTTAGTGGTGAGAGACACCTGTGAGGCTGTGACGGGTTGTAATGAGCAACCCGTTAGTGGTGAGAGACATCTATGACGAGTTATAATTAAAACTCATCACAGATTATGTCACCTCAAATGAGTTGAAGCAGTCGACCCGTCACAGGTGTGAAAAATCAAACAAAAAAAAGGGTGCCCCGCTGCAACAATGAAAAATCGGTAACAGATCCACGCTGAATAATCCAAAACATTTTAGACTACATTTCTAATCCAAGAACTTACAACGTTGATGTTACAAGGAACATAAAAACAAACTAGCGCAAAACTACTTGAGAACTGCAATGTTCAGATTCCAATTTTCTAGCAACATCACCAAAGACAACGAAACTCTAAACACTTGCAGTTCACCACCTTCAAGAAAAACAAAACACCAAAGAGCGCAACTTTTCTAGCATCAGTCATCCAACCCTTCCTTCAATTAATTCCCAGTGGCAACACATCATGCGGAAACAAGAATGACACACCCCAATCGAAAACTTGGTACCGATAACTTGCAAGGTCTAAAATCAAATCACAAGACTACAAACACATAGATCAATACCCATCCAATGCATGACGGGGGAGGCATTGACACGTAGTACTCGATGGTGAAGGCGTCGGCTGCTCGAAGATGGAGGATGCGGCGAGGACCAATGCTCAAAGGAGGAGGCGGACGCTGTGGCAGTTGCCTCTCGGGGATGGAGGCGGCTAGCTCTTGGAGGTGGCTACTCGGTGAAGGAGGAGGAGCAGGACCCGGATCTGGTTACCCCCGACCTCGGAGAGGCCGGATCTGGTGCCCCCTAACCACGAGGACGACTGCAGCGGCGGCCAGATCTTGCCCTTCCTCGTCATGCCTGCAGCCACACCGGTGCTCGAGGACGAGACATATGACGACTGCTCGCCGGATCGAGCCAGAGGGGAAGGAGGGATCACAGGAGGCCCAAGAAGAACGACGGCCGGCGGTCGGAGACGCATCTAGCTGGGCTTGCAACGGGAAGGAGGGCTCATAAGAGCTAGCGCCCGGCGGCTTTGGTGTGGGAGGTGCTCGGAAGAAGGGAGAGAGAGGGAGGTGGCGGAAGAAGAAGGGAGAGAGAGGGTCAAGGCAGAAGAAGAAAGGAGAAGAGGATAAGGATGGGCGTGGGCTTGTGAACCGGGAGGCGAGGGGAGGGTTATGAGAGTGAATTTTTTTTTATCATCTTTGACGGGCACACAAATTTTACACACATCACAGGTGAATACCTCATCTGTGATGGGCTAGATCAGAACAGTACACCCGTCACAGTTATTTGATCGCCTGTGACGGGCCAGAATTTGAACCCAACAAAAGCAACTCTCTGTCGGATGTAAATTCTGGCCCGTCACAGGTGATCAAATACCTATTACGGTCTCTGGATAGACCCGTCAAAGGTGAAGCCGGCCATCCGTGACAAGCACTGCAGCCTGTCACTGGTGGGCCGTCACAGATGAACGGTTCTGGCGTAGTTGTAATCTTGATCAATCGTTCTCAAGAAGTATAATACAACCAATAAATTAAAACTCCATCCATTTCATGGTTATAGTGTGCACAATCTAGATCAATCGTTCTCAAGTAGTACAATACAACCAATAAATTAGAACTCCATCTCGATCATGGTGTTATAGTTTGCCTATATATATGAAGAACTCAAGAAGAGAATATCAGCACATGCATAGCACAGCCAGTAACTGCATGCAAGCTAGCTAGCTCACACGATAGAGCTTATTGGGAGCTTTCAGCTAGCATGTATCTAGTGAGCCATGGAGCTCATCCTGCAGCTAGAAGCAAAAACTGCAGCACAAGCAGTGGTAACCGTCTTCTTCTTCTTCCTCCTCCCTCTCGCTCTTCTGTTCTACTTTGCACGAGCCGCAATAAGTTCCAGGGATAGTAAAACTCGTGAGTTAATTCTGAGCAAGCTCCCTTCGCCGCCGTTCAAGCTACCGGTGATCGGGCACATGCACCTCATCGGCCCCCTCCCGTACGTCTCCCTCCGAGACCTCGCCGCCAAACATGGCCGCGACGGCCTCATGCTCGTCCGCCTCGGCTCCGTCCCCACCCTGGTCGTCTCCTCGCCGCGCGCAGCCGAGGCCGTCCTCCGCACCCACGACCTCGCCTTCGCGTCGCGGCCGCGCTCCATGGTCACCGACATCATCATGTACGGGGCGCTGGACTCCTGCTTCGCCCCCTACAGCGACCACTTCCGCAGCGTCAAGAAGGTGGTGACCGTCCACCTGCTCAACTCCAAGAGGGTGCAGGCCTACCGCCATGTCCGGGAGGAGGAGGTGCGGCTGGTGATGGCGAGGCTCCGCGGCGCGGCGGCGGCGGCGGCGGCGGTGGACTTGAGCCAGACGCTGCAGTTCTTCGCGAACGACCTCATCTGCCGCGCGGTGTCGGGCAAGTTCTTGTGCGAGCAAGGGAGGAACAAGGTGTTCCGGGATCTGATGGAGGCGAACAGCAATCTGCTGGGAGGGTTCAACCTGGAGGCCTACTTCCCGGGGTTGGCGAGGATGCCTCTCATCAGCAAGCTCATCTGCGCCAGGGCCATCAGGATCAGGAGGAGGTGGGACCAACTCCTCGACATGCTCATCGACGACCATGTAGCCTCAGCTCGCGATCGCGCTAAAAACGACGACGACGACTTCATCCATGTCCTTCTTTCCCTCCAGGACGAGTATGGCTTCACCAGAGACCATATCAAGGCCATATCAATAGTGAGTTCCTTCTACTCCCTCCTTCCCTAAATGTTTGACACCGTTGATTTTTTTAAACATGTTTGACCGTTCGTTTTATTCAAAAACTTTTGTGATATGTGTAAAACTATATGTATACATAAAAGTATATTTAACAATAAATCAAATGATACAAAAGAATTAACAATTACTTAAATTTTTTGAATAAGACGAACGGTCAAACATTTTTAAAAAAGTCAACGGCGTCAAACATTTTGGGATGGAGGTAGTACAAAATATATACTTTCTCCTTTTCTTTATTAATGTATGTATGACATCTTGCCTTTTGACATGACGTTTGATATTTTTTTTTTATTAAAAAAAATTTACATAAACATTATTTATTACAAATATAGTTACAATAAATTTAGAAAACTAAGGATAGTTGAAACTATAAACCACACGGAACATTTTAACTGTTTAACTCCAAATTATTTATGTGCCATTTATCGTAGGACATGTTTGAAGCTGGTACAGATACATCACACCTAGTTCTAGAATATGCTATGGTCGAGCTCACACGCAAACCACACATTCTAACAAAGCTACAAGATGAGGTGAGACGCATCACACCGAAAGGACAACATATGGTAACCGAAGATGATATCGTCGGCATGGTCTACTTGAAGGCTGTCATCAAGGAGACACTTCGGCTACATGCACCGGGAGGTTTCACTATTCCCCACCTCGCCAGAGAAGATTGCAACGTTGATGGCTACATGATCCCAGCAGGAACACGTGTACTTATTAACTTGTGGGCACTTAGTAGGGATGCTAATTACTGGGACAAGCCAGATGAGTTCTTACCCGAGAGATTCATGGATGGAAGTAATAAGAACACCGACTTTAAGGGGCAAGACTTCCAGTTCTTGCCATTTGGATCAGGACGAAGAATGTGCCCTGGAATTCATTCTGGAAAGGTCACACTCGAGATTATGTTGGCGAACCTCGTATACTGTTTCAACTGGAAGCTACCGTCAGGGATGAAGAAGGAGGATATCGATATGACAGATGTGTTTGGATTGGCCATACATCGGAAGGAGAAGCTCTTCTTAGTCCCGCAAATTGCTAATTATTGAGGATAGATATATATGCTGTGCAACATTGTGTCGATATATATGCATCCTGCATATATAGCCATGCATGCGGTACAACATTGGGTCAAGGTCTACAGTATCCATCTAAATTAATTATCAGTGTTAGATGTTATCGTGAGTACAGTCCTGTAAGTGTGTTCAACTACTTGTAGAATAAGCTATTCTTAGCACATGTCAACTTACAATGTTTGCATAAAAGTATAACATTTGTGTCGCACTCCATTTGTACTTTTGGATGTACATCAACAAAACCTTCATTGGCCCTTGTTGGAATCCTAACTACCGTGGTGAATTTTTTTTTAAAAAAGAATGATATGATTGGCTTTCACTTTTAGGTCATAGCTCAATTCGTACATGTCGAAATGCAAGTTAAATTCAGAATCCAAACAAGGCCAATAATCGCCTAACATTTGCAGCCCAAGCTAGATACACTGGACTTCATGTTAGCGTAGTACATGTACACAGTGTAGCCCATCCAATACGGCCCGGCCCATCTACTGACCATCATTTTGCTTGCATTTTCCTTCCAAGAAACGACCAAATTAAAAGAAGTTAACACATACTGTAGTACATATGTATGTACTTTTGTACTTATAAGGATGCATCCAAGTTAACACATACATACATACATATGTTAATCCACACACACATTTCCTTGCAATTAATCCGGCACTTGCCAATTTTTCATCACAACTGAATCAAACCATACATGGTTTTACACGCACCATGTACGCGAGAGCAGAGAAGGTGAACAAGAGATGGAACGAGCTGTTCGACGCCGGCGAAGCCACTTCTCGTTCTTTTATGTTTCCGGTTGAGCTTCAATATTCATCATGTGGTAGCTGTTTATTTTTTTTGAGAGAACAGAGCAAAATATATTGACCCAGCTTTGCAAGAAATTGCCTAAGAACAAACAGACTCTTACCCAAAGAAAACCCTGTGCTAGGTGTGCATCAGGTGACAAATCTTGTCGCATAACAAATGCTAGTAGCTTCTTAATTTTAGACAAAACTTTCAGAATTGCAGTCAAAGATTAATCAACACAACTGTAGTATACTTAATGAAATTTACTTAATCCACAATTAATTGAAACAAGGAAAATTGAGCCGTAATTAATAATGGATCAAATCGAGTAAAGTAATTACTACTAAATAGGAGTAATATATACTTTGATCGATGCAAGTAACTAAGAAGAAGAAGTAGTGTTGTTGGTGACGGGGTAGCCGATGCCATGGCGAGTGGTGGGGAAGACGACGAAGAGGAGGCTGCACATGACGCCGACGCCCAGCGGCACGATGCCCAGCACCTCCTCCGTCCCCTTCGCCGGCGACGGCCAGAAGCACCCCACCACGTTCTTGTCCCTCGCCGCCACCACCCCGAACACGCCCACCGACAGCAACGCGTGTACGCCGTCGATGGCCCTCATCCGGTACCTCGACGTGTCCGGCTGCGGCGGCGCGCCGGCGCCGGCGGGAGGGTAGTCGAGCAGCCAGAGCCCCCGTGGCGTGGCGAGGCCGTAGTAGACGCGGCCGTCGGGGCCCCTGACGGAGTCGGTGAAGGAGGCGAGGACGCAGGAGAGCGCGAGCAGGGCGAGGAGGGCGGCGGTGAGGAGCGAGGTGGTGGCGTCGCAGGCGCCGTTGTTGGTGAAGGTGGGCGCCAGCAGCTGGAACGCCATCACCGTCCCCGTCGGGAGCAGGTTCGCCAGGCTCGCCGTCGACGCCAGCGCCTGCGACAACAGCGACGGCCGCCTTGCTGCCGGCGGACGACCACCACCGCCGTCGCCGGCAGCAGCAGCGCTCTCTCCTTCTCCAGCTTGCTTACCTACCGTTGGCCTCTGCCTGACGACTGCGGGAGACGCCATGATCGATCGATCACTGGATTGTTCTTGGACAGGCAGCTAGCTAGATAGCTCAATTAATTTGCTCCGGTGAATTGGTGATCAATGGAGATTGTGCAAGGCGTGAAGGAATGGACATGGACATGCATGCGCTGGAAGAAATAGAAAAGCATATATGTTATTGTTGTATCGAACAAAAAAGAAAAAAAAGAGAAGGAAAATAATGTGGCTTGAAGAGATCAACTGCTAGGTGCTGATGGAATTGAGAAGCAACGACGACGACGACAGCAGCATGCAATGCAAAACGCGTAGGCGTAGCAGGACGAATCACACATTGTTTTGGGAAGGCGTAAAGTCAAGAACTGATACCCAATTTGCAACGTACGTCATAGCTAATCCTCCTTTGATCGATCGATCGTGAACAAAACGTGTTGTTAATAATAATTAATGAAGATGAGGTGAGTGTAAACATGCATGATTATGTTGAACAAAGTTAATTACTCGATCGTCGTTGCTTGCAAGTTGCAGCAACCGAATCGATAGATGACGAAAATATAAGTAAGACGTGGCAGCTGGCAGATATATAGCATAATACACATGTAGCCCGGCCCTATGACAGAGACTGTTCATTAATTGTGTGGCACATATGCATGTCTTGCTTTTAGAATTGGGAACAAAGCAACATCAAGTATATATATACATTCGATCCATGTATTGTTGCCGTGGTCTTCCACAGGAATTGAATGCTACAACAGACAAGAAAATGCTATATAAAAATGTTTCTATGTAATTCGTGCTTTGAAATGAAGACAAAAAAACTGAGGAATGTTAATATGAGGTTTTATAGTCTTTATTTCCTCCTCTAATTACGGTGTTCTTTTCCTACAATTGTCTAGTCAAAGTTGCCATTCTTATATTTTTCACATGTTTTTTATATTTCTCTGTTTTGCACTTATACTCTTATCAAAACCCTTAGGTATTGTTTGGATAATGGGATTGGAAAATGATTTCCCACCCATCAAAAGGTATCTTTAAATACTAACCATTCATTCTCCCTCTTCCATTTAATCCTAACCCTTTATTCATTTCCCAATCACAATCCTACTCTTCATTTCCCATTATCCAAACACACCCTTAAGTTTTTAAATCAGCATCGATTAGACTGGAGATTAGAAGGGGTTGAGCTAGAGCGGCCGGAATTGAGTAAGGAGGCGGTGTAATGGGCTTAAAGGAAGCCCAACCTCCTTTTGAAATGGGCCTTCGGTCTGCTGCGACTTAAATTAAGTTAGAGGGGCAAGGCCTGCATTAACCGAACTGAACTCAAGATGGGCCCAATCAGCTCAGTTGCAAATTAAGAGGATCAGATCGGATAATCAATTTAGCTACCTGTTCATTGCCTGTTTCTCCAGATCACTGAAGCAATCGATCTGTATTGAATTAGCTAATAAATTAAGTGCACGCACGTTAATTTGCTGTATTGTACAGTAGTTCAATAAGTCCATCGATGAGAGAATTAGCGTCAAGATATGTTCATCACCTATCTTGCTTATCGGGACATGTACAATTAATCCATGTATGTGCATGTATGGTACGTACTACCAACAAGTACTCCATATAATTGTAGTGCAAACAGCTAATAGTAGTTAGTCCTAAGTTAGGTAGATAGGTAGGTAGATTAGGCAGCATATATAAGTTAATGATCAAGTACCACTACTGTTTTTGTTCTGCATACATGAACACTTATTAAGAGTCAACATTAATTCCACATGGAAATCAGGAGATCAGTCACTTAACTATGCTACTCCACTTCCCTACATATGCTATATATGTTTCTACTCACCATATAGGATGTCGTTAATTACATTGTGCTCTCAGTTAATTTGTCAATCTGTGCTGCTCTCACTAATCACAGTTTTTTATGAAGAGCTGCTGCTGTAGTTTATGGGAATGAAGAACAAAAACGTACCACAGCTGATGGCAAGTTGTCCAATTGCAATTAATTAGCACCCGGTTTTCCTGTCAAAAGTTTACAAATATTAATTTGGCAAAAGTGAGTCAAGTACTATCTAAAGTGAATAGTCAAGTATGAAATTGCAATCGATGCGAGTAGAGCTATATCTCTGCAAGAGGACTTTAAATTTGTCCAATGTTAGGCGCAAACCGTAGAGAATCGATCGTCCACCACCAGTAGAAAGGATACATATGGGAGAAGGATCCAAGTTGAATCCAAAAGATGCATGGAAACGTTAACTGGTTAGCCCTTGACTCCCTCTCTCTCAAACGATCGAATTAGGCCTTGATTGACCAATGTCCATATAATCTGGCACGGTTCGGTCGGACCCCATTGACCCTAACTTGAACCTGTTTTTTTTCTAAAAAAAAAAAAAAAAAACACACGCGGTACAGACACATATACTCATCTTTATAAATACAAACACACATATCCTAATCCTACGAGCACCTTTAAAACAACGCTGCCGATATATCCTGTAATTGACGAGGTCATCGTGATCAAATCGCTCCGACAGGTAAGCCTGGTTCTTTTTAACTTATTCACCAAATTATAAATTGTTCCAATTTTGAAAAAAGAATTTTCTTATAATATATTCTTATATTGTATTATATTGTTTAGATCATTTGTTTGTTGAGTTCATTTCTAATTTATCCATATAGTAAGTAGAAAATGGCAATAACACACTCAATAGTTTACATATTAAGCTGGGTCTTTTCTTTCGTAAAGAGGGTAAAACCTTTGTCACATATATATCGTATATATTGATAGAGCAGGGGACAGTGGGCTTTAATTTGGAAAAAGTATGAATTACCCCTCCCCCGAACTATCTCAGTCGTCCAAATTACCCCCCTGAACCACAAAACTAGACATTCTTCATCCCCAACTATGCAAACCGGACGAATTACCCCCCTCGAACTAATTCAGAGCGGTTTTGTCCAACGTGGCACACACGTGGCAATCTAGTCAGCGTTTTTTAAATAAAAAATTGTGGGATCCGCCTGCTATACTCTTCTTTCCTTCCTCTCTCTCTATTCTCTCTCTCTCGCTCTTTTCTCTCTTGCGCGGCTCGTGCTGCGCGCACAGCAAGGACGGTCGGCGAGGACGGCGCGGGGATGGGCGGTCGGCGTGGGCGGTCGGCGACGGCGGAGGCAGCGAGCGTGGCGGAGGAGGCAGCGGCGGCGGAGGCAGCGAGCGTGGGGAGGCGAGCGGCGGGGCAGGGCGGCGAGGCAGGCAGTGGAGGAGGCGAGCGACGGCGGAAGCTCATGCTGCTGGCAGGATGCGGTGGAGGAGGCAGCGGCAGCAGCGAGACGGCGGCCGACGCCATGCGCGACAACCAGCCCCAGCCTGCGGCCGTGCCTTCCTCCGCTTCGTCGCGGGCGCTGCCTCCGTTGCAAAGAGGGGATAGGCCGGCGGCGGTAGAGAGGTGGCCGGCGAGCCCAATCGAGCTTCGCCGCCTCGAGGGCCTTGTGTTGACGAAAAAATCGAACACACCGGCCTGGGAGATCTGCTTAACTCCAGTGCAGGTCCAAAGGTTGATGAGATGCGGGCGTGCCAGTCAGTTTGATCCTGCAACTGACAAGATATGCAAATAGTAGATCAAAACAGCCGATCGGCTGACAAGCGGATGGAGTAGTTCCAGCCGATAGCCGATAATAGCCGATGCCAATACCAGCCGATAGCGATAGGGTGTAAGCAATCGGCTATATGTCCAATGTAGATAATGATATAAAGGCAATCGGCTGATGATGATGTAATAAGATAACAATATAATCCAGTATAAACCAATCGGCTGATAATAATATGATGGAATAAGCATTGATCCGAAGGTTAAAGCATACATCGGCAGGAGGTCCGATGCCATAAAATCCAAAAGATTATATTAAACAATTAAATCTTTATTGCCATCGGCTAAATCCAACTTATATGTATATGCAATCCTTACAAGCCAATGCAACGTCCAGATAACTCACCGGTTGAAACCCCGATGAAACCCCTATTGGCAGTCAAAAAGCAGGCTAGAGATTATGGTTCTAATCTAGCAACACGATTTAGCTGATACCGGCAGAAACCCTAAAGCGAGAAGCAGCCGATAGAGGTAAATTGATATGCTAAGACTATATTAACAGAGGCATATGATAAATAGGTAGACAAATATATCATCCAAACCGGAGCGATCCAAGAGGTCTAATGTACTGATGCAGCCTTAAACGACGCCGATGTAGATGAGACAATTGCCTGGACCGACGGAACATTGGACTTACCCCTTAGCCGGAGATCGAACACTGATGCAGCCCCGCGTCAGGTGCCAAGTCCCGCCGAACGATAAAATAAAGTAGAAAAGGTAAAAGGTGGCGATGTGCCGAATTGTATTGATCGTGAAGATAGATTACATAGACCCCGGGTGTACATATTTATACCCATGGGTTGATACAAGTCCTTGTCGGACAAGAAAGAAACTAACCTAAAGATAAAAGGAAAACATAAAGTCCTTACACACTTTCCTAAAGATAAAAGGAAACTAACAAACTATTCCTAATTAATAGATAAACTGCCATGCCGCATCCTCTTTAAACTCGGTCACTTAGGGATAAGCTTCCTTTAGTAGATTGATTTCCTTAACCGAATATAGTAGGAATCCGACTATTGGCGACTTGATAACTCCCATCGGCTGATTCCGAGATGCTGCAGCCGATATGATTCTAAGCCGATGATGTCTTTGCCGATTACCAAATTTCACTGTTAACACCTTGCAACGGGAGGAGGGAGAGGGGGAGAGGGGAGGTGGACAACGAAAGATGGGGGAGGGAAGAGGCGCGGCGGTCGGCGTCGCCGCCGGTGGGTCCGCCGTGGAGGGGGCGTAGCCGCTGCCGCCTCCAAATGATGACTTGGACCACCCTGACGAGGTATTTCCCGACGCTCTCGCCTTCCTATCAACGGGCCAACACCGGTCACCCACGCCTCCACCTCGCCATCCATCGCAACGACAATGTCATGCTTGGCCTCCTCTCCCCCTCTCCCGCCGCTCTACTCCACTCTGCTGGCGGCCGCGCGCTCGCCCACTTGCTCCGGTCGCTCGCCGCCGCCCGCTCCACTCCGCCTACCGCGTGCTTGCCCGTTGCCTCTTGCTGCGGGCACTTTGCTCCACTTCGCCGGCCACCGCCGCCGCTGCCTCCTCCACCGCGCTCGCTGCCTCCACTGTCGCCGACCGCCCGTCCCCACGCCGTTCTCACCGTGCGCGCAGCACGAGCCGTGAGAGAGAAAAGAGCAAGAGAGAGAGGAAGAAGAGAAGAGTATGGCACGCGGGTTCCACAATTTTTTTTATTAAAAAAACGCTACTGGATTGCCACGTGTGCGCCACGTTGGATAAAACCGCTCTGAATTGGTTCGAGGAGGGTAATTCATCCTGTTTGTATAATTGGGAGTGATGAATGTCCGGTTTTATGGTTCAGGGGGGTAATTCAGACGACCGCGATAGTTCGGGGGGTAATTCGTACTTTTTCCTAAATTTTATTGTCCTTGAATATTTGTTCGGGTCAAGTCAACACCAGATCGAAATGAGCATTTCAAAATTCGTACATTTTGCTTTTTTCCCTCTTACTTGACACATATATAATCCCACCATTTATAATGTACATTGCAAATCCAATGGCAAACCTTGTTTTAGACCGAATCACAAACAGTAGTAAGTAATTTTAACATTGAGATGGTCATAAAAAAGCGACTTTGAGCACTGTTTTATACCAGGAACAACAGTCAAACAAAATTTGAACTGTATTACTTTCTTTCTATTTTACAACCCAGTGATATTTCAACTTTATAAAATTATATTTACTCAACACAAATTTAGACACACGTTTTCATTTCATATACAAGACATAAAAAAAATCCAAAAAGAAACAAAGCATTGACCTAATTATAACTTTATCGTCATTGGTAGTCCACTCCTAGTAATAATGGTAATAAAGGGCGACGATGCCGCTCGCTGCCGTCATTCTCTCCTCCTTTCCTTCTCCTTCCCTTGCATCTCTTCTCTTCTCTTCTCTTTTCAGTTTCCATTTCCATTTTCCATTTGAACCAAGACCACGACGACGACATCACTCCACTCCACGCGATCGAGCAGCAGCAGCAAGCCGCGACGACGACGATGCCCATGGCGCCGGAGCAGAAGCAACGACAAGAAGCCGACGACGACGACTTCACCTTCCCGACTCCGCCGCAGCCGCACCTCTTCGCCACCACCCGCCACCTCCCCTGCTCACCGTCACCATCCTCCTCCCCGCCCGTCTGGCTACTCTCCTCCCCCATCCGCCGCAGCTTCTCCGCCGCCGACTGCTCCGGCTCGCCGTGGCGAAACGCGCGTGTCGTGCTCCGTCGTCGCCACGCCACCGGCGGCGGCGGCGGCGGCGCATGCTCTCCCGCCCTCAGCGACTACGCGGCCGGCTTCTGCGACGGCGCGGAGGAGGAGGAGGAGGAAGAGGAGGAGGAGGAGGAGAGGATGGACAGTCTCTGGGAGGACCTCAACGACGACGACGCAGCCGGGAAGAAGGGCGGCGACATGTTCCTCGCCTCCCTCGACGTGTCGCGCCGCCGCTCCGTGGGTGGCGCGGGCCTCGCCGAGAAGCGCGAGGGCGGCGGAGGCGCGGCGGTGTTGGGGTTGGGGGCGTCGAGGAGCTCGCGGCGGCGGGCGCCGGGGCTGGTGGCGATGATGCGGTCGCTGAAGAGGATGCTGGTGGCGCACAAGGGGAAGAGCAAGGTGCACAAGTCCGACGACCACACCACCGCCTCCTCTTGCAGTAATTCCGGCAAGAAATGATGGTGAAACTGACCATGCAATGCAACAGTAGAAACCTGCGGTTTTAGTGGTAAAAAGAATTTCATTTTAATTTATACGTGTCAGTTTCCTCACTTCTTGATTGAGATGGCCTTGCAGTTGCAGATGGAATGATCATCAATCACAGATCAGTGTTCTTTCATGTTAATCACTATGTAATTATGTATCCCTTTTTGTAAAGTTTCTGTTCATCTTTTTTGGTGATAGTTAGACAGTGCTTGGCAGTTTGCATGAATATTTTTTGGAATGAGATATAATATACAAATGTTATTCTGTGGTCTACTGAATGAATATTTTTTCTGAATAATTCTACTTAGCTGCAGCTTAATTCTTTACTCTTTAGAACATCGGTTGCAGCTGCCCTTTTCATTATTTATTTATCCAAAAAAAAGCATGATTATACTGCGTAGCAGCGAGATTAAAAATTGTGTTAGGTTTTATGGTACCTAGAGGCTATAGCTAGAGCACGTACGTAGATGGTCCTGTGATTGCGGTAGTAATTGAATATATACTCCTAATGATATATAGTGTGTAGATTATATTATTCTTGTTTTGTTGCAGGAATCAAGAAGAATTAGGCACAAGAGTCTTGTGTCATCGCCTACTCATCTTCCATGATTAGGAGCAATCAGGACCAAACCCAATATAGCAGGCAGCAGCTAGCTTAATTAATTAGGTCGGTGTGCACAATGGACAAATTAAGTTTGTTAGGCGCTCTAGGTATTTATAGTGGTAAAATACAACGAGATGCCAAGTGCGTGGTTAGCCATATGCTGTAGTTGAACAAGCACTAATTCAGCAGTACAAGGGGAAAAAAAGATTACTACAGTACCATTTTAACCACAATTCTAGCAGAATGCATGCTTCGCCTGCTGAAAACGCATCTGTGAAATGGAATTTAATTTGAGTGATGTGAAGAAACAAGCTAGTAGCGCACAAATCATTGCAGTTTTCTGGGCATTTGTACGGCAGTTTTTGGTGAAGCAATTACAGTTGATTGTACTGGATAAGTAGCATGGAACGATACACAGTAGCTGAAGAGCATGGCGTGCAAGCTAGGTTATGACTAGTGTACAGCTAGCCGCATAGTATCATGTATACTTCCTGTGTTGCTCAACTTGTTGTTTTAGGAAGAAGGGAGTTTATTAACACATTATTAAAGCATGCATCATGTATCGCCATACATTTATTCACGTACGACGACGTTATATAGTTTCGCGTATGCCTATACTTCAATAATGAAATTTTTTATATAACTTAAATTGTGAAATTGATTTTGTGTTTTTCTCATTATAGTTTATTTTATAGTTAAGAACACATATAAAAGTTTTACATATAAATTAAATGGTCTTTGCTTACTTACAAGTATTAAGTCATACCGATAAGTATAAGTAGAAGTGAAATGATGGAGCATCGTCGATAGCATTTCCAGAGACAGTTTGGACAACATGCAGTTGCCCCATTTTTCAGGACTTTATGTCTAATAATTGAACTAGGTACACACCCCTCATGTCTGGTATATGACTGCTATAATATATATGTAGCCAGAATATTACTTTTTGTTGATATCATGGCCGGTTTCTGTGGAAACGAGTGCCAAGTTTATTTATGCTGGGCGGAAAAAAAAAGCCAACCTTATTACTTGAACTCATAGGCAATATACACGCTCGCATTGAGCGTAGTTAACCACTAGCTTATGTCAGTGCGAAAATTTTATGGTTCATTTAACTTATACTGGTACTTCATCCGTTTGTAATGTTTCATATATATTACAGATGTTTGAACTTTTTTTCTAAGTCAAAATTTTAAGTTTGATTAAATTTATTGAAAAAAATAGTAATATGTACAACAGCAAATCAGTTTCATTATATTAAATATTGAACATTTTTGGTACTATGTTTTCTTTTATGTTAAAAATATTGCTATATTTTTTAATAAATTTGATCAAACTTAAAATTGAATAAGAAAATCAAAATGTACTATATATAATACAGAAACAAAGTTAGTACTATATATACATGTATGAGTGCGTTACAACTGTAGTCCACGACGAGTATAACTTTTGGCTAAATTAATACTCGTACAAGAAAGACTACAAGAGTGGCTCGTAGCTTAAAAAAAAGGCTCAATGAAACAACTAGTACTTGTTTTATTTGGGTGTAGCAAGATTATATGGCTAGCTAGCAAGGCTAAACAAAAGGACCTTGATTATTCCTACAGTATTTGTTTCCCTCTTCTCTTTCTTGGGCCTTTTGGCCTGGGCCTGGCCCATGAAGCCACTCCATCAACCACTCCGGCCGGCAGCCATAATCAAACACAAGCATAGGGAGGGCTAGCATCTACGGTATGTCTGAGATTGTGGTGACCGCTTCCAAGGGGGCGATGAACCCCCTACTCGCCAAGTTAGCCACACTGATGGGAGATGAGTACAAGAAGCTCAAAGGCGTGAGAAAGGAGATAGTTTTTCTCAACAGTGAGCTGAGCACCATGAATGCGCTACTTGAGGAGCTAGCCGATAGGGATGAGATTGGAGGAACCATATCAGGGAGATGGTCTCCGATATTGAGGACTGCATCGATGACTTCATGCACCGCGCAGTATCAGATCATAAAGGAGCCAAGCCAAGTTTTCTTCACAAGACTGCTCACCGTCTCAACACACTGAGGGCAACCAAATCCAAGAGATTAAGGCTCGAGTATTGGAGGCGAATAAACGGCGCATAAGGTACATGCCGACAATTGTGTCCCTACTTCTGTTGTTCCCATTGATCCTCGACTGTCCGCACTCTACACGGAGACATCCAGCCTTGTGGGTATTCATGACCCAAAGGCGAACCTTATCAAATGGTTAATGGGTGATGAACAAGAAAGGAATGTGGTATCTGTTGTGGGACTTGGAGGTTTAGGTAAAACCACACTTGTCAAGGAAGTGTACCGTGATATTGGAGGGAAGTTCGACTGTAAGGCATTTGTATCAGTTTCCCAAAGACCTGATATGACAGCTCTTCTCATCAGCATAATTTTACAAATTGGGCGGCAAAAGTCTTCTCACTCCTGCAGTATGAAGGACCTCATCGACAGCCTAAGAGAATCTCTGCAGCATAAGAGGTACTTGGCTCTTATATAGCTTATTAATATCTAATAGGATTAGGATGGATATGTAGCAGCTGAAACTTTTTGTTCCAAAATTTGTTGTGTGGTCTAATTAATCTTCAGAGAGGTTTATACAATTTTAATATTTTTTTTTCTTTTTGCGTGGATGTAGTACTCCTTTCGTGTGTATTAAAAATCACTCTGAACCAGGGAAGTCAATTTGATACTACTACCTACGTCCCATAATAATTACATTTCTACGATTCAAAGTTTGTCCCATAAAAATTATATTTCTGATAAGATAAGACCCAACAAATGGAATTTGTACCTCAACCTTCCTTTTAATTAAGTTTACCCTTATAGTCGTCTTTTCGGGGGATATTGTAGTGGCTCTTTCTCTTATGAATGGTGATGGAGACATCACCACCATGGATATAACCATAGCTACCTTATGTATTCATCAAGTAAAGGTGCATGATTTATATGTTAGATTTACATGTTATATAATTGAACAAACATTATTGCACTACGAATTTTGTGTATTCTCGTTTACAGAAGTACTTACTTGGGTATGGAGAAAGAGACTAAGCACAAAGAATACTTGGATGATCAAAGAAGTTGTGAAGTAGATTGGGGACCAACCAATATCCTTCCCCTTGTCTACTCCCATGTCACCACGTCACTTTTGATCCACAAAAGATGAGAGATGAAATTTTACACGTTTTGGATTCGGATTCGGGCCTCCTGTTAACATTAACTTCAAGCGGACCTAACTACTAATCTAGAAGGAATCTTGGAGCTTATGAGTATTTTTGGAAAACTTATGTAGTCTACTTTCAGATGGTTTTAGTCTCACGTCAACATTCCTATTGGGTTGTTGGGATTCTGCAAAACAAGTCACATAACTCATCTAGTCCAAGTCTAATTTGGACCTTGGCACTTATAATTGTGTCGTGGGTTTACGCCCTAAGGCTAACCCTAAGACATCGTCAAGTGCTTCTCTTTGCTAATCCCAGCATAAGGTGTAATGCCCTATCCCTCTAATACCCCCTTCAAGAAATTTCTCTCGCGTCTCTCTAGTGATAAGAGTGCATTCTCTAACAACTTTGAAACTGAAGCTGCTATCCTTTTGCCAATCCTAAACAAAGAAAGAAAAGCCCTACCTGCCTTCATTGGTTGAATAAGAGGCATTTACTTATCAGTTGTAATCCCAAGGCACGATCAGAACATTGTAAGGCATGTTTTCCATACCTTTAAAGTCTATCACTCGGATGTATCGAGAAGAGCGAGAAATCATAGTGATAACTACTCCCTCCATCCCCTAATATAAGGGATTTTGACACTTTGCTTGCACTGTTTGGCCACTCATCTTATTCAAAAAATTTGTGCAAATATAAAAAACAAAAAGTTGTGCTTAAAGTACTTTGGGTAATAAAGTAAGTCACAAATAAAATAAATAACAATTCTAAATTTTTTTGAATAATATGAATGGTCAAACAGTGCAAACAAAATATCAAAATCCCTTAGGATGTGTTTGGTTTGAGGATGTGGTGGGATGGGTTAGGTCCATTCTTCTTTTTTTGGGATGGGATGGACCTAGTTTCTGTTTGGTTGGAGGGACAGAGCGAACCCTGTTTCTTGTTTGGTTTGAGGGATATGATGGGTTGAAATGGCTCGATCCCTTGTTTGGATAGAGGGATGAAGGTGGGTTGTTTAGATAGGGATACCTCTTGGTGAGGTTACCTCTCACATATGCAATTAGTTCTTATCCATGAATACCACACTAACAATTCATATCACTATATTAGAAAATAAAATGTAGAACTCATGGTGAAGCGAAAATAAATTTATTTGTGCTTGAACTGAATAAGCAAAAGGATTGCTCATATTATAAAAAAAAGGAACATTGCTCAACACAAGATTATCAATGACGTGCACTCTTGAACTTCTTATTACTGCACTCCTGAACTTCTTATTACTGCAAACCAATATCAACACAGGAAAGTTGACCATTTGACACATGCATCCATTCAAGCCATGATCAACACAAGAAGATCAACAATTCTGAACTTTCGATTACAGCAAAATATATGGCTCTCCAAACCATGTTATCTTTTCATACCATATAACACATGCATCCATTAAATCATAATTTAAGTTGAAGAAAAATAATCTCACTCATAACTCACATTGTAGAACCAAGAACAGAAACAATCACACATAAATAGCATACATCAATCCACACATAGAAGGTTCAAGACACAAATAATGAGTTAGTAGCCCATTGAAGTCTTACACATAGCAGTCCAACCATAGTGGCATTGCAAGCATAGAAGCCACACATAAGTTCCCTACAAGTTCAAGCCTTACAAGTAATGTCCACCCACTGGCAGCACATTCATAATAGCAAAAGAACTAGATAACTCATCCAACCACCCTACATTGATCCAGGAAACTTGTCACTAATGAACATAGCAACCCAATGTAGCTTGTTTTCGAATGGAAGTCCATCGAAAGCTCTAGCAATGTGAGGGTTAGCCACCAAATAAGCATAGTAAAATGATATGTGGATGTCCTGAAAACCAGGAAGGCTTTTCAGGGTGTCAAATAAACCTACCGGTAGCGTATTATCTGGCTCACCAGCCTTCACTATAGCAGCAGCAAGCTTGTCACCCACATTGGTGATTGCCCTAATCAACCCATCATCTTCACTTTCAGATGTTTTGGCCTTCTTTGGCTTGCTTGCAGATGAAGTTTCAGCATCAAGATCAATAGTAGTTGGAGCACGATTCACCTCTTCGTTTTCAGTTTCTACATCTTCAGTACCAAGAACTGAACTTGAGTCCTTTGCAAACTTTCCTGTAGCCATTGTGCTCCCAAAGATTGTAAGCATCTCACCATAGTGCAGAAGAGGTTTGTTAAAAAACTCAGCATCGGTCTTGTGATCCTATCATGTAACATATTTAACAAAATAAGTGCTTGCAACAAAAATGAAAAGTCTGTAGAAATTTTCATGGAACAGGAGTGTTTATACCTTGATATATTCATTGTAGTGCTCAGCATCAAGAGTAATAACAAAATTAACTTCATCCCAACCAGCAGCACTCACTTTCCTAAGCCTGTTCATCTTTGTGAACTTCTTTTGCCATGTTTTCAAGTGATTCTTAATCTGATCACCGGTAAAATTAGTACAAAACATCTCATTGAGAGCCCTCGCACATGCGTTGAGATGGGCCTGTTTGAAGCCAGAAGAAGTCCTCGTCCCACTAGCCACAAGATTGGCTAGATGAGACAACATGAAAGAGGACATTGCATATGTCCATGAAGCATGGTTGCTTCCTCCCTTTCCTTTGCTATCCATTTCCTACAAGCCATAATATTTAGAAATGAAAATTAAGTTCAGCAAGCATGATATGGTACAGAAATAATAAACCAATGACCATAAAAATACCTTTCAGCAAACAAGTTGTCCATTTAAATGAAATTCACACATAAAGTGAAGAAAAATGACCATCAACAGCATATTTAACCATACAAATTAAATTCAACCAACTAGCTCATCCATTCAAATGACCATCAGCAAACAAGTCCATACAAATCAGCCAACAAGTCCATACAAATGACCATCAGCAAACAAGTTGTCCATACAAGTGAAACTCGGTCCAGAAATTAAACATACAATAGAAATTCAAAAAAATCAAGATGTCCATACAACAGAACTGCTACATATTAGTGTCCACGATGGTTTTGACGGTCCTCCCACATTTGATCAGCAAGGGCTTGCCTGAATTGAACCATCAATGCATGTTCATTTGCTTCGCCAATAGATGTTTCATTGGGTTCAATTATTTCATTTGGACCTATGAAAAGCTCATCAATCCCATCATTTATGACCCAATTATGAATAATGCAGCAAGCTGCTACAATATCTACTTGAGTTGGGAAAGGGAAGAATGGAGTGGCATCATCAAGAATTTTGAATCTTCTCTTTAGTGACCCAAATGCACGCTCAACCGTGATTCGAAGGGATGAGTGCCTAAGGTTGAACAACTCCTTCTCATTTTGCACCGGATTATTCCCCCACTCATTCAAGTGGTACCGGACAGCACGAAAGGGAGGAAGGAATCCTTGTTTGGCTCCATATCCAGCATCAACTAGGTAGTATTTTCCTATCAAATGAGGGACAAGTTGATCAAATTTCTACCTTTTAACATTTCCCATGGACAAATTGATGGAACTAAATATATCTATTACCTTGTGGAATACGAAGGCCATTTTCACGTTCCAATGCATCTCTTAAAACTACAGCATCATGTGCTGTCCCCTCCCAACCAACCAAGACATAAGTGAACCGAAGATCAAAATCTACGGCCGCCATTACATTTTGCGTGGCATGAGACTTCCTACCACGAAATGAAGACTCCATATTCTTCCGGACAGAGGCTCTAATGTGTGTACCATCAATAGCTCCAATACAATCCTAATTTGTGTTCAGTACCATAAATAATTAGGGACCACATATATATTTGGAAATAAAAATCTGAAAAGGAGATAGATAAATGCCACACCTTAAAGTAAGGATCCCATCTGGGGTTCCCGGCTATTTTATTTGGGGTGTCCAATGAGGGGGGCCTGATTAGTTCATCTCGTAGCTCACCAATAGCATGAAGTACTTTGTTGAAATAACGACTAACTGTTTCTCCGGACCTATCAAAATTAGTGCGAACTAACCTATTTCTAAGGTTGTGTCCCACTGTATTTAGAAACATAGCAACCTGCTCCTCAACACGCATGTGGATGGTATCCTCAAGCAAACCCCGATCTCTAAACAGCTTACAAAATCGAAAGAAAGAATCTTTTCTAAGTCTAAGCATGTCGATACAAGTTGTATCATTCCTCCAAATTTTTGTGTCTAGGTATTCAAATCTCATTCGATCCCTTTCATCCATTGGGCCATACTTAACACCTTGTCTCCGTGCACATCTCTTTCTTTTTCTAGATTGAATAATAATGGCCATCATTGACAATAAAATATGTGCAGCAGCAGCAAAAATTAAAAGCTTGGTCCTCTTATCCATCTACAATACAACAATCAAAGTAAAGCACAAAAACTCTTCTCAATCACACATCATGTAATCACAAATTACTTGCTCACGTCAGAAATTAATCACTGTGAATAAATAGACAAAAATACCACATCAATAGGCAAACATCTATTCAACTATAAATTGATCTACTGTGAATTAACTGCTTCACCTAGTCCTTTCAACAACAAGGGAAAATCATCTCAGGAAACAAATTCAGCAAGATCTAGGGTTTCAAGTGCTAGGGTTTTCTTACCTTTCTCACTGAGGATGCGAGGACGAGGATGAGCAGTTGAGTACAGAGGAGGAAAGGAGGCGACAGGTGGGAGGCGCTGGTTCTTCTTCCTCTTGTTGCTGCAGTAGCCAAGGGGGATGGAGGATGGAGGACGGACAGAGGATGCGAGCTGCCGCCGCTTGCTCCTGCACGCGCTGTCGCCGGCGCCTCGGGCTCCTGCACGCGCGGTCGCCGCCGCCTCCGGCTCCTGCACGCGCGGTCGCCGCTGCTTCTTGCGTTGCCGCCGCCGCCTTCTTTTTTTTTCGATGGTGAAAGTGCGATGGGGAAAGGCGCTGAGGGAGGATAGGGTTACCGCTCAGGAGAGGCGCGTGCAACTCACGTGCGCGAGAGGGAGAGAGGTGGGTTCGATCGGTCCGGTCGTTTTTGGGTGGTCAGTTCATCCCGAATATTGGTGGAATATTCCTTTTTGGAACCAACCCAACCCACATAATCCTCAAACCAAACAGCTCCGAAAAAGGGATGGCCCCGACCCGACCCACCAAAACCATCCAACCAAACACATCCTTATATTAGGGGGCGGAGGGAGTAATAAAGTAGGGTTTTCACTCATGTGAGTTTGCTCACCTTCTGTTCAGCATCTCTACTGGGCACTCTGTACTAAACTGAGGAATCACTTAGAGCAAGGATAGTAGTATAGCTTACTTTCTACTATTAGTCCATCTTAAAGTCAACATATATAATAAATTAGCTATAAGAGCAAGTTCAATAGTATAGCCCAATACTAACTCCAATTCATCTATAGCCAATATAATAGCCAATTTATACAATAGTTGCTTACTATACTATTAATATACGGTCCCACCTGTCATACACTCATTGTGTCTTGAAGTCCGTGCTGCAACTGGCTACAGATCTGTAGCTCGCTGCTCCTCTCTCTTATCTTTTATATATCTCATTAGAATATGATTGTAGCTGGCTAATAGTCTGCTATTGTACCTTCTCTAAGGTTGGCTACAATTTTCTTCTCCTCTCTCTATCTCTCACTTAGAGCAAGTTTAATAGTATAGCCAACTACTAGCTCCAATTCATCTATAGCCAATCTAATAGCTCATTCATACAATAGTAACATACTACACTATTAATACCTGGCCCCACCTGTCATACACACACTGTGTCTTGGAGTCCGTGCTACAGCTGGCTACAAATTTATAGCCCGCTGCTCTTCTCTCTCCTTATTTATCTCCTTAAAATATGTTTGTAGCTGGCTTATAGCATGCTATTGTACCTGCTCTTATACATTTAATGTATTTGTCTTGGAGATTGTGTTAAGCTAGCTCTTGCATGAGAGCCAACTCCCTTGATTTTTTGTTACCTCTCTCCTCCACAAAAGTTTATAGTAGGCTTATAGCTCACTATTATACTTGCTCTTATGCTCCTAGCTTTTTTTCCCCAACAACTCAAAGCCACTGTATGGGCTTGTCACCCGGCATTCCTAATTGTTTTGGACCTTACTCAACTCATCGATGAATTTAGTCTCGATCTACCATTGACCAAGGTTGATCCAAAAGAAGTTACACACCAATATAATAACCAAAACAAATTGTTTTCAAGCATATAGATATTGTCATGATTCACATTATTAGCACACACACTCTCAAAGCCAACATTTATTCGATTTTCCAAACCAAATTTTCAAATATATTGTTAATTTTTCATCGCAAAATATAAACCATCAAATGGTCTTACACGTACTAAGCCCCAAATAAGATTGGCGGAGATCAGTATCACTGCTGGAGAATCGCTTTTTAGTCCCGGTTGGGAACCCCCCTATAGTCCCGGTTTTCTAACCGAGACTACGAATTCGGGACTAAAAATAAATCTTTAGTCCCGGTTCGTAACACCAACCGGGACTAAAGATTCTAAATCTTTAGTCCCGGTTGATGTTACCAACCGGTACAAAAGTTATTTTTTTTCTTTTTTTTCTTTTCTAGCGCCAAATATCACATATTTGTGTTCCCACATCACTCATCACATATCGTTCACACATCTCAACATCCCAAATCATCCACAGCAACAAACCAATATATATCTCAAACATCCCAAATCATCCACACATTTCAACATCCCAAATCATCTACACCAACAACCCAATATCCCAAACATCCCAAATCATCCACAACAACAAATCACAGATCATTCACACATCATTCTCAAATCACAGATCAAATCATCAAACAATTATTCACACAATGAGAAGGAAAAAAAGAAAAAAAAGAAAAAAATCCGGGAGCCTGCCGTTGCGCGGCCTTCAGCGCCATGCCGCCGTCGCTCTGGCACGGGCTCGGCCACCGCCGCCCCAGCTTGGCACGGCCGGCCGCAGCCGCCGCCACCGCCCCCGCCCAGCACGGGCCCGGCCGCCGCCGCCCCTCCCCAGCACGGCCCGGCCGGCCGTCGCCGCCCTTCCCCGGCACGGGCCCGGCCACCGCCGCCCCAGCTCAGCACGGCTTGGCCGCCGCCGCCGCCATTGCCCCCGCCCAGCACGGGCCCGGCGGCCGCCGCCCCTGCCTGGCACGGCCCGGCCGCCGCCGCCGCCCCGGCACAGGCCCGGCCGCCGCCTCGGCTGCTTCTCCTGCAAATCTGAGGAAGAGAAGAGAGAAAAACTCTATCAGATGTGTGGAAGAGGAAGTGGATAGGAAGAGATGAGAGTGAAAGAGGAAGGTGAGAAAGAGATAAGGCCTAAGGGAGAGATAAAGAGTGGAGGGGAGGAAGAGATAAGGGTGAGGACTGAGTACTGACTACTCTGCGCGCGGAGAGAACAAGGGAAGAGAGAGATACGTGGGAAACTGATTTGTTGTCCCGGTTGGTATAAACAACCGGGACTAACCGGGATTAAAAATATTAGGAAACCTGCCACGTCGTGCCAATAAATAAACCGGGACAAAAGATGATCTTTAGTCCCGGTTGGTAACACTAACCGGGACTAAAGATCATTGCACTTTTAAACTGCTTTTTAGTCCCAGTTTTTTAAGCATCCGGGACTATTGTTGTTTTTGGTCAACCGACCAAAGATGGTTTCTCCACCAGTGTATATACTTAATAATGTGTAAGATGCTGAAGTTGCAGGGCACATGACATGGTACTATGGTAGGTGAGTATGGTCGGGAGGGACACATATACATCATGGCCGGATTGGTTTGAGCAAGTTTTTTGTAACAATATAGCCAACTGCATAGAGCCAGCTCATGCATATTGGTTGGGATGGACTTGGGGGCTGAGATAGTGGGATGCATATGCAGGAAACAGCCAGCTCATCAGAACGAATCCTAGAGACAGCAGATTGATCGATCTTACTCCAGGATTCCCGCGAACGGATCAAAGCACTGGACGTATCGACGAATGTATCGCAAGAACTGCAAGAGCAAGTAAAACTACCTTCATTTTTTTTAAAATATATCATACCGTTAACTTTATACATCATTGTGTCTGGATGCTTATAGTACTTGCTCTAAACTAGTCACTCCATTCTAAATTGATCGTCTTACATGTTTATGCACCCAGACCAACGCTAATTTAAATCGCATCAATCAAGACACCATACACATATTATCTCACAATACATGCATCGATTAAAATATCATACCAACTACATCCTCCTTGCTACATCAATTGTATTCCGATGAAATCCGTGTTCATGCGGTTATATGATGATCAATTTAACAAAATTATTATATGATGATCAATTTGAGAACGAGAGAGAGTCGGCGTGGATCTCGAAGCTAGTAAGATCATTACTGTAATCTCTCTATTTTAACTAGTGGTTGCGCAAATCTCAAGGGAAGAAAAATGTTTGCCCCCAACAAATGGCTGCACTAATTGGGGCTAATTGTATATAGTATATATATACAGGAAAACTCGATCGGTTGCTCAGTTGCAGGCTTGTTGTAGCTGGAGTAGCTAGCTACCTCTCACACGTACGTAAGGTCACACTAGCCACTAGCTAGGTACTGACTGATCAAACCAGGAGAGGAAATTAACCCGATCGATCAGCCAGCAGAGAGACCAAAGAAATTAAGATGGTGGTGAGTGCATCCATGGGGGTGATGAACCCGCTGATGGCAAAGCTCACCACGCTCATGGGCGACGAGTACAAGAAGCTCAAGGGGCTCAGGAAGCAGGTCTCCTTCCTCAAGGATGAGCTCACCACCATGAGCGCTTTCCTCGAGAAGCTCGCGCTCATGGATGATGATGATGATGGTGAGCTCGATCCTCTGGCCAAGGACTGGAGGAACCACGTCAGGGAGATGGCCTATGACATGGAAGACTGCATTGATGATTACTTCACAAGTCATCTTGATCATCGTTACTCTTCCTCAGATGCAGGGTTAATCCGCAAGATAGCTCGCCGTCTCAGGGCATTGCGGGTGCGTCATCGCATAGCCAGCCAGATCAATGAGCTCAAGGCTCGTGTGGTCGAGGCAAATGAGCGTCGCGTGAGATACAGGCTTGATGACTGTAACAACAAACATGGTGTTTCTGCCAATCCTGCTATAGATCCACGGATAACATCGCTCTACCAAAATGCCGGGAGTCTTGTGGGTATTGATGGCCCAAGCCAAGAACTAATCCAGCTGTTGTCGTTAGATCGTGATACCGATCAACGACAACTCAAAGTGGTGTCCGTCGTGGGATTTGGAGGTCTCGGTAAAACAACTCTTGCAAAATATGTGTACGACAAGATCGGGCATCAATTCGATTGCACGGCATTCGTCTCAGTATCCCACAAACCTGACATAACAAGGATCCTCAGTAGCATCCAATCCAAGCTTGACATAGGGGGCACGTCTCAAGCTTGCGACGACGTGCAACAACTCATCGACGACATACGAGCCTATCTGGAGCATGAAAGGTAATTAATATTTATCTACGTAATTTCACTTCACTTGCATGTACTAATCAAGTCATGTTCAATCTATATCTGTATCTGCCATATATGTCTATGTTAATTAACCAAAAATATATGACCGCTCGTTAGGTACATCAATGGTATTGCTATGATTGTGTAAATCATATTGAGGATTTGTCTTCAATAAAACATGCATCTTGTTAATACCGCGTGAACTCTATGGTTTTTAGGTTTTAGTTTTTAGTTAACAGGTTATTCAATTACAAAAGGGAAAAAACACTGCCAAACACAACCAACTTATTATTATTTTGGAATTTCCAAATGTTAAATAATGTCTATCATTGAGACTCTAACCGAGTACATGCAACTCAGTATGCATTACTTAATTATGGAATATTGAAATTATTAGATCATGGAAAAAGGAACTACTTCGTATACTGAGACTCAAAACAATGTACTCCCTTCGTCCCATAATATAGCAACCTAGTACCAGATGGGACATTTTATAGTACAACGAATCTGGACAGGAGGTTGTATAGATTCATTGTACTATGAAATGTCACGTCTGATACTAGATTGCTATATTATGGGACGGAGGGAGTAGTACAACTCAGTATTTATTAATTTTGAATTTTAGAGTTGTTATATTCAGAAGTATACTAAAATTAAGACTCAACACACAAATGTGACTACATACTTATTATTACAAATTTCAACAATGTTAAACTAAAAAAGGAAAGCCGAACATATATTATAATGGATTATGCAGAGTCCTTAACACATGATCAAATAGACGAGAGCCCCGCAGTAAATCCTCAACCTCAATAAAATCCTATTGAAAGTTTTAGTAATTATGATTCTTCCAAGTACAAAAAAAATTATTTTATAAGTAAAAGTTTCAGGTTGAACATTTGCCTATATTAAACCAAAATAAATTGAAACTATTGTAAAATAAAGGTTCCTCCAGGAACAAAAAAATATATTCTATAAATATAATAAAAATATATTTATGGGCTAATTATTCCTCATACAACTCTCATACAGATAATTTGGGTTATACATACTGTATACAAACTTTTTTTAAAATTGGACCGAGTTTGTAGAAAATATTAGCAACAACTTCAAAACAAATTAGTTTTATTAAATATAATATGATAATATCTTTGTTTTGTGTTAAAAATGCTACTCACTCCGTCCCAAAATATAACAACTTTTAGCCTTTAGAATTCGTCCCAAAATATAACAACTTTTCCACCAACATTCTCTTCTCAACCCATCATAACCCTCCACCATTCAATTTCCCACCTACCTCCACTTCTCAACCAATCACAATCTTTCACCATTTAATTCTACCTACTTTCTTAATAACCATGTCCAACTCTAAAACTCATTATATTCTGGGACGGAGTTAGTACTATATTTTCCTATCAAGTTGGTGAAACCTAAAGTAGCTTGACAAGGAAAAAAGTCAAAACGTCTTATAATATCAACCAGATCGAGGGAGTATATTGGATCGCCTATGGCATATTCTGAATTTGATATCGACGGAGATTTCAGTGATGCTTTTCTAGCATTATCCACACATTATCAGCTTGGATAGATTTACTTTATTTTGTAAAGGATATATTGCTCTAATGTTTCATTTATAACACATCTTAAAGTGGTGCATGTAAATATAATATTTGAAACAAAAAATTGGCAGGTATATTATTATAGTCGATGACCTGTGGAAACAAGAAGCATGGGTTATTATTAGTTGTGCCTTTCCAAACAATGGCAAAGGTAGCAGAGTGATAGTAACCACACGAGTGAAAGATGTGGCCAGGTTGGCATGTGGCAAGGATGGACAAATTTACAAAATACAGCCTCTGAACAATAAGGACTCAAGAAAGTTATTCTTCGATAGAGTATTTAGGCCTGAAGATAGTTGTGTCCTGCAGTATGAAGAAATTTCAACTGAAATCTTAAAGAAGTGTAGTGGCTTGCCACTTGCAATTGTTACTGTAGGGAGCCTCTTAGCCTGTCGACCAAGAACAATGGAAGAATGGAAGAGCATACGGGATTCTTTGGGTGCCCCGTTTGACAAAAACAAGAGCTTGGAAGGCATGAGGAATATTTTAAACCTGAGTTACAAGAATCTTCCTCTTCATCTCAAAACATGCCTCCTATATATTGGTAAATATCCAGAGGACTATGAGATCGGGAGGGATGAACTAGTTACGGAGTGGATAGCTGAAGGTATTATGGGTAACCCTCATGGGGAAAACTTGGAGGCTACTGGTAATGGCTACTTCAGTGAGCTTATCAACAGGGGCTTGATTCAACCAGAGAGCACCGGCTATGGTGGGGAGGTGTTGAGTTGCAAGGTGCATGATATGATGCTTGATCTGATCCTCATCAAGTGTGCAGAAGATAATTTTGTCAGCGTTGCACACAGTTGTAAAGACTACATGCGCATGGCTATGCACCATGAGCGGAGTTGCAATAAGGTCCGTCGGCTATCCCTGCAGTGCAAGGCTGCAAGATCAGATTGCGCAATTGAGGGCAGCGTCATTTCTACAAGCATGGCTCGTGCTCGATCAGTTTCAGTGTTTGGTGAGTGTTCACGTGGGCTCCCATTTCTGATGCTATCCAAGTATATACGGGTGGTGCACATCGAATTGGAAGGCCATGGCGGTCAAGTCGACCTCACTGCCATTAGCCATGTGCTTCAATTGAGGTATTTGAGAGTGGAGACGCCTGGTTGTGAGATAGATCTCCCCAGCAAAATATGTGGGCTCGTGCATTTGGAGACATTGTCAATATTTTCCCATAAAGCTGTAAGTCGGCTCCCTTCAGATATTAGCAGTCTTCCCCGCTTGTCAGTCCTGTCCCTGGTGGTTCCATGGGCTACAAGGCTACCCAACAAGTTAAACAAGCTAAAAGGGTCACTACGCAGTCTCACCATACTATTCAATCCCCCGGATGCGTTAGGCATGGAGGCCATTGGTGAGCTGAAAAATCTAAGGGACCTAAACATCTCTGTTAACAGGTGGCGGGACGATGAGATCCTTAGCCTTTATGCTCTGGGGTCTTCCATTGGAAAACTGGATGAACTCAGGAGTTTGCAAATTCATGTCCCACCTGCTACCTTAGGTGATGTTGACCTGCTGGGCTCATTACCCATTTTTCCTCAAAGTATCGAGAGACTAATACTACACGGTTGGTGCTTCTCCAAAGTACCTCGATGGATCAACGGTACTCTCCGTAACCTCCAACATGTGTTGCTGGAGGTATCGGAGACATCGAGTAGCGAGGTTGACCTTCTTGGTGAACTACCCTCCCTCGCCGACCTCGAGCTGAGAGTAGGACTCAAGACAAGAGATGTCATCGCGTTCGGTGGCACTAGAGCATCATTATTCCCTGCTCTCCTGAAACTCAAGCTGCGTGTGGGTGAACACGTTGCCTCAAGGCTGCAGTTCCAGGCAGGGGTGATGCCCAAGCTCCAAAGCCTCCATCTGTGGTTCCGGAATTGTGAGTCGGGCATTCACGTAACACCGGAGGGTATGCAGCACCTCCTGAGCCTCCAAAGCATCTGCGTGGAGATATACCTCCGGGATGAGGAGCTGAAAGCAACTTATCCATGGGACGCCATGGAGCGTGCGTTCAGGGAAATCACTGGAGCAAACCCCAACCGGCCTTCCTTCAAATTTGTCAAGCAAGTCTGATTTCTACAGCTGACTATAAATACTTGTCCCTCTTTTCGTTTTATTGGTTTCATATGTATGGTTTCCTTCATTGGATTGATAATACTCATCTTCATCTTTTCTTCTATACTATTATTTTTTTCCCGACCAAATTTTATTAAGAGGAAAAGGAGGTTTACTAGTGTTTACAAGATAGACATTAAGCTGTCAAGGCGGGGTGACAACCAAACCGATATCAGCCCAAAAAGACAAAGACAGGGCAAGGGTTTCCATTAATCACACTCTCGAAAAATCCTTGCTTCCTTCCAAATGATGATTTCCTCCCTTATATCATTATACACCCGTGCCACTGAGTACGAACGTTGTTCGAAGATCCTTGCATTACGCTCTTTCTAGATGAACCAGCAAACCATCATAAAAAGGGAGTCTATATATACTATAATAATGCACCAACTTTTCTTTTCTACATTCACCGACCTAACATTAATGACCTGTGTTTCCACAGTCATGATATCTCCTACATCCGCCTCTTGTGCACACACAAATCAGCAGCCATCCTCAAATAAAGCATCTTTCCTTAGACGCCTTCCTGGGATCTAAAGCAGAATGATCTGCCTGCAGTAATCAGCATACTCATTCAATTCAGAAATAACAATGGTGAGATAAGTATTGTACCAATCATGTAATTTAAGGTGGCTAAAACTGGATTAAATTAATCAACAGCAGATTTGTAAGACCAACAAGTGAGATTCATGACATGAATCATTAAAACATACAAGGAGTTTGGGGGTAAATCTTAACCCTTCTAGTTGCACTATTACTGCTACTACAACATTCAGTGCAGAATCTTCGATTGGCATAACCTCTACTGGCTAAAGGTACAAGTACAGTTGATGATTATTTTACCAATTAAGTCCCAACCATGATTAACCATCCCAAATTAGTGACTTAAAATTATAAGCACACTAGTGGCAGCTGATGATTATTCTCCTAATTAAATCTGGTGCCCCTTGGTGAACCATTTATTTTGACATTTACTCTTGATAATTTGCACAGACAAGTCTTTGCAGTTACATAAAATTATTTGCATCCAACAAATAATCAAATGCCGAATTTTCCATGGAGGGTCACATCACATGCTGCATGGAGCATGTTCATTTAGAAGCAATGGTAACATACATGTGTATATCATTCACATAATTTTTGAGCTTCTAAACACAGGAGTAAATTGATGAGAGAAAATCCCAAATATCGCAATAAAACAAATGCATTATGGATCTTCCAGCACCAGTTAAAGACAACTATTACCCCAATGAATGCAATTCATGACATGAAGCATTTCAACTCAATCAGACAAGAGTATGCATGGCAAAGGCAGCGTAACTTAGTTATTGCACAACTACTGTTAGTACATTGATTGCACAACACTGGAGTGTACTGAATATCCATGACATCATATCGCCCATCCAGAGCAGATGATATGTTGATGATGATTGTCATCCACACCCCAAAGCTGATCCAGATTTTCCATGGAATACTAACATCAATCCAATTGCATAATCATGTTTGTATTGCAAAGGAACTGTTGAATCAAGACAGCTTACCTTAAACTACTTTGCAGTTTGCACTAGTATATTTTGTTGCTTTTGGGGGAATTCAATCAAAACAAAAAATTGAATACACAACCACAGGCTACAGGTACAAGTACAGCTGATGGTTCGTCCCAATTAAGTCCCAACGAAGATTACCTATCCAATTGATTATCATCGTGACTCGAGAATACAGTACGACCTCTGTACAATAACAATCGCAGTGTAAATTGCTCGGTAATATCAATCACAGTTGACATCCTTCACCTCAAAATTTATAGTGTCCCTCATAATGTAACTCCAATTGCGGAAACAGTTGATTGTGGTTTATCGAGTTTCGGTTGTGGTTTAACGGAGGGCCCACCTTTTGATTATAGAGAATCAGTTTTAGACTTTTCTTGGATCGGAGGTACATCAGTATATATATTTTCACTTTCTACATTCAGTTTAGGAAACCCATAGAGGATGAATATATATATTGTTGCCAATTTTTTTTTAGAAAAGGGGAGAAACCGCAGGCCTCATCGTTTGGCTTTTTTCCTAATAAATCAAAACGGCTTATAAGGGAATAAAAATGAATTTATAGGTAAAAATTTTTATGTATATGTTCTTGGTGATTTAAAAGCCAATACTAAAAAAAAGGGGTGAATACCCAACATGATCCTTGACCTTTCGCTTAAGGATCAATTTAGTCCCTGACATTTCATATTGTCCAAACAAGTACCTTAAGTTCATTGTGTGATTCAATATAGTCCTTAGTCCCTCTAAACATGCCATGTGTACATGTCACATCATCTATGCATGCAAATTCAATATTTAAATGTCATTTACACCCTTACGTTTTCATAGGAAATAAAGAAAAACTATTGAGAAAACACACAAAAAAAAGTTTTTGGCCATTGGCAAAAATATGTAGCATTGATAGCTAAAAAATTGACATTTTTCTTTGTTTTATGATTGCTTCTTCTTGTTTTTCTTTTCTTTATTTGATAGAAAATTAAATGTTAAAATGGACATTTAAATATTATTTTACATGCACGAATGACGTGGCATGTACACGTGGCGTTTTAAGTGGGTCTAAGAACTATATTAAGCCGCATGATAATCTTTAGGGTCTTTGTTTGGACATTATAAAACATCAAGGACTAATTCAACCCCTGAGCAAAAGTTGAAGGACTGAATTGGCTATTCACCCAAAAAAAACTACATTAAAAATATCTCAAAATCAATCTTAAAATTAAGTTTGAAAATTTAAAATTAGGCTTTTTCTTTGGCTTATTAGGCCATCCGATGGGAGCCCGCGAGTTGCCGAGATCACAAATCCCCAATCACGCCGCAATATCCAGATCCTGTCGACATTGGCGGTGCTAGGTCAGGTGTTGCTGATGGCGTCTTTGCTCCTCCTACGTCCTGCGGCTTCAGGCGGTGCAAATCGGATCCGATTCCCCTCGATCATCTCCTCCTTCAGGAGGGGCCTATCCTCCCACATCGACGCCCATGGTAATCGATCTGCTTCCTCTTTAATTAATTCCTTTACGATTATATTATTGGATTGATCTTAAGGAATAGAATGATGAAGCGATATAAATTTTTCATGGGAACATACAATACCAACTTCTTCTTCTTTTTTTTCTTCTAATCCCGTAACAAAATACGAGCACTTTGCTAGTTACTTTGTAGTATGATCCACCTCTGCCTGTATGCCCTGTAGGTAAGGTGATGTTTGTGGCAGAAGAGAAGGACCTTTGCTTCAGATGATTCCCTGTGGGCCTTGTATGAGCAGTGGTGCAAGGCTTCTCTTCAACCAGAAGCGTGACCATGCTGGCTGAGATGGTTGAGCGCTTCGAAATCTTCAAGAGATCGACGTGTGCTCCTTGTGGACAGATCGAGCTAACAAGGAAGCTATCAGAGATGGTCTGTCCCGCAGACGACTTGGAATAAACAAGTTCACCGATGGGAAGATTTCAGAGCTCCAGGCCAATAAAATGCATCAGGGCATGGGCCGGTGTTCGGTGATTCAAAGAGTCCTGTTTTGAATCTATCTCAAACTCCCCAGAATCAAATCATCTTTAATTTTGTGCACATGGTGTTATGCTTAATGTTTAAGGTAGTGCTTCGGAACCAAAGTTGTGCTCTTGAATTTGTATTATTAGCATTTTAGCAAGCTATATATAGCAGGCCGTGCATACTTAACTTGTACCAAGCGATATATGCCCTCTTCCGCAAATAAATGCTTTGCTCCTGCACGTCATGCATACTACTTATGTCCCAAAATATAGCAAGTTCTGGCTATGACATGTAATTTAAGGAACTAATAACATGGGATAAAATTAATAAGCACCAGATTATATGGCCAGGCCAACCAGTAAGACTCATGACAGGAATTATTCAATTCACTCCAAAACGCACAAGAATTTGGGGGGTAAATAGCTCTTTTGATTGCACTACTACTACTACACGATCAAATAATTCCGTATTGCCCCTCAACTCCCAGATGGAGTAGCCTCTTACCATTTAGTAATGTGCAGTTAGAAGGGTAAGTGCTCCATGGCAAACCAATTATTTTGACACGTGCTTACTCCTGATAATTGTCGAACTCAAGTTTATTGAGCTAATAAAGCTTAGCGTCTTTCCAGTTACATAGAACTACTTGCATCCGGCAAATAATCTAATGCCAAATCTTCCATGGAAGGCCACCTAATGCATGGAGCATGCTCATTTTAGAAGCAGAGAAGTGCCATATGTACGTATCGTACGTAGTGTACCATTGGCAGGACTTCAGAGCTTCTGAAAACTGGAGTAAATTGATGAGAAAAAAACACTATCACAATAAGAAATGCATTAAGGATGTTCCCAGCACCAGTTAAAGACGGCTATTTTCCAGTTAGTGCAATTCATGAGATGAAGCATTCAACTCAATCATACAAGAGTATGGGCAAAGGCAGCTTAAACTTTGTTATTGCACAATTAATATTAGTACATTGATTGCAGAAATCTTCAAATGATAGTATACTAATACAGGAGTGCACTGAATTATCCACAGAATAGAAGATAATGATCAGTATCATTCACACCCCACAGCTCCAAAGCTTAGCATAAATGCATGATCATGTTTGCACCGCTAAGAAACCGTTGAATCAGCATAGCTAGCCTTTGTTGTTCTAATTTGCACTAGTATACTTTGTGGTTGCTTTTGGGGATTGAATTCGATCAAAATAGCAAATGTAATACACAACCTCTAATGGCGTGACGGTTATTCTCCCAATTGAGACCCAACCGGATTTTTAACCATCCCAAACTGTCTTTTCTGTGGTACGAGTATCTGTGTTGAGAGTAAGATATGATGATTATAGAGAGAGAATCCAAGTGCAACTCACGGCGAGGATTAGAGTTAGAAGGATAAGTGCTCCATGGCGAACCAATTATTTTGACATTTACTCCTGATAACTTTCAAACGCGAGTTTATTGAGCTAAATAGCTAATAAACCTAGCGCCTTCCAGTTGCATAAAACTATTTGCGTCTGGCAAATAATCTAATGCCGAATTATCCATGGAAGGCCACTTAATGCATGGAGCATGTTCATTTAGAAGCAATGGTGCCATATGTGTGTATTATAGTGTGCCATCCGCATGACTTTAGAGCTTCTGAATACTGAAGCAAATTGGTGAGAGAAAAAAAAACAATATCACACTGAAAAATGCATCGAGGATCTTCCCAGCACCAGTTAATGACGATTATTTCCCAGTTAGTGCAATTCACGAGATGAAGCATTCGACTCAATCATATGGGTAAAAGCAACTTAAACTTTGTTACTGCACAACTAGTATCAGAACATTGATTGCATAACCTTCAAATGATAGTAGTGTACTAGTAATACAGGAGCGCACTGAATTATCCAAAGCTTAGCATGAATGCATGATCATGTTTTCACAGCTAAGAAACCGTTGAATCAACGTAGCTAGCCTTTGTTGTTCTAATTTGCACTAGTATACTTTGTTGTTGCTTTTTGGGATTGAATTCGATCAAAACAGAAAATGCAATACACAACCTCTAATGTCTACTGGTACAAATACAGCTGACAGGTTATTCTCCCAATTGAGATCCAGCCTGATTTTGAGCCATCCCAAACTGTGTTTTTGTGGTATGAGTATCTGTGTTGATGAGAATAAAAATATGATGATTACAGAGATATAATCCAAGCGCAACTCACAGCGATCGGATCGGATGGAGCGGAGGGTTGATGATCAGAGGTTGAATTGCTCCATCTGGACGTCGCTGGCCTTGAGCGGGACGTACTCGCCGAGGTAGACCTCGAGGTGGTCGGAGAGGTTGCTCTTGTCGATGCTCTCGTGGTGGTAGCTCTTGCACACCAGGTACACCACCGTCTGCACCACGAGCGCCAGCATCACGACAGCGCAGAGCGCGGCGAGCATGGCGAGGCCCAGGAGGAGCCTTGAGCCGGCGCCGAGGCCGTGGGTGGCCCCGCGCACCACCCACGCCCGGAAGGCGACCTCGACGACGATGAAGACGACGTTGAGGACGAAGAAGATGGCGGAGGCGGTCCAGAGCTTGCCCTGTATGAGCGCCTTGCTCTTGCGCATGGCCTCGAATCCCTTGTAGTCCTCGAGGACGGAGACGACGCTGGCGAGGTGCCAGACGACGCTGAGGTAGACGAGGCCCGCGATGTAGGCGAGGGCGAGGAGGAAGGCGAGCAGCGCGGCGAGGCCCGATCCGGAGTCGGCGGCGACGAGGAGGGCGACGAAGACGGCGACGAAGAGGAGGTGGTAGGCGAAGAGGAGGAGGAAGGCGGCGAGGAAGGTGGCGGCGAGGCGGCGCCAGACGCGGGGGACGACGGAGAGGACCCTGGGGAAGGAGAGGGCGTCGTGCTTGGCGGAGTAGACGGAGGCGACGGAGAAGACGGCGGCGGCGGTGGAGAGGAGGGAGAAGAGGAGGAGGGCGAGGAGGTAGGCGGCCTTGAAGAGGAGGAGGGCGAGCCAGTCGTCGGCGAGGCGGTGGAGGAGGCGGCGCTGGGCGGGGGTGCCCGGGGCGGCGGAGTCGAGGGCGGAGTCGTCGGAGTCGATGTGGGAGAAGAGGGCGTGGGAGATGGCGATGTGGAGGAGGAAGAGGAGGGAGAGCGGGAGGACGAAGGCGGCGGCGATGCGGGCGAAGAGCGGCCGGTGGGCGCGCAGGATGGACGCCGCCTCCCTGTAGATACCCACCATGCCCAGGAATTGCAGCTCCTCCGGCTCGCACTCCATTTCTTCGATTGAGGATTGGATTTGATTTGGATTCCTCGTCCGCTACGCTGTCTGTAGCTACCCTTATTAATTTGGTAGGTAGCTAACGAAACGAGATGAGCTTGGTGGTAGGCGAGAGATCGGATTGGGGAATTTTGGATTTGGGGCGTGGAGGAGTAGTCGTACGTAAGCAATTGGTGGGGGAAGCGAGGCGAGCTGGAGGTAGACGAAGAAGATGATGAAATTGGAATTGGAATTTGGGGGAGAGACCAAGAGAATGGTCGTCTCCGTGTGGTGTCGAATTGAGACGATGGTTGATTTGGTCAAGTCAGGGAGGGTGCCTCGTCGGTCGCTGCCTCTCTCTCTCTCTCTCCTCTGCTTGAGGCTTCAGACAACAAGACACAGACCAACGAACGAACCAACAGGTCCTGTTTCTTTTTAAAAAAAATAAATTAAAAATTATACTAACTACTCCAGTAAAATAATAGGGACATTTGTAAATCTGTCACTGATTTTTTTTAATTTTATAAAGATGCCACTCGAATAATAATTTTAATGGTATGTTTGCTTTTTTTTTAAGTTACAGTTATTGTCTTTACGGTACCGATTAGAATAAGTGGTAAATCTATAATTGTTCCTTCAACGTTTGGTCAAATCAACAGCAACAAAGGCATGTCAAATCGACGCACGAAATGGTCACTCCGATAACTCGCGCCCGCGCCCACACTGTTCGATTGGCCGTGTGGCAATCGGCGAGGCAGCACCACTTCAGCTCGGCGGCGTTCCCCGTGTTCGCGTTCTCTCGTCCCGCCGCCACCGCTTCAGCTCCCGCCCGCCGCCGCTTGCTCCCGGCGGACGGCCGAAGGGGAGAGGGAGAAAGAAAGAGAGAAGGGAGGAGGAGGGGAGGAAGAAGAAAGGGAGAGGATGACATGTGGAACCCACATGTCAGTGGGACCCACAATTTTGTGTGTGTGAATAACAAACGGGTCCCACATATATGTTTTTAATTGAAATGTCACCTAAGCGCCACGTCAGCACACAGACTAGGTCAACACCACCGCGTCAGCGCCACGTTAGAGAAGCCGCTCTCCAAAACCGCCAAGGGAGTCAAATTGCATCGGTTTCAATAGTTTGGGGGTCCAGATATCCGGTCTTGCGGTTTAGGGTCATGGATTAGATTCGGGTCACTTTAGGGAGTCAAAGTGAACTTATTCCGAACAGAAACACACAGAAAAGGATCCCACAGAAAAACAAGAGACGCCGGCCCAACATGTACATATACTACCAATATACTGGATGGGCCAGATAGGGGAGGCCCAACTTTCTCCCGAAGCAGGCCGTCCAGCCCAATTAATTGTTAGGTGCTCGGGATGGTTGGGCCTTTTCTCCTGGCCTTTCACGGCCCATTTCTACAACTGACTTGCTTTCCCTTCTTCTTCCTCCGTCGGTCCATCCGTACAAGGAAAGCGAATTTCCTTCCCTCACTTCAATTCTCTCGCTTTACAAGCTGGTTGCTGCTAATTACCTACACAACACATATATAATTTTCAATATTCAATGACCGATCGGTGCATACGAAAATCAATCATTTGTTTTTTTTTCTAACCAAGATGCGATGACATAATTGATCTTTTGTTTATAAATATATGAATTGAGAGCTTGTAATCTTACAACTGCTATTTGAGATAAACTAGCCATCCGCCGACACACACGATCGCGCTAGCCACCCGTGTCCAACTAAAAATGAGATGCGCGGCAAAGTGGCCACTATCGAGTAGCATCCATTCTCATTGCAACCATTCCTTTTTTGTACCCACATTTCTTTAAAATCTAGTAGTAACATGTTTCTTCTTATCTTAGATATTAACTCTGTTCCAGAAGGCATACATCGAAGAAGCAACAAATCATATATTATGAGTCTGTTCTTGAAATCTTTAAAAGACACAATAATTATAATATGGCTCTAATAGTTAAATATAACCAACATTGCAAATTTTTTAATGAATATAATGTCTATTTTAGCAAAATCTAAAATCAAGAGTAAATTGCAGTGCCGGTACACGAACTTGTCAGGTGGGTGCAATTTAGTGCACGAACTTGCAAAATGCTCGTTTTGGTGCATGAACTTGTCTGGTGCATGTGGAAGAAGACGAAAAGGACACTACATGTCTAATCTTAGATTTAGAAGCAGATTAGGATACTATATAGACATATATATATATATATGAGAAGGTTGCTATTAGATATACACATCTTCAATAAAAAATAGAATAGTATATAGTGATAGGAGAAAAGGATTAAAAAAAATTCAAGAAATGATATAAGGGTTAGAAATATATGAAATTCATCATTTCCATGATGAAGGATAAAGTAGAGACCAAATTTATAAATATAGCATTTCTTGTGTATACTCACTAAACGTACGCACGTTAGATCCTAATCAACGTCAGCTTCATAAAATTAATATTTCCAAGTTATTCTGGTCCTCGTTCGCATAAACTAGACAAGTTCGTGTACTGAAACGAACATTTTATAAATTTATGTACTAAATTGCACCCACCTAACAAGTTTGTGTACCGCCAATACAATTTACTCTAAAATCAAAATCAAGTCTAGATCAGGCAAAACCGTGCAGGCAGTGTTTAATGATATCGAATGACACCATGTCTAGATAAATCTTAGCGATGGTAAAATTTATAAATAACTAATATGTTGTTTGGATTCTCTACATAAAAATAATAATCCATCTGTTCAAGTAAGGTATCTAAGGAAAGCCAATATTTTTTTAAAAAAATTGAGTGTTACTTATGTGGATCGTTATCCGCATCTCTCCTCCACGATGCATGTGGAAGAATTAGGGAGGATGGAGGCACCCTGAACCCTCACTATAGTTTCCATGCTTTCTTCATGGTTTGTTTTTGGTAGCTATGGAACCACGGGTACAATGTGGTCTTAAGAAACGAATTCGCATCGATACAAGGTATTATGCTCTACATATCTGTGTTGAGGATGCATCCTTGACTTCTCGTGCGCTAAACAAATGCAACTAACGAACACCATGTGTTGTGTCGTGCTAGTAACAACAATTCTCTCTCTTGCTCACATTTCCCTTATCAAATGAGACAATTCGTATGGTGAATCTCTCCCACATTGACCTTTCTAAAGAATAAGCAATATTATCTATGTTTTTATTAATAACATTTTGTAGAACACACTGATGGAGGGGTATAATACTTTTTAAGAGAGACATAAACACAAATAAAAATTTACTCATATACTATAGGTCGGAGGTTCTGCTATATTAATACTGGGTCGGACCATTCTAATCATACAAATTTCATCTAGGAAACTATCCCATATAGAACTAATTCAAATCCCAAGAAATTCTCATAAGATTTAAAATGTTTATGATCCACATTTTGTTGATATACTACTATAGTCTCTAAATTTTTGCACTAGAGTCGTTTGAAAAAAAAAAAAAGCTTTTGTGTCCTCTTCCCCTAGCTTAGCTTTGTCTTTCGTGTTGGCCTCGGCGCGCCCGCCACATGCGCGCGCGGCGCCATTGATGCGACGCGATGCTTCCTCACGCCACCGCCCATCAGCCCACGCCCAGCCCGCGCCCGCGCCTCCTCCCCGTCGCCGCCGCCGCCCTCCTCCTCGCCTCCTCCTACCTCGCCCTCACCCGCCTCCCCGCCGCCGCGCCGCTCGCCGCCCTCGTCGCCCCTGCTACTGCACGCGTCGACGGGGACAGGGACAGGGACAGCTGCGCGGGGTTCTACCGCGGGGGGTCGTCGGGGCGGCGCGCGGCGTCGGCGTCGGTGGAGGAGTTCGGGGCCGTGGGGGACGGGGTCACGTCCAACACGGCGGCGTTCCGGCGCGCGGTGGCGGCGCTGGAGGCGAGGGCGGGAGGCGGCGGCGCGAGGCTGGAGGTGCCGCCGGGGAGGTGGGTCACGGGGAGCTTTAACCTCACCAGCCGCTTCACGCTCTTCCTGCACCACGGTGCAATCATCCTCGGCTCCCAGGTGATCCATCAATTCATCTTCCCTTTTTCGTTTTCTTTTTCCCTTCGATTTCTTTTTTTTTCTTTATTAGTTTATGATCCATGGCTTCTAGCAGTTGCAACAAGAGTTCGTTGACTTAAGCATATATGGAAATCAAATCCTGATTCTGTTCATCCGATTGTGGATAATCATGTTGATATGCGAAGTGAAATTAATATTTGCACTGGAAAAAAATCTCTAAGTACAGCATTAGGATATCAGTTACTAGGCTGGTTCCTGTTCTTGCTGGATTGTATCATCTGTACTTTGCATTGTGAAACTTGGCTCAGCGGTTGTGTGTTGTCACATCTCTCATCTCACATGCCAATGGTTCATTGAAACATGAGAGAGAGGACATGGGTGGGTTGGAATCACATGCTTGGACTGTCTGGTTTCTTGTGGCTTCTGCTACCACTACCAGGCAGCCTACCAAAATGTTATTCTACTCTCATGTGCCTTTGCTTTGTCCTTACTGCTGCTTGGACTGACCACACCCTGATTCTGCTTTTGTACTTTGCTTCTTCTGCCGTCTTTATCTGCTTATGCTAAAAGATTTGTAGACAATTCTGCAGTGCTTGTTTGGAGCTTCCTACAGGAACTAAATATTCCACATTTTTGGTGCCTATAAATTAATTGTAGAGTGGTGTTCATGCAATTGGTTGCTACTACTTCTACCTTGTAGTAGTAGGGAGTAGAATTTGCTCCATGGATTCCCTCGTATGGCGTATGGGGGTACGGAGTGCTGCATTCATGTTTGAGGCAGAAAGTTGTTGGGATAGAGGCCATAAATTAGTAACAGTAATTAAGGGCTTTAATTAGATGCTATGCCTTTGACATGATGCCACTTGCACTCACAGCAGAATCACCTTAATATTCTAATACAATCATGGCCAGGTGTCCAATTAGTCTTTTTGGCAAAAAAAAAAAACACCATTCAAATGCTTGTTGTAGAACCAAGAACAACTTACTGTGAAAAGTGAAAACTGGTCAGTTGGAGTGAGTGAACCAACTGAAAATTGCAGCCTAGCATTTTACTTCAGTCTAATGCCAGTTCCCGAACCATCGCGCCATATAGTTTCTTATGGGAATTGGGTGGAACCAAAGGCAATCGAACGATCATCAATCGCACAGAAGACAGATGCATGAATAAAAAAGTAGTGTAGATCGTTCTACTCATAATGATACCAACATGAAAGCAGGAAGAACAATCAATCTTGACGGGGTAGGGGGACCATACCCTAGATTCTTGATTAAATTATTTGTATTGGTATTTAAGAAGAACAGTCTCCAGCACTTCATAGTGTTGCATATGTTGAATGGAAATCTGCATAGCATTGACTGGTGCTTTGGACTGTAATGTACAGGATCCGGAAGAATGGCCTCTCATAGCCCCATTGCCGTCGTATGGGCGTGGGCGGGAAAGATTAGGACCACGCCACATCAGCCTCATCCATGGAGAGGGCCTGGATGATGTTGTTATTACGGGTACAGAAGTTGTTTTATTAGCTATGTCTATTTCAGTTCTGATCAATTAGCAAAGTTGTATGTGCTGAATTAAGTCATTATAATGACAACATAAACATAATTACATAAAACATTATTATGTTTAGAGGTATAGCATATCATACATGTGAAGAACTAGCGTTGACTTGTAACTTGCATGTGCCCCCCTTTACATGTTAGGTAATCAGTTTTCGAAAACACATGTTAGGTAACAATGGGACCATAGATGGCCAAGGCAGGATTTGGTGGGACCTATGGTGGAATCGAACGTTGAACCACACAAGAGGCCATCTTATTGAGCTAGTGGACTCAACCAACATCATGATCTCCAATATCACTCTACGCAACTCCCCGTTTTGGACAGTGCATCCCGTCTACTGCAGGTCAGTTTGTTATGTTTGTACAGCGAATAAACAATTGCACTTGCCCTCTTGATATTCATTATATTGGAATCATATAAAGTGAACATGTTGTTTTTTTTTCTTTCAGAAACGTGGTGATAAGGAACTTAACTGTACTAGCTCCCTTGAATGCTCCAAACACTGATGGCATTGATCCAGGTACATGCTCCTAGAGGGTGTTCCTCTTTTACGCAATGTTAATTCCAACTCTGGACCATCATTGATTGCTGTACTTCATATGATAAAAGAAGTGGTCCTATTTGTTTGCTCTTTAGAAGCTGACGTAGTTAGATACTGCTTTATCGCCATTTTTAGCACTACAAATTTGAATTAGAACATACTTATGCTTCAAACTGGTGATAACTTCATTATAAAACCTCAAACTGCGAAGAGCATGCATGGCTATCCATGACATTTTCCATTGATGTATAATGGCAGATTCGAGTTCAGAAGTTTGTATTGAAGACTGTTACATTGAGAGTGGAGATGATCTGGTTGCTGTCAAGAGTGGCTGGGATCAGTACGGCATCTCGGTAGGGAAACCAAGCTCAAACATCATCATCCAGAGGGTTTCAGGCACAACTCCAACATGCTCAGGTGTGGGATTTGGGAGCGAGATGTCCGGTGGAATATCAAATGTCATCATTCGCGACCTGCACGTATGGAATTCCGCGCAAGCGGTGAGGATAAAAACCGATGTAGGACGAGGTGGCTACATAACCAACATCACCATAGAGAATGTCAGGATGGAGAAGGTCAAGGTGCCTATAAGATTCAGCCGAGGTGCGGATGATCATTCAGATGACAAGTATGACCGAAGTGCGCTGCCAAAGATCAGTGATGTGCGCATCAGAGACGTTGTCGGTGTGGATTTACAGCGCGCACCGATGCTGGAGGCAGTGCACGGTGCGGTGTATGAAGGGATTTGCTTCAGAAACGTTAGCTTGACAGTGATAAAGCGTCAGGATAGATGGCATTGCGAGTCTGTGTATGGAGAGGCACATGATGTTCTTCCAGCGCCATGTGAAGAGTTTAGGAGAAATGGCTCGTCATCTTGGTGTGGCCATTCTTGAGTCTAAGTGTACAGAAGCCGGAATTTTTTTGTGACAGACACTGGAATTCTTGCAATGAGGTGTCTACTTTTGCCATTATAGGATGATAATACAGAGGATTTCAGGATCATACAGTCAGATTTTACAACTTAGCTGTATTCTTTAGTTTATCAGGTTGTATGTAGCACAAAGTTCAGGTTTTATCAATTGTAAAAGGGAGAATATATTCATGAAGAAATGAGCTTACAGAATCATTTTCACTGCATGCAAATTATGTGTTGTCTATACGTGCTACGGTGAATCTGTTTAACATGAATCGCTAGCTGCTCTAAATCGTGAGTGGGGCCATGCTGGCATTGGGAGTGTGTCAGACCGAAGATCTGATCATCTGAAGCTCACCGCTTTGGCCTTGTTGGCCGTGCTAGGCTGGGAGGTTCAAATGTTTTTTTCACCCCTTTTTTTTGGGGGGCTTAATTCATGTTTCAGTCCAGTGTCTGAGACTATATGTAGGAGCAGTTTGCAAGGCAGAAATTTGGCTGAGATTCTCAAATGTAAGAGGCAGTTTGCAGAGCAGAAATTCCAGAACAACCAGGAGAATAAAGTGAATCAGAAGAAATTTGGGACAAGTCAGGTCAGTTCAAATTCTGCACTAGTATCACTGTATCCCATGAGTTTGAGTTCTGCACATGAGGAGCTTGGGCATTTTCCTTCAGCCCTACACGGTGTAGAAGAACATATAGGGAAGGGCAACACAAAATTAAACTGCACAAGTATATACAGTATACTCAACACAGCAGCAGGCCAAGCAGCCGTGCAACGCACAAAAACACCAATCCCATTTCGATCCAACCGCTGCAATTTCACAACATTACAAATGCGGCGACCCGTCAATTGTTTTTTTTCCCCCAAACTGCCTGCATTTGAGTATTATCGGCCTTTCGATCGTAAGTGAAAGTGAGGACGTATACCACAACCACGAGAGCGACAACAGGGGGTCCATACTGATTTCGAGGAAAAAGAACTGAAGCAGCCCCATGGCCCCATAGTAACAAATGTGTTGCCAATCTCTCTTCTTGTTAGCTGGAGAAGGATCTTTACATCTGCACAAATTTCCCAGGAACATAATCCGAGCGAGCATCCTGTTCTGAATCTGACTGACTAGAATAATTCTGCCTTGTATAACCTATAAAGCTTGGCCTACGACTAGGACTGAGAGTTATTAAGCAATTTGGCTCTGGCGAAGAATACTCCTGCCAATAAACCTGCACGATAATGGGTATGAATCTTATTAGTGAATGTGATATCTATAACATAGTACCTTTTCCCTTGTTATTAAAAAAAAGCCTACCAAACAAAATGCTGAAAGAATTCTCCATGCTCGTCCGCACTTTGAAGAGAAGGATTCCAGCAATAGAGAGAGGGATCTTATTAAGGGAGCCCACAAGACTATATCAGGAGCAATATTGACATTAGAAATTCATGAAGACAGAGCACATGAAGATAAACATTTTTTAAAAAGCCACTACAATTCATTCAGTACCTATATGTTGTTGCACTTGACTGGTGAAGAAACCACATAGAAGTAAAGCTGATAGCAAGCCCCAAAACTCCACTAGCAGTAATGACTATCCAAAACATGGGCATCCTTAAGAGAGGCCTGAAAATTCATTCACATTGTAAATACATTATGCCACCAGATTAAGTAAATACTGGTTTTGTCAGGAGATGTGGCTGCAACAAGAAGATAGGTTTGCATGTAATTCAGAAGGATCCTAAGTACCGATGCATTACTAGTTGACAACCTATTTAATCCTATACATCACCTTTTTGTTTCTAGTGTCCAGACATGCCTTATTGACATGTGTGGAGGTCATTACCATTACCGATTCTGTTAGACACCATTAACTTGCCATTGACATGCCTAAGGAAGCATAGAAAGAAAACTTTCATGAAAGAGGTTTTTTTGTGAAATAAATGGAGATTCCACAGCTCCCATGTAGTCTACTAGGTTCACGTTATGAACCTCAGAACAAACCAAGTCTATTGGGTTCACATCAGAACAAACGAGTGAAGTTTGCTTACGTTTCAAAAAGGTACTCCACTTCATTGAAACCAAGCACGAGGATAATCCCAAGTGGTACTGAAAGAATATTATTCAGTAAAACCATTGATAACTCATTCAAATTCCCAGATTTGGTGGCTTGCTTGGCACTGTCCATTACATGCCGTAATGTAAGCTGAGAAAAACAGTTCATTAGTTAAAATAATTGTGGAGCACTTTAGAAATGAATATACTGAAAACTGGCTACATCATGGTTTAGGAATTTGAAACAACTGGGAATAACAGTTCAAGAATAGGCTGCATATGTAATCAGGTTTTTGTTAAAATGAACAAAAACAATACCGAATATGATGCCGTTAGAAAGCAGTTCAAGATCTGCCAAGTATAACCAATTGCATTAAAAGACAAATCTGTTATTCCTCCTGCAATTGCTGAAATTATCTACAAAAAGGGATATGTGAGTCAGCCCGTGAAAGGTAATACACTGTTGTTTCTAAACAGTGTTTCATGAACATCTATACTTTAATATTCAGAAACAAATCAACTAGATGCTACTGGCAGCAACGAAGTAAATATTCCCAGCAAGTATTTAAGTCCAGTTCAAACATCACTGAATTCTAGAGGTGACATACCATCAACGTGAGAGAAATCCAAACTTGTCTGTCATGCTGCTTTTTAAAGAAGTATGTCTCCCCAGAAGCAGTCAATACATTGGCAACATTCTTCAATATAGTCAGCATTGCAACATTGATGTACTTCAAACTGCAAGGTACAAAATGCATTAAAAATGAGGGAAGTAATTTTTGTCTGAGACTGCCAGTTGCGCAATTTCAACCCAGACCATCCTTATTACAAGCTGAGCCATGATAGATTCTTATATGAAAAGTTTCAGTTCCAAATGTTCAGAAATCTTAGATAGTAATTAATCGTCCACTCTCCAAACCAACTAATGGACCAATAGCAGCACGAGAGAAGACGTAAGGCAAGCCACAACAGATATTCATAATGAATATTAACGCCCGCAAAATGTCAGGACAAACAAATAGTTTCCCTGCATTAACTTTTTAAACTGCCAAAAGTTTATTAAATATCACTACTTATTCTCACAATAAGCACATTTACAAGTTCATCAGGTAAGTCCTCTTTCTTTGTGCATAGTTCCTAGAGTGGAAAGCTAGCAATATAGCACAGTGTTCATATTGTACCCTATGAATACATAGATAAATATAAAAACATTTTTAAATCACATACGTTCCATGCTCTAAAACCAAAACAAAGAATCTACAGAACAATGTAAATTGCACCCAAAAAGCGTTCAGATCAAAACAATCTGAATGTCTGGTGCATACCTAAACATGCTTGTAATTAGCATTCCGACAAATATGATATTCACAGGCAACCAAACTTTGATTAGCTTCCAAGTTAGTGGTTCAGTTGGGATAACACCAGAGAGCGATAGAGTGGACACTATAGTCACAGATACAATGTTCTGCAGCAAAAGACCATCAAGAGATTATCAATGGGTACAACAAGCAGCAGAAGCACGACACAGAAATAAATGTAATATATTGTTTGAGAGGTAAACAATCAGAAAAAAAGTAACATACCTGATAAAGCATCAGAAATATTCCAGCACTGAAACCATAGCCAGATAAGATATACTTATTAACTAAAATCATGCTGCAGGATGATATGCAATAGGCAAGACCAGATAGAAGAGCCTGATTCTGTATCTTTGGGAGACTGAGGAAATGTGAAGGCCTATCTCTGTCTTTTTCAGCCTTACCATCTTCCAAGTCAGTGTTGTCAATACAGAAGGATCTTGTTATAGATCTGGAGAAAATATGATCCAGAAAACACAACATAATGTGTTAGATTCCACGATACTTCCAAAACATTTTCATTCAAATAGACAAGAATAATGTTTTCACATGGTATTTTCAGTTTTTTTTCCCATTGCTGAATCGTCACACCACATGATTATGTTGAACCGAACAAGAATATTTTTATATGTAAACGAAAACATTATATGTAAGTTGGGATGGAGGGCATGTAATTGATGGAAAATCCACTTTATACTTTGAATACAATGGCAACAAGTGGATAAAAGAACATTGGTCAAGGGAAGCTTACATGCCTGTTCCCAACTTCTCTCCTCAAAGGACTCCCAAGTGCACTGTATCCTCTAACCTGATCCCGGAAAATACTCTTTTCACCATTCACAAGAGGACTTGTTACAGTCTCTGGCGTATTTTTCCTAGGAGAGGCATCTGAATCCACAGGAATGGCTATAGAAGGAGTTCTACAAGATAAAAAGGATGCCATTAGCAATAATTCAATTATGTAAGATATATGTAGGACTCTTCCTTATATACAGCATGCCATGTTCTATTGGGTTTCATCTCATCAAATATCTCAAAGTGAACTCAAACCTCATGATCCAGCAAGCAAATGAAATATATGGTACTTAAGAATGCTTTGTCCAGAAGGATAAATTGCAAGCATATGCATTTCCCAAAAGAGTCAAAATTCTGTTCTAGAAATAACATGAAAAAGGTCTTGTGCTGTTAATTCACACAATCAAATTATCATCGCTGCATAACACATTTTTTTTCAAAGCAATTGTTGAAACCCAACCCCCACAGAGGCACAGGCATCAACCGGCTTGATTTTGAAACATCAGTAGCGCATTCGATGGCTGTCATATGAAATAACTATTTGCTTGTAAAGGATGTCTCATGGTTTTGAGACATGGAAATTCTCTATCAGATTGAAGTGCTGTGATCTAGGAAGCAACTCCAAGGTTATCCCGATTGAGCAAACTGACCAAATAAAGTCCGGCTATCACATTCATCCGCCAGCCTCATACACACGCTACAGCTATTTTGCTGAACATCTAATATGCTCAACTCTGCAAAAGTGCATTATCAGAATAACGGTATGGTGAACCGAAGTATGAATTACTAAATTTAATCAATCATGTGGGGTACACGGGTAAATTGGTGAAAACAAGCGAGTTGAGGCACGCATACTACTGTTTCACTTCCCAAACATTTAGTTTCATTCTATTTTGGGAAATATTGAACCTACCCTCTAAACAATGAATGAGCTCTTGGCAAGATAGTGGAAACCAAATCAATAGCTATGGTCAACAGAAGAGTGAGAATCTACTACTACCAATAAAGGAAACAAGTTCGTTACATCAGCCATTAGGTAGTAATTAACCACACGCCCATTTACTAACAAAACAAAGTTGTTAAACATGGGCCATTCACTCGTTTATACTCTCATCAGCCAAATGACTAATACTGTGCGATCAAACCATGAGACAAGTGTAGCCGCAACCCTGTCAAATCTCAATACATTTCTCATATGCAAGCCATTCCCGCTTGTTTGTTAGTTTGAGACTTGGGAGGAGTTAAAAAAAAACAAAAAAAGAGGAGAAACAAACTAGCTGAGGTTCCATATCCATCCATCCCTACACGCTTCCAAATTACAGAAAATATGAAACCCGGAGAGAGAGAGAGAAAGCTATTGCACCGAGACATTCCTGATGAAATCCGTAGCTCCCCACACCGAAATGGATCAGCAACCAAAAAAAAAAAAACACTTCCCCGAAACGAAACAAACTCTATTAGAGCAATCGAACCACCTCCCGTACTAAAAAGTTCCCTAATCCAAACCCAGCTAGTTATAAACCGCATTAGTCAACCTCCTCGTCTTCGAAGGGAGCGGCGGCGGCGGCGGAGGTGAGAGCCGCCACCACCGGGGCTGGAAGCCTGGAGCAGGAGCCGCAAAAGTTGTTGCCGTACAGGGGAAGAGGAGAGAGAGAGAGGTCGATCGGAGGCTGACCTGGTGGAGCCCATGGCGCCGCCGGAGCCGGGCGGCGGCGGCGAAGAATGGCGCGGCGGAGGAGGAGAGGAGAGGAGGCGTCGGAAATTTTGCGAGGCGGCGACGACTCGGGAGTAACGGAGGAGGGGGGGATTCGCTTTAAAATATCCGGCGGCCTCTCTCTCTCTGACGGGTGGGCCCCACCTGTCGGGTCTCGGGCGCAGCTGCTTCGCTGTGGCTTCCTCGACACCCCGAGCCGCCTGGTACTTCGTGCCGCTGACCTGCGGGACCCACGTGGTACCGGGCCCACGTGGCGGTGGCGGGGGATAAGGCTGGGCGTTGCCCTGGTCGCGTCGACTCCGCGTGGCGTTTGGAGTTGGGCGAGCCGTGCGAATGTCGTGGCGTTGACTGGAGCCCAGCGATAGCAGTAGCAGGCTTTGCGTGACCTGACCATGGAGGATGGGCTTTGACCTCATTTTGTTTGCTTCAGATTCAGATTTGTTTCACACATCTCTTTCATCTTGCGTCTGATTATGAATTACTACTACTGTTTAGTTTAGGTTAGGACATCAGGTGGAAGCAAATTACTTTGAAATTTAAACAAGTAGTACCAAGATTAGTACTAATCCAGCTATAGAATGGAGTGGCAGGAATCTGTGGAGGTTGACTTAACATTGGTTTAGTATTTTCTTTCCAATACAAGGACGTTATGAGCTACCACATATGCCATAGATTCCATTGATTATACTGTCCTAACATCAGATAAACACGACGTCAATCATATGCATTATCCAAATCTCAGTTTTGCTTTGCTTGTGCTAACTATCTTCTGTTGAGAATGGATACATACATACCAAAGATGTTTGTTTGGTTAAGTTGCAGTATTAATTAGGTCACTTAATAATTGATTATTAGTTGTACAAGAAATGTCATACTATTATATACATCATATTTTTGTTTAATTTAATGGGGGCGCAGAACGATTGAGTTTGGTTTTGAAGGTGAAATTAATTACTCCTTACAATTCATCAACGATGCATGTAATAGCAAGCACTAAAGTTCTATTTAAAAAATCCATCGCATACATAACCGGTGAATCAATAAAAGTAGAAAAAACAACACTATGGTATCATTCACTGTTTTATCAGCATGGGAAAAGAAAAGGAAAAAGGAAAAGGAGAAAGAAAAGCTTTCCTGGAGGATCTCGTCGCAGCGAGAAGCAGATGTCGGCGGCCCATTTACACGGGCCTCTCATCCGGCCCACGAACCAGCCCAATTAGGAGGCAGGCCCGACACGATACAACTTATCGTCTCCTCTTCCCCTCTCGTCTCGTGTCGTGTCGTCTTCTCCAACCCATCCAAACCAAAGCCGCGGCGGCGCGAGGAGGCAGCGAGAGCTAGGGTTTGGGGCGGCGGAGGGGAGATGTCGCGGACGCTGGTGCAGCCGGTGGGGCAGAAGCGGCTGACGAACGTGGCGGTGGTGCGGCTCCGTAAGCACGGGCAGCGGTTCGAGATCGCGTGCTTCCCGAACAAGGTGCTGTCATGGCGGACGCGGGTGGAGAAGGACATCGACGAGGTGCTCCAATCCCACACCGTCTACTCCAACGTCTCCAAGGGCGTCCTCGCCAAGTCCAAGGACCTCCTCAAGGCCTTCTCCACCGACGACCACACCGCCATCTGCCTCGAGATCCTCGACAAGGGCGAGCTCCAGGTCTCCGGCAAGGAGCGCGAGGCCCAGCTCTCCTCCCAGTTCCACGAGATCGCCACCATCGTCATGGACAAGACCATCAACCCGGAGACACGCCGCCCCTACACCATCACCATGATCGAGCGCCTCATGCACGACGTCCACTTCGCCGTCGACCCCAACCTCACTTCCAAGGAGCAGGTCTGCTATTCGAATTTTTTTATTCCAATAGAGGAATACTAATAGGGCTTGCTATTCGATTTGTTAACTACTACCATCTGCTGCTGCCTGCTTTTATACTGACAAAATAGAAACCAGCATCGTTAATAAACATGTTATCGCACCATTGGGCTTCAGATACAACTGATATAGTTAGTGATATTGACATTGTGTTAAATCAATTGAGTTACTTGGTTTCCTGTTTCTCTTTACAATTTAATATATGGAGATCATGGTTTAATTGTTTAAGCACAAATTTCCATGTCCTTATTTGCATTCTAGCGTAATAACTTTGTGTGTGTGGTTTGGTACCTGCGGTCGCATTTATTTAACTTGGATCTTCAATTCTTCTTCAATCACGGTAAGAAATGTGCACACCCAGTTTAGGATTTTCTGGGCCAACCAATTGTATTTTAACATCTAGTTTCTTCAGACACAGAACCAATGATAGTGTAAATAACAGAATATGCACAAAAAGAATGTGTGAATGTAGGTGAACATACCTGCTTGCTTGCATATACAAATTAGACACTCCATAAACCTCGTGTCTTGTGGACTAGTGCTTATTGGCTTAGCGAAGGACACTAATGTGATGAATCGTTCCTGTAAGCTCCCAGTGGACTATTCCTCTGCATTTGCTCCAATTGGTAGGAAATAGTCTGTTAGGCATTTAGCCCCAGAGGCCCAGACTTGATGACATGGCTGAGTCAAACCAAACATCATGGCTGAATAGGAAACTTAGATCACTAGAAATATCTCTGTCTCTCATCATCTGTAGAACTGGTAGCATGACTAAAAAAGGTAATGGTACCTCTAAATGTTTCTTAGTTGTGTATCGCTTGCAACAATTCTGTTCTACCTTCTTTCTACAGTTGATCAACCTTGCAGTGACAGTGAGTCAATTTCTTATAATAACATCATACTTTTTGTGAATAAATCAGTAGGAAACAGGCATGACAATACCGACAACATAATATGTTCATATTTGTTTTGATTACCTATGGTTTCTTCATTGCACAGGCACTGAGAGTTATTAAGAACCTAATTTATTATGATAACCTATGATTTCTTCATTGTGCAGGCACTGAAAGTTATTAAGAAGCTAACAGAGCATTTCCCCATAAAGCGTGCACCATTGAGGGTGCGCTTCACTGCACCAAAGTCAAAATTTGCAAGCCTTACAGAGAAGCTTGAAGAGTGGAATGCTAATGTTATTTCAAAGGACGAGTCTGGTAGCCAGCCCTCTGTTGTAAGTGCTTTCTTCCAGCTATTACTATTTCACTGATTATGATTCGCTTGTCATCAGTGTTCCCTGCATGACTAGAGTCTAGAGGCATTTCGCAAATCATATTGGAGCTCATGTTTTCATCCACAATGTTATGAAGCTGTTAAAAGATTTTTTTTTTGCTGTCTTTTGGAAGTTGTTACATTCAGATTTATGCTGCTTTATGCCACTTAATATTTTTAGGCTGCAATAAATTTATGCTGCTTTATGCCACTTAAATATTTGTAGAATTTAGTGGAATCCTTCAGAAGCTTGTCCTAGGATAGTAGGCTTTTTTTCATTGATAAATGGATTGTCATATACTGCTATGACTTGGTTGTTAGCCGTGCTAGTCAGAAGCTTGATCCCTATTGCATTGTTCATTCTTCTGTGAAATTATTTCCTATAGGAGCACTACCATCCTGTCATGCTTAACTTTATAACCATTATGTTTGTCCCATGTGTACGATGTTTTTCAGGTGTGTGAGATTGAGCCATCTATTCTACGGTCATGTGAGGAGAGATTGAAGGATGTGCAGGGGAGGGTGGAAGTACTCTCAGTGTCAGCGCACGCAGAAGGTGGCTCTTCTGTGGATCAATATGAAAACACTGAAGAATCTCAATCAGTGCCTGCAGTGGAGATTGATCCTGTTGCTCGGATAGGTGAGGCCATGCAGAAACAGTCCATCTCAAGTGAGCCAGAAAATCCTGGGCAGGGACAAGGCAAGCAGCAGAGAAGATGCAAAGAATGTGACGTGCTTGTGGAGGACAAGTTGTATAGGGAGCATTGCAAATCTGGGTGGCACAAGCACAACTACACACGCCACAAGAACGGCCTTCCTCCACTCAGCCAGGAGGAGTGCTTGGTGGAAATGGAATTAGCCGACTCCAAGAGGGACCTAAAAGACTATGATTTCTGAGGTGAATTCCCTGTAGTTCCACAATGATATTGTGTCTGTATTCTAATAACTTTGTCTGACTTCTGGCTAACATTTTGGTTCAACATGTTATCTTCTAGGCTGATATGGTAAACATTCCGTGTGGTACATGGAGATGCAGTGTTTTTGTCTGAGGAGAAAGGTTGTCTGTTTGATGCTGTATAGGGAAGCAGGGAAGGGAATATTTGTGTAACCGCAATGTACGCTACTTGCAATCTACTGAAATGGAGTGGTCTATCCACATTGTCTAACCGCCAAAGAGTAGCAGAAACCTGGTTGTTGCTGTATAGCTGGGCCAGTAAATCTGGTGGCAGTTTTGAATGTTGCTTATTCTGTAATGGGATGCTATGCTATGCTATGTGAGACTACATGTTAGTATATCATGTTTCTTGCTCTCATTCCTGTGGACAGAAGTGAATGAAAATTTGGAGATCGATTTTGCAATCTACAATGTGCCGATTTTGCTAGCGATTGTTTCTGGGATTTGTGGAGTCGATTGCTGTAGGATTGATCTCGTTTGATTCGATCTTGGAATAGTCGGCACGAAACAAATGAAACAGGCATACATGTTGGTTGCGTTGAACTGGTTTTTAACTCAATGTTGTGTGTCATACTCTTGTCGCTGAAGAAAATAGTGCAGTAACTGAAACAACAGAACTTAAACAAAACAACAGTGCATCCAGACTATCACACAAACAGCAATGCTTAAACAGAACATCATCATGCCAAAAAAAAAAAGAGAAAAAACTTTGAGCCAACTAGGCAAGACGAGGAGATACAATAAGTACATTAGGAGTATGATGACTAAATTCTTGAGCAAATTAAGCGGCGGTAAATAATCGCGCGAAAAATTGAAATGAAAAACTCCCGCCTCTCTGCCTCCAAAACAAAACCAAATCCAAATCTTCTTCTCCACAGTCGTCGCCGCCACCGCGGCCGCCGCCCGTCGCCGCGGTTGCGCTGTGGGCTGCGGTTGACGAGGAGGGAGGGAGGTCGCGATGCCGATCGAGCTACCGCGGGGGCTGCCCTTCGCCGTGGACACGTGGACGGCCGCCTCCGCCGTCAAGCGCCACCGCTTCCTGACCCACGCCCACCGCGACCACATCGCCGGCATCACCGCCACCAACGTCGCCGCCGTCTACGCCTCCCGCCTCACCATCCTCATCGCCTGCCACATCTTCCCCCAGGTAACCTTCATTCACAAATGGATAATTATCTCAAATCACCAACAAAATCAAATTATTACCACTCCAATTCAAAGCTCGATCGCGCCGACGCCTTCGTGGAGGTGGAGCTGGGCGCGCCGGTGCTCGTCCCGGACCCCGACGGCGACTTCACCGTCACCGCCTTCGACGCCAACCACTGCCCCGGCGCCGTCATGTTCCTCTTCGAGGGCGCCTCCTTCGGCCGCGTCCTTCACACCGGCGACTGCCGCCTCACCCCCGACTTCCGCTTCCTCGCCGCCGACTACGTCTTCCTCGACTGCACCTTCGCCGCCTGCTCTCTCCACTTCCCCTCCAAGGACGACTCCATCCGCCAGGTGAGGTCAACATTGCTGCTGCTGCTGAATCACTGACAACTCTTCTCCTCAACTGTAACTCTACATTTTTGCTCTCTCATGATTTCAGGTCATCAATTGCATCTGGAAGCACCCCAATGCACCGGTGGTTTATCTCGTGTCCGACATGCTTGGCCAAGAGGAGATACTCATGGAGGTGTCAAAGGTGTTTGGATCCAAGATTTATGTAGACAGGGACAAGAATTCAGAGTGTTATCACACCCTCTCCCTCGTCGCGCCGGAGATCCTCACCGACGACTCGTCGTCTCGCTTCCAGGTGATTGGTTTCCCCAGGTTGTCGGAGCGAGCAACGGAGATGCTCGCGTTGGCACGGGCGAAGCACCAGCCTGAGCCACTCATCATCAGGGCTTCTTCGCAATGGTACGCGTACTATGAGCCACCAGAGGGATCGACCAAGAGGAAACCGGCACTGACAGAGCCAATGCGCGATGAATTCGGGGTGTGGCACGTCTGCTTCTCGATGCATTCGTCCCGCGAAGAGCTGGAGCAGGCGTTGCGGTTCATCCAGCCCAAATGGGTCATCTCCACAACCCCTCCATGTATGGCGATCGAGCTGTCCTATGTCAAGAAGCACTGCTTCGCGTCCCGGTTACGCAATGATGATCCCCTCTGGAAGCTGCTCAGGTTGTCTGATGGAAATTCTGCAGTTTCAGGATCACCACTGGCTGTACCAACTGTAGAGATGATCAAGAAATGTGAGGAGGAAGAGGTCACTTGTTCTGTCAAGGACTCTTTCAGTTCTGATGGTATCAGGATGCGGGATCAAGAACCAACTCTGGAAGACTTTGAAATCAACGTGGAGCCACCTGTGACACTGTTCGGGATAGCGAGGTTTGGATTGACAGAGGAACCTGAATTGTGGAAGGATGAGCATGAGAGTGTCGAAATCGACGAGCTTAAAGTGCAGATGGAGAATTCAGCTACAGAATGTGAGCAGTGGAAGGATGGCATATCTGTCTTAGGCTCTGAAGTAATTGATTCAGTTGAAATTGTGGCCAAAGAGCAGGACTCAGCAATAGAATCTGAACAGTTGAAAGATTGCGAACCTAAAGATGGAACCAAAGCAACTGATGTAACTGAAGTTGAAGTGAATGAGCACACATCATGTACAGAATCTGTACTTTGGAAAATGGACAGAAGTGATGAGTGTGTGACAACTAAGAGAGGTGAATTTGAAGCTGAAGAACAGAAATTCACTGGCAGATACCAGTTTTGGAAAATATGCAAGCCCAAGGAGATGGAGGGTGCTAAATTGACTGTACAAGGTAAAAACACTGTTGAAGCACTTGATCAGGTTTTGGCCATCGATCGTCTAGCCTACTTGCATGACAACAACCAAGAGGTAACAAAAGAGGGTATTGCTCCATCAGAAACTGATCAGGAGAACTCTAAAGTTCCTGACAAGGGAAGCAGTGACTCCTCGAATGCTATTGGATCATCAAAAGGTCTGAATGCCAACCTGAGAAAGCTGTACAGGTCGATGAACGTGCCGGTTCCTCGTCCCCTGCCCTCATTAGTTGAGCTCATGGCAGCCTCAAAGCGACCAAGGGTTTCTCCTGCTGTGCAGCTGTAGGCCTATCATAGATTCATCTGTTGTTTCCGGCCTCTACTTTCAGTCATTATTTGAGTTAGACCTGTCATTCAAGAATACTTCCATTGTAACAGCGATGCTATAGCATAATAATATACTATAATTGTTCTTAATAGCTAACTAATTTGAATGAAAATACCATGCTTACAAAGTTGCAAGCTTGCAACCTTCAGGAACTTTGGGCAGTAAGGATTGTTGCCTCCTGCCTTGTTTGGGAATATATAATGATTTCATAATTCAACAGCATCACGAACGATTTTCTTGATACAGAACTTCACATCCAAGATTGCAAACAATATTCAACAGGGAAAAGAGCTTTTGGTCTGTGAGAAACTCATCCAGTGAAAGATATACATAAATTTAAGGAGCATGGTGAATTTTTGAGGCCAACTAGATAGCTACAGGCTGTGTCAAACAGCCCTTGTTTTCACAACAGGACGATACTTTTCAGGGATAGCATTTATATGTTGATCGTATTTGCCACTTGAAACCAGCAAAACCAGCGACTCAGCCGTGGAAGCTTCAAGGGAGAAGTTATTTTCATCAATTTTGGAGAGATAAACCCCAGCCTTGCGTACCTCCCCTTTCTGTAGTAACTTTCCAACTAAAGCATTTAGCATTCGGGAGTTAGCTGTACAACCATTCTTCTCCAAAGAAAGAAATAAATCATCCAACTCTTCTAGCAACCCTTGTTCTATCAAACTTTTCATCATTAACCAGTAGGTCACAACATTCGGCACTAAACCTCTAGCCAAGAGAGAAGCAAACAGATCCTTAGCTTCATCATGCCTGCCACCTTTAAGTAACGCATCAATCATAATGTTAAAAGTCCTATTCTCTAGGTGGAAATCAATCAAATATAGGTTCTGAAAAATTCGGAGAGCATCATCAGTGCAATTGTTTTGGCAAAGTCCTAGAAGTATTATGTTGTATGTGCCGATATCAAACTTTATCCCACTTTTAATCATCCAAAGATAGAGTTCTTTTGCGGCTGCAGTTCTTCTAGCCTGAAACAACCCCTGGAGGATTGTGCTATAGGTAACAATGCCAGGATTAACACCCTTGCTTGCCATCTGTCTGAAAAGAGAAAATGCATCCTCTATCCTACCGTTCTTACAGTAACCATTAATCATGGTATTATAGGTAACTTCGTTAGGTTTCACCCCATCTAACACCATACCTTCAAGTAACTTTGCTGCTTCATCCACCTTACCATGTAAGCAATATCCATCTATGAGTGTGTTGTATGTAATGACATCACGCTGCACATCTACACGTACCATCAAGTCAAATATGTTTTTGGCTCTTGCAACCATTCCTTCTTTGCATAGGTGGTTCAACAATGTGTTGAAGAAAATGTTGTTGGGACAGATGCCTCGACCGATCATTTCAACAGCTAACTCCTCAGCCTTGTCCCATTTATCACGGGCACAAAGGCCATGAATTAAGTTTCTAAAAACAACAGCATCAGGAGTTAGTCCTTCAGAGATGAGCCTGCCAAATTGGGCCATAGCATCATCCACTTTACCTACCATGCAGAGCGCGTCCATTACTATTCCGTAGGTGACTGTATCAGGATTCAATCCTTGCCTCCTCATTTTGCTAAATAAAAGCATGGCATCATCTACTTTTCCATGTTTAGTGTATGTGCCTATTAATATGTTAAAGATGTAGTGATCAGGTTGAATACCGTTTCGTACCATCATATCCAATAGATGATGCATCTTAACAAGAGATCCTTCAGTAGCATACCCATGAAGCAGAGTACCGTAGGTAGCACTGTTAGGCTTGTGGCCCCTCTTGACCATAGAGTCAAAGATCTTTCTAGCTTCCATGGATCTTCCATTCTTGCAGAGATAGCCCATCAACGTGTTATAAGTGAATACATCTGGTTCAACACCATCCCTGCACATCCTTTTGAAAACCCCAATAGCGTCATTGGGCTTTCCTGATGAGCAATATCCATGCAAAAGACTATTGTGCGTGATGCGATTAGGCATAGCACCATTCTTAACCATCCTAACAAGGACCACAGCGGCCTTGTCCATTGCTCGAGCCTTGGAAAGGGCAGAGATAATCGAGTTGTAAGTCACAACATCAGGCGACAACCCCTGATCCAGCATTTGATCAAATAGGTGATAAGCTGTGTCCAGCTGACGACCCTCTCTAAGCAAGCCGTTGATGACTGTGTTGTATGAAACCACGTCGGGTGGGTATCCTCCTCTGGTATCATCAGCCACCATCATGGTGTGGAGCAGGTGGAGAGCTTGTTGACTCCGGTTTTCATCACAGAGGCCCTTGAGAAGGATGGTGTAGGAGAAGACATTGGGTGTGCAACCCAGAACAGGCATTCGTCGCAGCGCAATGTCCATTGCTTCGCTGGTCCTCTTTTTGTCGCAGAGAGCCTTGAGCAGAGGACTGAAGGTGATTGCTTCCGCCGTCCATCCAGACCTAATGACACGGCCGAGGGCGGCGAAAGCGAGGTCCAAGTGGCCGACGCGGCTGCAGCAGTCAATGACGACGCTGTAGGTGATTAAGTTAGGAGGCACCTTGGGTCGGGCCACCATCACCATGCGGCGGAAGAGGGAGATGGCGACGGCTGGGCTGTGACGCGCGGCGTCGGAGAGGGCGCGATTCAGGTCGACGATGCTGCTGGTGGTGGGTCGGTGAAGCAATTCATCGAACGCGTGGTGGGCGTGGTGGCTATCAGTGCCAGCAGCAGCCGCTTCTTGTCGACCTTGCAGCTTCATGAGGTTGAAGCGGGAGACCTTGGTGCCGTCCGGGGCGCTGAGGACGCGGCGGGACATGGCCGCCGCCGCCGGGCCGAGCTAGTTGAAGGAGGAGAGATGGCGGAAATTGGGGAGGAAAGATGCAAGTTGCTCAGCTGCTGCTGCTGCTGCTGGGAGAGAGAGAGAGAGAGAGAGAGAGAGAGATAGAGCGGCATGTGGTGCGGGAATGGCGGAGGAAACAATCGGCGACGGCCGGCGAGGAGGTGGCCGCCGACTCGCCGAGGCCGGCCGGAGTTCCGCCACAAAGTTGGCTTTTTTTTTTCCAGAGGGTGACATGATTTATATCAGTAACACGTGATTTGTTATCAATAATATTGTTTCTCAATAACTTAACCGTGCTCCCCTCATTTCAAAAAACTCCATAAACTTGGACTTAAATCTTTATATAATTTAAGCACTTATAGGACATTGATGGTAATACACGATATTTTATGTAAAGGACACGAATTAAGATTTACCTGAAAACTTACTCTATCGCTACACAAGTCTTATTTGAATTACGCGCAAAATTATCCTGAGGCTGATTTAACCATCGTTATATCTGCGGTCTTACCGGGACTAGCAACCGGTCTAACCGCTGGTTCACCTGTGGTCTAACCGCCACCTGGTCTGACCGACTAGACAGTGTCGGTCTGACCTCACTACTCGAACCAAAATCCGATTTTAGCCACCGTCATTTCACAAAAGCAATTTCCCTTTCCTTTTTCTGTTTATGGGTAAATTAAAATAAAAACCAACCAAATGTCCATCTTTTCAAAAAAAAAAAAAGAGCAAGAATAAATCTCACAAGTTTATGAAAATAGATGGTTTTACAACCAAAGACTGTTTCTTGAACCATTGAAGAAACAGAAAGCAAAATCCCAGCAGTTTTAAAAATCGTTTTCTTTGGTTCAGGTTTTGTCAAAGTTTTACCTTTTTTTTAGTTATTTTCAAAACAGGAAGTTGGTGATCTGTAAAACAGGCAGTAGTATCAAAACTTACACCCTGATTGTAAGTGCTCATTTTTTATTAATCCAAAATCGCGTTAAGTTTCTTTTTACCATAAAAAAAAATCTTTCCAAAGAACTTTTCAGATAAGAAACTTTTTTTCTCAAATTTGTAAAATTCAACTAAAACACCTTTGTTCTTGTGACACCTAGAACAAGAAAGCACATCATCAGATTTCACAATATTCTCCATATGCTTAACACGATCTAAAGCATCTTTCAATTCATCTCATTCAAAAAAACACTTTGAGCAATTTTGAGAAACAAAAACATCCTTGTGTTGTTTAACCCTTTTTGCACTCAAAACATTGAACAAAGATCTTGCAAAAAAACAACTTTGTATTTTTTTTCCCAAACGTTCTTCATCAAAATCAACTCATCAACAACACGAATATGCAAAGCAAATCCAAGAGCAAAAGAAAACTCAAGTTTTTTAAATTTTTCAATCTCATATTCCAATTTTAAGCAATTAACGGAATTAACATCTCGTAAAGCATTAGTTTTAGAAAACAAAACTTCACGAGATTTGCAATCATCATTAGGAATCAAAGATTTTAATCTATCAATTTTAGCTTTTAGAATCTCAATAGTATGATCACTCTCATCAAGCATATAGAACATGTATTAAGTTTCTCAGCAAACTTGAAAGGAGCATGTTCTAATTGATCAGAATTAAGCTTTTCTTCACTATCACTATCAGATTCATCCACTTCAGAATTTGCATGCGAGCAACAAAAGCTAAATCAACAACATGCTTACTTTGCCATTGCTCTATTTTTCTTACTCTAATTAATTGTAATCTCAAGCTTCTATGAGTTCTCGAGTTAGCCTCTGCATGCAACTCTTTTTCTTCTCCTTCTTGTTGTTCTTCTTATCCACTTCCTCCTTTATTGCCTTCTTGCGGTTAGGACAATTGAACTTGATGTGCTTCAACTCTCCACACCCAAAAGCATTGAACGGGTCCACCTCACTTCCTGCTTTTTACTTTTTCAAAAGCCCGAGAAATTATATTAGCAACAAAAACTAAGTCCTCCTCACCAAGTTCCTCCCGTTGATCATCAGACAAAGCATTAAAAGCAAAAAGAGCCGACATAGGAGAAGTATCCAAAGAAGATCCAGATGAAGACACCAAGGCAACAAATTTAGAATTATTCCTTTTCAAAAGAATATTCATCTCATAAGTTTTCAATTTTTGTATAAAGAATATTCAAAGTTAAAGCGTTCATGTCAACCGACTCCTGGATAGATGTAAATTTTAACATTGCAAATCTTCATATCAAGATCATTCATAAAGTTGATGTGGTTTGGGATCTTAGAATATTTGCATGATGACTCTGGGCTAACTTAAATAAATACGAGCTTTTCTCATGGTTTTCGAAATTTTCTTTGTGACATCTTATATTAGTTTTGGAGAGGAAACTAAATGAAGCTATGCAGAAGGTGAAAACTTAGAGGGACAAATAGAATATAAGAACTGGGAGGCCCCAATCCAAAAGAATGAAGAACAACGACTTCAAAGATTTTCGCAAAAATTTTACCCTGAAAATCTAGTAAGTTACCGTATATAATTTATATATATACATATAAACTTTGTGTATGTACGTATACAAAGTTTATACATATAGATATAAAGTATGTATACACACACGTATATAAACTTATATATATATATATACACTTTTAATGTATAAAAAATCTCTACTACTTAAAAAATTGAAAACGTTTCAGTTGTCCGTCTTAAAATAATAAAAAAAGAGCGAACAAAATCTTCGCAAGGTCCGATTCCGCCACCACAGGAAACACGATTTGGATTCAAAATCGGAAGAAATTAACCCCATAAATGTAGCGCCCGTTCCGTCGTGGCGCCTAGCGGGAAAATTATCTCTTAAAAACCCTAATTGCGAAATTTGTTTCTTTGCTTGTTGTCTAGTGTCCGTGCCATCTCAAGATCTCAATCCGCGATCGATCGTCGAGATCAATTCCGAATCCAATTCCTTCCAAATCGAATCCCTCCGCAAAAGTCTAGTTTGCCTCCCCCGGGTTCGATGGGCCGAATTCCGCTCGGCCCATCTCTTCCCCGGCCCTCCCCTCTCTCTCCCGGGCGCCCCCTCTCTCTCTCTCTCTCTCTCTCGCTCCCTCCTCCCCCCCGGCGCGTTCCCCCCCTCGCTGCTCGCGCGTGCGAGAGCCGCGCCGAGCGCCTCTCTCTCCGCTCCGCCCACGCGCCGCGCGCGCGTGCGCGGGAGTCGCCCGCGCCGAGCGCCCCCTCCTCTCGCGCGAGCTCCCCGCTCGCAAAGCCGGCCCCGCGCGCCGCGTGGTTTCTCGCCCGAGCCGCGTCGTCTGCGCCGTCCGCGTCGCCCGGTCCCGCTGCCCAGCCGCGCCGCCCGTTGCTTCCCGCGCGCGCGTGCCGAGTGGCCGACCGCCTGGTCGCCACCGCCGTCACCCTCTGCCGCGCCAGCCCGCGCCTGTCGCCCGTGTCGTCGCGCCGCTCCAAACCATCCCACCGTCATCGCCGTCGTCATCCCCCGGCCCCCGCCACTCCGCGCGCAAGCCGCCAAGAGGCGGAGGCCGAGCTCTCCCTTCCCTCTGCCGCGTCGCCCCGCTCCCTCCTCCTTTTCCCGATTCGGCAAAGGGGCAAGCCCCTTTCTCTCCCTCCTTTTCCCCTTTCCTTCCTTTTTCCCCTCTCGCCGGCGTCACCTCCTGTCGCCGCTTTGGACGCTAGCCGGAGCGCCAGCTCGCCGGCTTGACCGTTCAATGTCGGTTTCCCTCGCCCAAACCGACAATACCGCCCATTTAAGCCCAAGCCCTCCCCCTCCAAACTCTCTCATTTTCGCCTCCGCGCCATTGCCGCCCTCTGTTTCGCCGTCGCCGATCGTCGTTGCGCGTGTCGGAGGAGCCGGCACGAGCAAGGACACGGAAGAGGACTTCGGCCGCGCCCTCTTCTTCCTCTTCCCCGGCCCGAGGCCGGAGAGATTACTCCCGCGCCGTCGGCCTCTCGTCACATCGCCTCGTCCCGCACGGTAGTGTCTCCCTCCGTTCTTCCTCCTCGCTCCATCTCCTCCCCTTAGATTTCGGTAGTAGCTCGAGTAGCCTCCCCGTAGTTAGCTGGCGCCGCCCCGACCGTTGCCATCGCTCGCCGTGTGCTCGCCGCCGTCGCCGCCCGAGCTCCGTAGCACCCGCTCGTCGCCGGCCTCGCTCGGCGTAGTTCCGCCCAATCCGACGCTAGCGTCGAGTTCCCGAAGCCGCGTAGATGCTCTCACCGCCGGGAATCGGCCCCTCGTGGCCTCGTCGCCGTTTCCCTCTTCCCTTGCCGCCGGTTGCCGCCGCCGCAATCCGCCGCCGTCGAGCAACCTCCGGCGAATCCGAGCCGTTGGCTCGTCTCCCCTCGTCCTGTGCAGCCACCCGGTGTGCTCGCTTTCGCCGGTATCGCCGTGGCTCGCTCCGCCGCTCGCCGCTGAAGAGGAACAATGAAGAACTTTGAACCGCAGATGCAGTGCATGGCATGGCAGTCAAACTGCAGAATCACAAAAGGCACAGACCAGAAAAGGATCTGGGGAGTTGGTGGCAGGTGATGGGGAAGGGATATAAGTTCTACAGGATCTGAGCAATAGAAGGATGGAAAAATCTGAACCGTTGAAAGATTGTAAACCTGACTTGAAGTGAAAGAGCGCACTACAAGTATAAATATTCAGCAGGGAAAATTCTTCTTGTATGCAAGAAACTTGGCCAAAGAAAAATACACGTAACTCCAAATACATGAAGCTAGCAACTGGGAAAAAACAAAGGGATATGCTACATGTCCACATAGGAACTGATTTGTAAATGTTTCAAATCCAGATGAATATAGGATAGTGATAAATGTTTTTGTTTGGATCATAGTATAAGGATAAGAGAGCAGTACTAACATTTCATAGAAAGCTAACAAAGGAAACAAAATTAGAGAACTATAATAGGAATTGGGTTATTTTTACTTCTCCGGAGTTCATATACAGTGTAACAAGAGTGCTCTTCATACCTACAATCCCCACATAAGAAACAAAAAACGATCCCCACAGCAGGCAGCCAGGCAGTATCATCAAAGAGCCTGGGATTTCACACAGGACGATATTTTTCAGGATAAACTTTATATGTTGAACGTGTCTCCCACATGAAACCAGCACAATCAGCAGCTCAGCCTACGACTCTTCAGGGGGAAGTTCTCTTGATTAATTTTAGAGAATGGAGAGGTAATCCCCAGCCTTGCATACCTGCTCTTTGTGAAGTAACTTAGTACAGCCACTCTTCTCCATATGAAGAAATAAATCATCCAATTCTTCTAGCAACCCTTGTTTTACAACATTTTCTATCATTAACCAGTAGGTCACAACATTTGTCACTAAACCATTGGTCGAGAGAGCAGCAAACAAATCCTCAGCGTCATCATTTCTATTCTCAATCTGTAAATCCATCAAACACGGTTCTGAACCATTGGAGGGAATCTGAGGTGCAACTATTTTGGCAAAGTACCAGACTGATTATGTTGCAAGTGCTAAATTCAAACCGTATCCCACTTAATCATCCTGAGATAGAGTTCTTTTGCAGCTACAGTTCTTCCAGCCTGGAATAACCCTTGCAGCAGCATCTCATATGTAACAATGCCAGGATTCACACCCTTGCCATCCATCTCTCTCAAAAGAGTAAGTCCATCCTCTATCCTACCATTTTGAGAGTAACCATTAATAATGGTATTATAGGTAACGTCACTAGGTTTTACCCCATTGAACACCATAACTCCAAGTAGTTTCATTGCTTCATCCATCTTACCATCTAAGCAATATCCATCAATGAGTGTATTGTATGTATTAGTATTAGGTTCAATACCTATGCGCACCATCAAGTCAAACAAGTTTTTGGCTTCTATAACCCTTCCTTTTTTGCATAGGTTGCCCATTATTGCATTGAAGAAAATTGTGTCAAGACAGATGCCGCGATCGATCATTTCGAAAGCTAGCTCCTCAACCTTGTCCCATTTGTCACAGGTACACAGGCCATGAATTAGGGTGGTAAAAACAACAATGTTAGGAGCAAGTCCTTCAGATTTGAGGCTGTTGAATTGAGACAAAGCATCATCCACTCTGCCTGCTGTACAAAGTATGTCTAATACTGTTCCATAGTTGACTATATCAGGGTTCAATCCTTGCTGCCTCATATTGCTAAATACAAGCAAGGCCTCATCTACCTTGTTATGTTTAGCATATGCGCCCATTATCATGTTAAAGATATGATGACCAAGTTGCATACCTTTCTTCATCATCAAATCCAAAAGATCATGCATCTCAACAAGAGCTCCTTCAGTAGCATAGCCATGAAGCAGAGTACCATAGGTAGTGCTATCAGGCTTGTGTCCCCTCTTGACCAAAGAATCAAAAATCTTTCTAGCTTCTGTGCTTTTCCCATTCTTGCATAGATAGTCCATCAGCGCAGTATAAGTAACGACATCGGGTTCAACACCATGTCTGCACATCTTTTTGAAAATCCCAATGGCCTCTTTGGGCTTTCCTGAAGAGCAATATCCATGCACAAGACTAGTATACATGATGCAATCAGGCATAACACCGTTCTTAACCATCCTAGTAAAGACTTGTGTGGCCTTGTCCATTGCTTGAGTCTTGGATAGGGCACTGATAATCGAGCTGTAAGTCACAACATCTGGTGATGGCCCTCGATCCAGCATTGCATCAAACAGGGAATAAGCTTTGTCCAGCTGACCCTCCCTAAGCAAGCCATTGATGACAGTGGTATACGCCACCACATCGAGTGGGCAGCGCCCTTTATGATCAGCCATGATATGGAGCAAGTCGAGAGCTTGTTGACTTGTCTTGTCATCACAGAGACCCTTGAGAAGAATGGTGTAGGAGAAGAGATCTGGCTTGCAACCTAGCTCGGGCATTCGTCGCAGCACAATGTCCATCGCATCGCTCGTCCTCCTGCGGTCACAGAGGCCCTTGAGAAGAGGACTGAAGAGGATTGGGCTCATCCTCAACCCCGTCGTGATGACACGGCCGACGGTGGCGAAAGCGAGGTCCAAGCGGCCGAGGCGGCGGCAGCAGCCAATGACGATGCCGTAGGTGGCGATATTGGGAGCCGCACTGGTGGCGCCGGCTCTGGGCATGCGGTTGAAGAGGGAGATGGCGACGGCGGGGCTGGCACGCGCGACGTCGGAGAGGGCGCGGTTGAGGTCGAAGATGGAGGCACGGTCGCCTCGCTTGAGCAATCTGTCGAACACCTGGTGTGCGTCCCCGGGCTCGGTCGCTCTCTGCCTCCCTCCTTGCTTCGTGCGCTTGGCCCCACCCCGTCCTCCTTGCTTCGTGCGCTTGGAGCTGGAGGCCCCAGCCCGTCCCAGCGCGCTTCCACCGCCGCGGACTCCCATGGCCAGCCTCTCCAACTCCGGCGACGCCGCTCGGCCGCCGCCGCCGCGTCGTCCAGAGAGAGAGGAGAGTTCTGAGCTGGTGGGCTGAGAAACTGGAATGTGGGGCCCGCACGTCAGTTCCCGAGGAGATGACCCAAATGTGGGCCTAGTGTTGGGCCGCACAGATCACCATTTCCGGCCCAATTAAAGGCGGCCCAAGTAAGGGGAGACACATCTCAGCACAAGCAAGAGGGAGGCTGCGGCGGCGGCGGAGGCGGAGGTGAGCATTGCAATGGCGACGGTGGCCGGCGACGATGGCGGCGGCGGCGGTGAGTTCTACCTGCGGTACTACGTGGGGCACAAGGGGAAGTTCGGGCACGAGTTCCTGGAGTTCGAGTTCCGGCCCGACGGGAAGCTCCGGTACGCCAACAACTCCAACTACAAGAAGGACACCATGATCCGCAAGGAGGTGTTCGTCTCCCCCTCCGTCCTCCGCGAGGCCACCAGGATCATCCACGAATCCGAGGTCCTCTTCTCTTCTCTTCTCTTCTCTTCTCTTCTCCCCACGTCAATCAATCATTCAATCTCTAGGGTTTAGATGGGGTTGGTGTACATACTACAGATTATGAAGGAGGATGACAGCAACTGGCCGGAGCCAGACCGCGTGGGAAGGCAGGAGCTGGAGATCGTGATGGGGAACGAGCACATCTCCTTCACCACCTCCAAGATCGGCTCCCTCGTCGACGTCCAGACCAGCAAGGACCCCGAGGGCCTCCGCATCTTCTACTACCTCGTCCAGGTCCCTCTACCCACCCTTTGCCTCTCACAAATCACTCAAGGATCCATTGCTAGCTAGCTCTCCATGTTTTACGCTACTTGAATTGGCGGCGCATACATAAAGCGCGTATGAGAGGTGAAATTGTTACCATATGCCTCATCAATTGCATCTCGTCTTCATCCATTCCATACCAGCAGTGTGTAAGATAAGATTGTGTGTTTAACTTAATCAGAATTGTTCACTTGTAGTTGTGGGAGGTACTAATGGCTCCATGTTACAATAGTGCTCAGAAGCATGAACTTTCTGTTACTATACATCTCGATGCATAAATTAACTTGGCATTAGGTTCATGTCTTGGAACTACATATAGTTAACTATTTGCTGGGTTGATAGAAAAACATCCATATTTGATCATGTTCACCTAGGTAGTGTTTGGTTGCTGGGATGGGATGGGATGGGATGGGATGAACCCATTTTTAGGGGTGTTTGGTTCAGGGGTGAGTGGGATGGGTTGGTCCCTACAGAGGAATATTCCTCTCAGATCCGGGACCAATCGGTCCGGCCAAAACTGGCGGACGAACTCGTCCCACCTGGGACGAGCGACGGCGTGAAACCACCGCTTTGCTCGCGCGCTCTTCCTCGGGAGACGGCGGCGGGCTCGGCGACGGCGGCGGTGGGCTCGGCAACGGCGGCGGTGGGGGGCTCGGCGACGGCGGCGGTAGATGGCTCGGGCGACGGTGGCGGCGGTGGGCTCGACGACGGCGGCGGCGGCGGGCTCGACGACAGCGGCGGCGGGGGGCTCGGTGGTGGCGGATCCATTGGTGGGGAGGGCGGCGGCGGCGGATCCGGTGGTGTGGAGGGCGGCGGCGGCGGATCCGGCGATGAGGAAGGTTGTGGCGACGGATCCGGAGGCGGGGAACTCGGCGGCGGGCCGACCGTGTGTGGTCGAGCTTCTCCGCCCGCCCGACCACGATGGTGGCCGTGCTCGCCCTCCTCTCCACCGGCCTCTCCCTCTCCCTCTCCCGCGCGGACCTCGCCGCCGTCGTCGTCGCTGAGCCGCGGCTGCTCTACGCGAAGGCCGACCGTGCGTCGTCGCGCTTCTCCGCCCGCCCGACCGCGATGGTGGTCGTGCTCGCCCTCCTCTCCACCGGCCTCTCCCTCTCCCTCTCCCGCGCGGACCTCGCCGCCGTCGTCGTCGCCGAGCCGCGGCTGCTCTGTGCGAAGGCCGACACCATCGCTGCCAGCGCTCGGTTGGGTCATCCCGTCCGTCGTCGTCGCCGAGCCCACCGCCGCCGACGTCGCCCGAGCCCGCCGCCGCCGCTGTCGCCCGAGCCGTCTACCGCCGCCGTCGCCGAGCCCCCCGCAGCCGCTCATCGACGCCATCAAGGAGGCCGGCGGCGACCACGTCTGGAGGTGAGGGCAGAGGCGGCGTCGGCCATGGTTGTTGCAAACGGCGTTGTCGGTGGTTGTAAACGGCGCTCATCCCATCCCTCCCTCGTTCCTTGAACCAAACAAAAAACTGGGATCATCCTATTCTACAAACCAAACACCCGAATGGAATCATCCCAATCCTCAAATCAGAGATGGTTTCATCCTATCCCACCTAGTCCCAGAACCAAACACACGCCTATTTACCTCATCTGAGTGACATTCTCTCAGTCTAGTTATGGTCTATAGAAGAGTATCAACAGCAACTCTGTCTGTGCTGGCGCTGAGCCGCGCTGCTGAAATCATTTGCGATGCAATAAATATCAACTCAATAATGAAAGTCGGATGATTGATAACGTTTTGTTTGTTTGTATATCAAAGCAACCAATCTGAGCAAGGAAAATAAAGGCAGATCTTGCCTTGCCTGGCCTGGCATTATATCTTTTTAAAAGTTGAATAGTCTCTTAAGATCAATGATGCCAGAATTCTCTGGAGGTATTGGGACCATCCCTTCCCATTAACGAAAAGGATGACAAGGTTCTTACCAGCCTCCTGACAACATTCACTGAGGCTTAATTAACTCCACCATAAGAATTTGTGTCTTCAGGAATCAAATTAACAGGTACCAGATCATATCCACCTTTAGTGATCATTGTTTGAAGGCACCAAACAACACAGCCCGAAACTCAGATGTTGACAGATAACACATAATGGCAGCCTGATAGTTATCATCATAAGTTTTGTTTGAGTCTATCGCTCCACTTTTGATTGCAAAGCAAGCAAAGTCTGCAGTGAAGGGCAATAACCTGTAAGAACAAAATGATTTAAATGGAACAAGATAGTTTAAACAAGAGTGAACTATTCCCAAGTATCAGTTTGTTTCTCGGCAGCCATACAGCCCAGTTTTTCTTTCAGTAGCTTTAGGGAAGATTTTTCCTGTGGATGCAATATATATGTTAGTATCCATTAATATCACTAAAATGCAGATCTTGTGAAAGTCATTGTTATTGAAAAATTGTGTTTTTTAAGAAACCATTTATCTGTAATGTCCTGGCTTTCTTAGTAAATCAGCATAAACATAGCTGGAGTCTTATTCTCAAAACCTGAGATAGTGCAATTAGATCCTTGAAATGTAGGAAAAAGATGAGACCTTTCGTTCAGGTTAAGACTAACAGCAACTCCCTTCTTCAATGGAACTAATGAATTGATATTGCTAACCTTACAGGCGACCTTAGATGCCAATGCCACATTGTTGCATTGCTGTCAATTAGTAGAATTTGTTGGTCCACTGAGGTTCCATAGAAATCTTGCAGGATGCTCTAGTGGTTACACCCTAGACAGACTCAATTGGCTTCACATATGTCCTTAGCATGTCCAGTCATTTTTGTAGGAAATAATTTGTGTTTGATAAACATCTATTGAGGGAGTGTTTGCTGCATCTGAATTAGTAAGATGTGTAAAAAATAATTTTGCCTGACTTCTGATGGCATTCATGCTTTCTGCAATAATTACACACATTCATGATTTGATCCCCATGGCAAAATAATGCCAAAATCACATGGTGACGACCTTAATCCTATGTCAGGTGTGCTAGGTATCATTCTATTGTCTATCCTTAATTTTCTGTTGATCAGTAGACAACTGTAAGACAATATTATGAACTGTACATCGCAGTTAAGGAACTGCTAGCAGTGTGTACATTCTAAATTTCTAGTTAAAGTGGTGGTGTGAAAGCATGTAATGAGTTGGATCTTCTAACGCTGTCCCGGTTTGGTTTAACTTCATACGAGGGAAACAATATTTTTTTTTGGTTCCACACTGACACAGTATGGCAAATCCATAGACAAAAGCTATTCATAACAACTTCTATTGTTTCTGTGTGCAGGATCTTAAGTGCTTCGTGTTTTCACTCATCAATCTCCACTTCAAGATCAAGCCCATTCAATCTTGAGCTCCTTTCAGTTTCTTAATTGTATTATGGTCAGTGTTAGAGAGCTCAGTACAATGTATGATCTGATCCAGTGAGTTAACCCTGATGACTTTTGGGTGGTTTGTGGACATTGAGGGTGGAAATCTTCAGACTCTGTTGCCTGGGATTGTTGTTGGATTGTGCAAACTTCGGGTGCTCATTACTCAAGTAGTGATATTTATGCTTCTTTACATCCTTTTGGCAGCCTTCCTGTCAGTGTCTATCTGCAGTAGTTTTGATCCATTATCCATAAGATTGAATGGTGGTTGTGTTTTAATTTGGCCAAACTGCACTGCTGAGAATGGGAGGTCTTGTGGCCAGCCACAAAGTGGGCTCTTTCAAGATAGAAAGTGCAGTTTCATTTTACTATTTGTAATGTGCACTTGGGATAATATCTGATCTCCCTGCACTTGATCCACTAGTAAAACTCATCTCTTCCTAAAGAAGAGGAGACCCTACAGTCTGAAGAACCTTTTTTTTTTTATTTGTGGAAAGCAGAACAGTGTGATTAAAGGCTCAGCCTGGGCCTATCAAGATTTAATCTTTAATCTGATACCCACTGTCTGCTTAATGGCATCTTAGCCTCTTGAGGAGTAATGTTGGGTAGGCAGCCTTATTTCTTCTCTCTTTTGGCTTTTGTAGATTCCTGTACCCTAGCTTACACAGGATGAGAGCTTTACTCCATGACAATTCTATAGGAACCTAGTGACTTTGATGCAAAGAGAAAAAGGTTAGGATCATCTGTAACTGTAAACGCATGAACATGATTATTCTCTCCTCCATTATTTCTTATGGAGCATGCTACTGTTTGCTAGTATCCATCTGCTCTTGAGACAAACAGTAACCAAGCTGCAATCAATGGTCATAGAGACAGCAGCAGTTAAAAGTGAGAGGCAAAATCATAGGAACTTGAAAAAGGATAGAAGAAGATGACACTGTATGAGCAAAAGTCATCAGATTTAAGGCCAAAACATTAAACATGCATGGAGGGACAAAGGCAAGAACAAAGATGATGAAATCTGGGACTCAGGTGCACCCAGGAAGATAATCAAGGGGAAACAAAGGTCAGGCAAACATGCAAGCATGCCTGCTTTTTTTTAGCTTAACCCCACATGAACTGGTCAGGAGGACATGGCCATGTTACCTGGGCTATTCATCACCTAAGCTTTTTGATCTTCTTTTTCTTCAATTACAATCTCACATAGGACAGATGGTCCAGCCATGGATTCATGCAGCCAAGCAAATGTGGATGAAAGAACACAAGATGCCAATTATCTCAAAAGGAAGCTAGATGCCGAGGTAGGGCTTTCTTTCATGTGCTATACATGCTGCATGATCTTTAGTAGCTTTGTAACAACCTTAACTAGTACTACTAGCATTTTGGACCACTAAATTTGTCCTCCAAACTTTCTCAAATGAAATTAAAAAGGAGAACAAACTAGTAATTCATGTGTGATTGCATTATAGGAAGGTAATTATCTAAACAAGTAAAGTTGGGGCAAAAGCAGGGGAATATATCATGCCACCACTTGAGCACTTTTAACTTCATGGGAATTTTAAAATACATTTGTTATGGGGGGTTTAACCGTTTGAATTCCGACATAAACTATATGATCATATATCAAACAAAAAAAAAGGGGGGGCACATATTCAGATCATTTTAATTCAACAAAAATGAATAGTGACTAATTATACTGGAGCCAAAGTGAAGTACAAGATGCAGCATGCTAAGCTTCAGCACGGCAGTAATTAACTCATCTATACTTAGTAATACAAGAAGAACATATATATCCTCACTCAGCACCACACAGGATTAACTAGTTACTACCAAATACATGTCATTACACGTATTTAGCACGTACGCATGCAGTACTAGTAGTATTATACCGTATTTATACGTATCTAGCTCTAGCTGTTGTTGTTGTTGGATGCAGGAGAGGAGGTGAGGAGGGCGATGATGTCGAGCGCGACGGAGCAGAGCTTGTTGAGCGCCTCCTCCCTCGCCGCCAGCTCCGCCGGGTACGCCCCGGGCCTCTGCCGCCGGAACAGCGCCTTGCACACCTGCGGGTATTCGGCGCCGGCGCTCACGTGCACCGTCGCCAGGTCGTAGTCCTGCTGCCCCATCGACTCCTTCGCCGCCGCCAGCGCGTCGCGCGCGTCGCCGTACTTGCCGGCGCACGCGCGGAGCAGCGCCTGCACGGTGCCGTCGCCGGCGGCAGCGGCGGCGAGGGGCGCCGTGCCGTTGGCCAGCGCCGCCGCCGCCTGCGCCGCGCCGGACGCGTTCGCCGCGGCCACGGACACGGCGATGGCGGAGAGCCCGCGCACGTCGGCCGTGGTGCTCGACGGGTCGGCGGCGAGCGCCGACACGCACACGTCGTAGTAGGCGGTGGAGTTGCAGGTGGCGCGCACCAGCGCCGCGGCCTGAGGCGCCACCGGCACCACGGGCGACGCCGGCGGCGGCGCGCGCTTGGCGTGGCCGCCGTGGCCGTGCTTGGACGAGGGCGGCCCTGAGCGGGAGCACAGCGTGGCGGGCATGAGAAGCGCCAGGAGGAGGATCGCCATTGCTGCTGCAGGCGCCATTGATGATGCCATTGGTACAGTTCTTGACTTGACCACTTGTATAATCTAAGCTAATTAAGCTAAGATCTATGGAGGTGTAGTGATCAAGCTAAGCTAGCTAGCTGATTGCTCGTGAGTGATGAGGCTGAGCTGCTGGTCAGTGAGCTGTGTGATGATGGATGATGGAATTAAGCTAGGCATGGGATGTATATATAGGCGAGGTGGCTGAGAAATTTGACTCTGAATTCTTTCTTAGTATGAGAAAGGAGGAGGAAGCTGAGGTGGTCAAGTGGGAGAGGAGTACTGTAGTAGCTTAGCTTAGCTAGCTAGTCCACTTAGCATGTTTATTATAGTTAGTGCGTTGTTAATTAGCAGCTAGTAATAGTAGATGCAGCTTTAGTTTAGGCGAAATCAACTTAGTTGGATGCTCCATTAATTTTGTTGCGTTTTCCTTCTTCTTTCCCGCCTACGTACGTGTTCACAAGTGTATACCGCGCGCGCGTGGTTTAATTTATCTGCTGCCTGCCGACTTAGTTTTGCTGGATTGTAATGGCTAATTAGTAATTGTCAAAAGTAAATTAATAATTAATTAATGCACGTATGTTGTAACACTTAGATTTCTTACAAATATGCAAGCTGCATATTTGCAATGCAGTGAGTAAACTTTAGTATTCATTTTTGATTGTTTATTACAGTAAGAAAATGTAAGTGCACGCACCTTTCTTAGCTAGCTTTTCTGTTCTTTTGTTAACATTCATAGATCGCTCGTGTTCCTCATGTGGATACGTATATATGTCTCTCCTAGCAAGCTTGATATATACTACTCCAGCAAGTTAATTAGAAGGAGAGCGTATACTATAAATGTCTGCTTTTTTATATAAAAAGCTTTATTGATATTAATTAGATAATTACTACATATGATAAATTTTATGTATCGTATGTGCGCTGTTGTTGTTTTAATCACGGAACAAATTGTGTTCAGCAAAATATAATCTGCTGAACGACTGATGCAATGATGCAAAGTAATTATCACCTAATTAATTAATTACGTGGTCCGCTAGCTTATTAGCTATATACATATACAGTACGTTAGACGACTGACATTTTCAGTCAGCGTCTGCGACGAGCTGGGAAACTATATATGTACTATAATTAATCTTGCATCAATTTGACAAGAACCAGTAGCTTTACAGCTCCAATTAAAGGAACTATCTAATTAATTATATACATCGATCCAGTCTGAACTGCAATAGTTTGATCTCCTTAATTAATTTAATCCGTTTCTCTTCTCCTCTCGATTGACCAGCGTGTTGACGCCTCCATGGCATGGCGAGACCGCGTCTATACGACGTGTGGAATGAACTAAGTATCATCTACTAGTACACTAATTAGCTAGAGCTGAATGGTAATTCAGAGCTAGGTAGCAATGCAATACGTACGTATATGGGTTGCTTCCTACCTGCTTCACTGAATGGGCCACTACCACTACCACTAGCGATCGACCTATCTAAACAAGCCTTTGACTATTGCTTGCTTGCTTAATTGTTAATGCTTCTCTGTTGCAATTTGCTAGTGGTGTTGGTCTCTCTCTCTACTCTCTAGTGGCATCCGATCGGACAAAACGCGTCCTGTTGCTGCCTGCTGCTAACTCTGAATTTCTGATGGAATTGGCTGCAGAGATATTAGTCTATGTTTGTCTGGCAGATTCCGGTACGTAGCACTCCTCCAACAACAAATTAATGAAACAACGACTTGTGAATTTCTGTCAACCAGCAGCTGAAAATATGCTGCAACATGGACCACCAAATTCTATGCGTGTTTCCATCTTGTGTGGCTACCCCTTCATCGCTCCATCGCCATCGTCGTCTCTCTTGTCCTCTGCAAACAGTAGCATCGTCATCATATTGTCCTAGAACGACTCTGACTTGTGGCTTTTTGCAGAAATAAAGAAAGAAAACCAAAGTCTTAAAGCTATATACGCATGATCACTTGTTGGGTATATCTCCTTGATCAAAACAAGACGGCCGCAAGAAAACGAAACTGAGTTGAATCGAATTGAATTGAATTCTCTAGAACTGATGCACGTAGCTAGGTACATTATATTACACGCTCATGCATATGCTAATAATTAAATTAAAGCTAATTGACTGATTAATTAGCCTGATGCTTAAACTATTGGGTTAGGCGCCCCCTTAACAACAACTTCTCGATCGATCGATCGATCATTACTACTCCTATACTAAACACGCGCAAGTACACACTTTTGACTCCATTTTGATCGATTAAATAGGTAGATGCATAGCTGTACCTGCACTCTAGTATCTTGCTTTCCACCTGCAGTCTGCAGATCGATCGAGTTGCATGCGTGGATATGTATGCTACCTTAATTAGATAGCTATCTGTTTTGCATTGCAGCCGTCGATTCGTCCAACTCCAACCAACGGCAGCAGAAAAGTAGTTCTTGCAACTGCTGCATGCAGCAGCTGGAATCGATCGATTGATGGCCTGATCAATGATCAATCGCACGTTCGATCATATACTAATTCTACCTGCCTAATTATTTTGTCTGAACCGATCGATTAATTAAACTTAAAGTAATTCAGCAATGATGGAGAAAGAATGTAACTGTAAGCTGCTTGTTTTCTCTGAATATATTGCCTCCAGGCTGCAGGTGATCAGTACGTATAGTTTCATTATTGATGAGGGGGCTGAATTATTAACATATCGATCAGTGTGAGTATTAATTTAATTACCACTCAATCCGGGTTCCTGGAATTAAAGTTTTAATTTGACAGTGTTCCATTCCCTCTAGCTATATGCCAGATGATTTGCACGTGTATTGATTGATGTTAATTAATTAGTGAGTGGATGTGTGGGTATGTACTGACGAATGCATCAATCTGTATTTGGCACTGAAGATTTTGCAAAATTTTTAACTCATTCTGTCTATTTTCCAGGTGGCCTATATTTGCAAATAATGTGAGATAGATGCTACTCCTAGTTATTAGTGGGTGCATTTTGGAAGTGTGTTACCCCTTATTGCTCCACTTAATTTCCCCTTTGTTTCACTTTCTGCCTATTTTATTACGCTTTTTCTTGATCCTACTGTTGTAGACCAAATATATACATTAGCAGATAGTCATCTTGTAGCTACCGTATGCAAAGATTTGGTGGTCTTAATGTATAATGCATGTTGGATTAGCTTGATATTACAGTGTTAGTGTGTTTACTAGTGCTACTGATCATCATCATGCATTCTGCTATTTCACTACACAGAATTAGACCAGTATATGAATAACATCACACCTTATCCAATAATCAGTCCACTTGCAGGCAGCACTATCCTCTAGTCGATCAGAAGCCACTATCCAATGCAAAACTCATCTACTCTACTAGTGCCTGCACATTTCATCCAATCTTCTCACAAAAAGTGTTTTTTAAAAACACAAAAATCTAACCTAGTCTAAATATCTGTCTCCCATTTTAAATTGTGGAGGAATGTCACTGCACATTTGATCTAATCCGCTCATAATATAGTGTTTTCTTAAAACACGAACACACAAAATTTCTAGAGGTAGTTCCCTGTGTATTCCCTTGGAATTCCAGCCAATTCTTATTATCCCCAAATTTCTATTCTATCCCATGTAACCTATTTCGTAGTTGACCGTTTAATACCTATCGAACGGTTCATTTTGCCTTCATGTAGGAGTATGAAAGAAGCACACTAAATTTGTGGAGTATATCGCTTAAAAAAAACTGTGGAGTATATTGTTCGAAGTGTAAAAAAGTTTATTGTTCAAAGTGGAGAAGTTTTTTTACGTGACTATTATATTTATATGTTTACTGTGTGAGGTATTATATATGTAAATATTTTTTAGATCATGATTAAAAAAAATGCAATTTAAATTTAAATTTATTATTATAACAAATATTTTATGTAGCATATTTTATCTAAAGAAATGCTATGCAAGACTAAATATTATGTTTACCGTCTTAAAAAAATGCCACGAATACGTTCTATGGATATGTAATCTTATTAAAATTTCTATGTAAAATGATTCCTCACGCAACAATCTCATGAATGAATAAATACTGTAGTTACACAACAAATTATTGTGTTTCCCACGATAGATTTCAAAAAATTATACACTCCTTTCATGATTACTAAGGGTAAAACTGATATATTACACCTATTGAACTTTCAACTGACGGTCAATTGCAATAAAGAGTATGAAAGGGATTAAAATCAAAATTCTTAATTAGGGAACAAAACTAAGACACATTGAAAGAATCATCTAAAATTTCAGGGGCATACACATAATTTTGTTAAAAAGGTAACCTAGGGTAAAAATACTACTACCTTCGAACTACTTGTCAGCACATTTTTCTTTTTACAACTTGAAACTATCTGTACCATATTTATTATGAGAGGAAATATATAACAATGTCAAAATACTCGCATATATGATATATCCCCAAGTAGAAGTAGGCTGGGCCGAGCCGAGAAGGCCCATGTAATATTGGCTAATGGTTATTGGGCCTCATTTGGGCCCACTAGAAAGCCCACATACAGAGACCCTCATCGTCGTCGATCGTCTAGTAGAGCGGGGAGAGCGGCGGAGGAGAGGCGCGCCAAATCCCCCTCCCATTTCCCGCCTTCCCCAATTTCTCCCAAACCCTAGCTAGCCTTTCCCCAACCTAGACTCCTTGACGCGGCGAGGAGGAGGAGGCGGCGATGCGGGGCGGCACGGTGCAGATCAACTGGCACGAGCAGCAGCCGGTCCTCACCCTCGACTTCCACCCCGTCTCCCGCCGCCTCGCCACCGGCGGCAGCGACCACGACATCAAGGTCTCTCTTCACCCACCTCCCTTGCTCCACCCCCCTGCCCGATTTGCTGCTCTCGATTTCTCGTTGCGGTTTGGATGGCTTTCTGGCCCATTTCGTCATGGATTATAATATATTGGCTTGCAGATCTGGGTGATTGCGTCGGATGATTCCGACAAGAAGCTCCCCACTGCCACCTACCACAGCAGCCTCTCCTCCCACAGCTCCGCGGTGAACGTTCTCCGCTTCTCGCCTTCCGGTAAGCGCTGCTATGAATTGAGTTTAGCACTGGCAATTTTCTGAATGAAATGCTCTCTATATGTTGAGAAATTTCTACATACCTAACTAAGCAAACCTTTTCCGTTCGGTTGTTCGCAGGCGAAAATCTTGCGTCTGGTGCTGATGGTACGTTTACTTTAGTTTTTCCCCCTAACGGACGCAGGGGCTCTATCAATTCAATCAAGCAAGGAAAGGATTTACTAGTCCTGCTGGAGTGTTTGAATTCCACTAAACAAACTGATAAATAAAGGCTAATTATGTTAAACTGCCACATTATTTTTTGCCCCACCTGCGCGGAAAAATTCATGGCCATGAATTTATTACAATGGGAATAAACTGTTGTAATTAAAACCGTCTCCATTTTAGCTAGACAATCAAGTAGATTTGTTGTGTCCTTGCTATGCATTTAGGCTATTATGTAATTGACAGGTGGTGGTATTATCATCTGGAAGTTGCATTCCACTGATGACGGCGAGGCTTGGAAAGTACAAAAGACATTATTGTGAGAGCAAACCTCTGAAAAAAAATAGAGAATTATTTGAATTAGCCCATTTTATTGTTGACACTTGCTTAGCTGTATTCTCCTAACTTATCACATAGGTTCCATCACAAGGATGTTCTTGACCTGCAATGGTCCCAAGATGGCGCATTCCTTGTTTCTGCTTCAGTTGATAACAGTTGCATTGTATGGGATGCTATTAAAGGTAAACCCTAAAACAAGTGATCCTATGACTGTAGCACCATGTTTCCTCTGTTATACTGATTTGTATGCAATTTACTTCTCAGGTTCGGTGCAACAAAAGTTGGAGGGTCATTTGCATTATGTTCAAGGCGTGGCATGGGATCCTCTGGGTCAATACATTGCTTCACTGAGCTCTGACAGAACTTGTAGAATATATGCAAATAAGCCCCAAGGCAAGTCAAAGAACACAGATAGGATGAACTTTGTTTGCCAGCATACACTGGTGAAGGCCGAACATCAAAATCATGATGAGTCCAAGGTTTGTTTAATGTACTCTGTGGCATTCTTTGGTTATTCGTTGCTCTAAATTAGCTACCTTTATCTTGCAGCCACCAGTTAGAGCTCATTTGTTTCATGACGAAACGTTACCATCTTTCTTTCGGAGATTGGCATGGTCGCCTGATGGATCTTTTCTGGTACTGCCAGCAGGTATAGAAATTTCCCGTTAGTGCTAGACTTCTAGTCGGCAATACCTAGTTGCTCTGCTAATTTCTATAACGCAAAACAGGTCATTCTAAAGTGCATTAGTTATACGGTCTTGCTGCATGTAATATAGTTCATCTGCAGTCAGTCCCTGTCATCATACCTTTTATCCCATCAACAAGTTCATTTCCCTAATTCACCTTTTATCTTGATCAGGTTTATGCAAATATTCATCTGAAGTGATCAATACAGCTTATGTAATGTCAAGGAGAGACTTGTCAAGGTAGAAGCACATTTAATGCTTGAAATAACGATGACCTTGCCTTATAACGTTTAATTTGCTCCTTTACATTTCAACCATCATTACTGGCAAAATATAAAGTTTTTCAGATGTTTCACAATTTAGAAACTCGTTTGTTCAGGTGTTCCCTGAATGGTTAAATCAGCTAACCTAAGCTCTAAGCTTGCACACACAAACATAGAATTCTTTATAGGTAGTTTTATTTTTACAACAGGATACAGTACCATGGTACTAAAAGCTGGAACTAGCAACCTCAGTGGTTCGATTTGCTCCGAGTACAAATCACAAAATTAGACCGTGGCAACTGGCTGAATCGGATGGTTTCCTTGTGAAACTGGTGAACCAGGACATCCTAAGTTGGGGGGTTCTTGCACAGGAACAAAAGACATGGGTCATTGAATTGAAGGCCCAATGGTTGACCTTGTATTTTAAGGCCCACTAACTTCAATTATACGTGAAGAAAGTGTGGGGTGGGGATCAATCCTTGGTTTTGGCGGGGGTGAATGAAACCTTCCTTTGCTGAACATAGATTGGTTATTCCACCAGAAGGTAAACCTGGAGATTGAGCATTCAATGGCCAGTCCAACATTCTTTTACTATGATAAAAACATGCTATTCCCTACAGATGTTCTTAGCTGATAAAATGGTTCCACAGGAACTTATGGTATTTCATTTGTCCCACTTAATTTTCAACGTTTCATTAATTATATGTCAGAAAAAACATATACTTTAGCATATAACCTGTATACCATATATTTAGTTCTGTATTTATTTTAGGATACCAACCTTGTTTTGGTGCTACAGGCCTGCGATACAACTCCCTGGCGCAAGTAAAGCAATAGTGGCAGTGCGCTTTTGCCCGGTTCTCTTCAAGCTGCGTGGTTCCCAATCAGGTAGCTCATTTTCTTTTCAGCTTTACCTTGCTTGAAGGTTCTAATTGTTTTACTGATCTCTTAAAATGACGCTGTACTATGGAACTGTTGCAGATTGTTTCTTCAAGCTTCCTTACAGAGTTATTTTTGCTGTTGCTACTTTGAACTCCCTGTATGTTTATGACACTGAAAGTGTTGCTCCTATTCTAATACATGCTGGTCTGCACTATGCTGCAATTACGGATATTGCATGGTGAGTTTTACAATAGTTTTACTCCTAGCCTTCAGTGAGCAGAGAAACTTGTCTTACTGGAACTAACAGTTCACGTTTTCTGTTTAAACCTTTTCGCTTTTTTGATAGGTCTTCTGATGCCAAGTACCTGGCAGTGTCATCACGAGATTGCTTCTGCACCATTATTGAGTTTGAGAATGAAGAGTTGGGGCTGCCCTATAATCTCTCTGGTATCTCTTTGTCTTCCCTTTTTTTATTTTGTTGGGTGTGTTTATTTAAACTTTGTTGAATGGAAAATTTATGTTAGTATCCAAAATTGGATCATAATATTACTTGGTTGAAGTTATTACCATGTATTATCAAGTAATATTGGTGCCTGCCTTTTCTAGAGCTAATGGGTGGATTATGTATATGTATCAATTTTCCAATTTGTTCTGCTTACCATCTTCTGTCAAGATGTGTTACGCCAGTCAGGATATAAATAGTTTTAATCATATATCTTAAATGGACTCACTTGTTAATAGAAAATGGATATTTGGTAGTATGTTCACCTCTTGAAAGATTATTAATATTTGGTCCAGCCAGACTCATCAGAGCAGACTTCTTTAGGTGACTGATAACTATTTTACCCATTCTGCTGTTAACTTGTAGTGGCACTTTCATTTGCCTGTGATGCAACCTCATGGGGTTCCTTGTTTTCTGATGTAACTCAAAGCAAATAATGTGTTGCTAAGTAGGATGATCTCTTTGATTGCATCAGGATATGATTGTTTTGTGTTCCTAGTACTAATTCAAAGCTACCATTGAAGTATGCATAGCAAATCTTCAATCTGCTTGTTTTCGATGAATAGCATAAGGCCTGCTATGAATTTATTAATTGTAGTTCATGCTGAGCTAAAGTACAAGGATTGGATCTGTGAAGGCTTGGTTGTTTGCCACGATCATTGTTTCTAGTTTACTGTTTTATTACATGACAATTCTTCAAAATCCTAGGAACAAAGGAACTTGATGAAGGGAATACCAACTGTGAGAACATGAAGCCATTAAAGGTGGACAGTATGGAAATTGATGCTGGTTCCAGCAAAGCTAAGATAAAAGCCAGTTCTGCAGCCGTTGAAGTGACACCATCACCACCAGTGCTGGCCCAGAACAATATATTGAGTAAGCTTAAGATTAGTTACTCCACTAGTTTCCTACCTCATGAATTTCGACATCTGCAGTGATCCGCAAATAGTGGAAAGTGCTTTTAGTTTACTCAGTAAATAAATTTAGTTTGTGGCTGTATCTGCTTCTTGGATGTGCTCGCTATCTTTGTTTACTTTTTTTTCCCTCAAGACACTTTCCTTACACGATTTATTAATTGGAAACTCACAGTGACAAAGGACGTTGCTGAAGGAAATGCGACAAGTGAAAATGACAGGCCTTCAGCGGTGGACAATATGGAAGTTGATGTTGGTGAAAACAAAGCTAAGATGGAAGTCACTCCTGTCGCTGTACAAGTGACAGCGCCGCCAGTGTCGACCAAGAACAGCGCATCAAGTAAGCCTACCAAGAAGCGAATTACTCCTATTGCAATCAACTAAGTAATGCAAAGTAATTAGGACCTAGGATTATGATATCTTCTGTAGTGATAGCAAGTACAAGAATTTACATTTAGGTCACCCTGTAAAGAAATTTATTTTGCAACGCGTGTTCAACTTGTGGCCTAACCCCAGAAACTCCGGTTCTGCTAATGGCACATAGTGGAAGCAGTTATATGGACACAGCTTGTGTCAGTGAGCACATTTGGTTATAAATCAACTTGCAGATACCAGATGTCTCTATTTATATTTGACAGCCTTTTTTTTTACCAATTTCATTAAAGAATTTCATTCATTTCAAATGCTGATAGCAATAGTTACACTTTCCATTCAACCAAATGGGGTCTGAGACTCCCTTATTTCATTCACACCAAAGAACATACAATCTTATCAAAATAATCAAATCACACAAGTGTAGGGATAACTTTACCGTCTCAGCTGAAGTAGCTTTCTTTAGAGCTGTAGTAACACTTGGGCATGCAGACTCATCTTGTCAGGTCTTGGTGATGCGAGTCTTTGATCTTTGATCTCCCTTTTCCTTCCTGCCTTCCTCTTCAAACCTGATGTCCTCATCTTCTGAAAGGATCTCGATCTTTTGCCCCTGAGGCCCTGATACAATCTTCTCATCGACATGGATGTGCTCCGTGACATTGATGAGCTCTGCCTTGTTCTCTGCTTTGCCTTCCTGCTGCCTCCTGTGCCATGACCAAGGGGTATGATGGCTCCCTGCTCCGGCGGCGCTCGACGACTCGCCGGCGACCTCCTGGAATTTGAGGTCCTCGTCGATGGACAGCACGGTGGCCTTGGCGCCGCTGGGGCCTGACTCAGTCGCCTTGTGGACATGGACATGGCCACTCAGGTTGTGCACCTCCGCCTTCCTCTCCGTCTCCCTCCTCTTCTTGTGCCAGCAGAAGAGGGCGGCGAGGCATGCTAGCAACAGGAGGCCGCCGAATGAGACGAAGACGACGATGATGACGATGTGGGGTGGTGGGCTAGGCGGAGGCGGCACGGGTGCTGGTGGGCTGATGTGGGGCGGGGGCGGTGCTAGTGGGTGAGACGGCGGTGGTGGTGCATAGGGGCGAGGAGTTGGTGGAGGCGGTGGTCGAATGGGCGGTGACGGTGGGGGTGGAGCACGGCGTGGCGGGGGCGGAGGTGTTGCTGGTGGGGGTGGAGCACGACGAGGTGGTGGTGGTGGGGGCATTGATGGTGGCGGTGGGGCACGTCGTGGGGGTGGCGGTGGCAGGGCGGGTGGAGGGGGAGCACGGCGTGGGGGCGGTGGGGCTTGAGAAGGCGGTGGCGGTGCACGACCGGGTGGTGGTGGAGCGCGGCCTGGAGGTGACGGGGGTCGGATGGGCGGGGCAGGTGGTGGCGGGAAACGCTGCGGGGGTGGCGGGGCTTGAGGGCGCGGTGGCATCACCGGTGGCTTCGGAGCATTGGGGTTTAGGGGAGCATAAGGGTTGGGATTGGGAGGGTAGAAGGGAAAGGGGAAGCCGAAGCCAGGAGAGCCAGGGTTGAAAGTCATTGCTATGGAAATGGAATGCTGGTTGCTGTAGAGAGGGGAGTGAGGTGTGGTGGTGAGCATGCAGCAGTGTGGTGTATATATATTGCATGGGAATGGGTTGTTGGTTGCGTTTGCAAGGGAAGCAAGTGATGGGATGGAGTTGGCTCATATGCTACGGTTTGAGCAGCCGGACTACGTTGCTTCAAATCAATGCCTTCCTTGGCATCAAAGCCCTAGCTAATTCCCATTTCTTTCTCACTACTGCTGCTTGGGAATTGGGATGGATGCATGCATGGCGTAGCACAATGGGCAGCTCTTCTTCTGTTGCAGATGGATGCCAATTGAACGACACATGTTGCAACAGGAGATTGCTAGCTAGTAGCTTGTAAGCGATCGATCGAGTGAGTTTTGAGTTGCATTCCACAATTGTTTTTTGAGTGTGTTGCAAGGCCATCTTAGTTAATTAGCTCGTGCCACTAATTTAGGTAAAAAGATCGATCGATCGATCGATCGGATCTATAGAAAGATATACTTTTCGATCCTTGCTCAATCATCGTTGCACTAATCTGATGTTACACTAGACACATAAACAAGCAGATCAATTGATGGATCTCCAACGTAGCTCGTAAGATAAGCAAGTGCACACACGCTAACTAGCGAATACATAGATGCTGGACCTTTTTCTCTATGTATTCCCTCCATCCCAAAATATTTGACGCCGTTGACTTTTTAAAAAATATTTGACCGTTCGTCTTATTTAAAAAATTTAAGTAATTATTAATTCTTTTCCTATCATTTGATTTATTGTTAAATATACTTTGATGTATACATATAATTTTACACATTTCACAAAAGTTTTTGAATAAGACGAACGGTCAAATATGTTTAAAAAATTCAACTGCGTCAAGTATTTAGGAAAGGAGGGAGTATGTTTGTGTCTGTCATCTACTTTTTTTTTACGGGGTGTCTGTCATCTACTACTCATACTACATGCTATTACGACGTGAACAGTGACAAAGCGATGGATCTTTCGATCTACAGAAAGAAAGATGCGGTTGCATACATGGCCCAATTAACAATTGTCCGGCCCGACCCAATTTGCGGTCAAGCAAGTAGGCAAACAAGCCCATAATGCAAAAGGCCGGCCCGGAAATGAGACAGATCCAGCCGCTAGCCTGCACACCTCATCTCTGAATATTTTGCTATTTGCCATGCCCGAATATTTTCGATACCATGCATCTTTCTGATTTTCAAGAGATCCCGTTCTCTAGCTACCATTAAGTTTCAAGTCGAGTGGTCACCGCTACACAAATGAGAAATACTAATCATTATTTTTTTAGATAATGGAAATGGATTATAACAGAAAGAAAGTACCGAGTATTGAGTGACAAATCCTAGTATATTCCCCTTTAGTTAAAAATTTTAATTGTTATGAAAAAAACCCTCACTAGATAGAAAACATGCGGGCTAAATTAATGATTCTGTCATGTGTATACGTATGAGTGTATTCTTGTCACACTGGCAAGGTTTGAGCTTTATATATATGGCTAATAAGCAGTAGAAAAATGGATGATGCAAAAAAAGTATAATAGGTAAAAACCTTTTATATGTGTATTATTCATGGTTTAAAAGCTAATGCTGGAAAATAAATTATGATGAAAAACCAAAAATCAACTGTAGAATTAAATTTTAAAATTCAAATTTAACAATGATTAATAATAAGTCATAGCAAACGATGACAGCATACATTAACATCGATCAGCCAAATATGAAAAGGAAAGCCGAAAAGGTACGGTACCGCATAATTAACCAACAGGAACACAACAAGTTCATCAATGAGTGATATATATAGCAAGAAAAGAATATGTTGTACATGTATATTTCCAGTTTGTGTGGGTGCAGTACAGTGCTTCGAAAGGATAATTAATTGAATGGCATGCATGTGTACCATGGTATCTAAGTAAGTATATATAAAAAACAATTGGATCGATAGGTACAAATAAAGTGCAGCACATATATTCTTCTTCAGCTTCCTGCGGCAGCACTATAGTAGTACTTTCCAAGCTCACTATCTACAGTCGACTGATTGATATATCAACGGTATGTCGTACCTTCTTTTTATCAATGCAAAGCCAGGCATGCATTTTTGGACTCTCCCAAAGTTAAGGCCACAAAAAGTACATGTACTACACTTCTCTCTGAATTTGGAGTATGTATGAGCAGTAGCATGCATGGGCTGGTGCAGCAAATTATGCCGACCGTTTGGAGAGCTTTTGACAGCTGATTCTAGCTCTTGTAAACATTCTAGACTCTCAGATTTTGTAGCTATATAACCTAGAAAATTATTTTACTGTCTTAAAATATAAATCACCTACTGCTATGAATTTGAACAAATCTATGTCTAGATTTGGTGATGTCCCATCTAATACTAGGTTACTATATATTGGGGCGGATAGAGTAACTAGTAACAAGAAGTAAACAGTGGTGGATCTACCATGGGGGCGGCGGGGTCTCGAGCCCCCACTACCAATTTTGTAACCATGGGAGTCTCCATTAAGCCTCTCCTGCTAATCCTTCCTAGATCCGCTTTTGGAAGTAAGGGAACCTAACTCTACTACGATCTGTTTGGCTTGAATTAAACTCCATCTCCACCTCTTCTGGAGCTAAAGGCTTGCCAAATGATCGATCATACAATTTCAGGTCCACCTAAAAAGGGAGCGAGGCAAGCTAAAGTGATATGAAAAAATAAATTAGAGGGTGGAACAGGTTCAAGTCGTTCCACAAATTATGTTATATTTATAAATTAGAGCCCTGTCAAACATGTCCTACTTCTCAAAATTATGTTCCATCTCCCCCAATCAGAGCCTAGTAAATGTAGCTAGCTAGGAGAGGTGTTGCGAGCACAACGAAATACATTGAAATGGAATGCTCGGCTGCTAGCGCTGCTGGCATGCAGTTTCAGGTGAGTGATGACTTCCGTTGAGACACAACATTTAGCTACTCCAGTTAGTCGTTTGCCGCCCTTTTTGCCCAAACCATGCATGCCACGCTAGCTAGCAACACCGGCCTTCTCTTTTGGGAGCACCCGGCCCTTTGCTTAATTTGCAGTTTGCACACCAGCAGCCAATGATCCTTTTTTCCTCCTAGCTATACTTAATATACTCTTCAAGTCTTCATTCTGATCGTTTGAGGACGATAAACCATGAAAAAGTGATAAAATAGTTTACAACTAAAACATACATATCTACTCCCTCCGTTTCACAATGTAAGTCATTCTAACATTTTCCATATTCATATTGATGTTAATTAATCTAGACATAAATATCTATATTAATTCATTAACACTAATATGAATGTGGAAAATGCTAAAATGACTTATATTGTGAAACGAAGAAAGTATGTTATAATTACCGGTTTAAAAGCTTATACTGAAAAATAAGCGATGATGAAATAACTCTAAAATTAAATTCTAAGATTTAAATTTTAGCTATATAGCTGATAAGCTAGCTAGCTAGTAGCTTCTTGCAGGATTTTTTTTTTCACTATGAATTTATACTAACAACAGCATTTAGATTATCATATATTTACCATATAGATCATGCAGAGACTGGATTAAATTCCATATTATCGATAATACTGAATAAGTGGCCAGTGCCAATGAATTAATATAACAACACGGTTTATGATCACCAATGCAAAGCTAGTGTACTTCAATTAATACTACTATTATATTACTACATATACTTTTTTAAAAAATATATATATTGATGAAAAAGTCAGAGCAGCATTTTGAGAATGTATGTATGTACATGAGTATATGCTTGGCGTGTAAACACACACTGCAGCCGAAAATGGAGGAGGCAGGCATGGCATGCCGAAATTTATGAGTTAGAGAGAGAGCTAGTAGCTAGAATCCAAGTGGTTGCTGAGACCTCCGGCAATCCATATGATCGATCAAGCTGAGCATGCAGCCGTATATATGTCTGCTTGATCGCCCCCATACATCTTACGTACATGACCGTTGCCGTATATATATATATATACATCGATAATATATATATATATTGTGTGGTACAATAATGCATGCATGCGTGACATGCCACCTCAACTCACTAACCGGGTAAAAACCTGGTAGCTTCACAAGGTGATGGACTAGAAGATCTGGGTTCGAAGCCTCACCCATTCTAATTATTTGATATTAGGTCTTTTCTAATATTTATAATTTTTTTTACTAACTGGATAAAAACGTAACATTATCTGGTTCTCGACATATCAGTGGAATTTTAGTCTTTTATATGAGATAGATCACTAGTAATGATTCAAGAATAGTACATTACGAGATGCACTTGATAGTACAATGGTAAGGAGTATGTGCAGTGGTAAGAGGTATGCAATTTCTATCCTAAGGTCTCGTGTTTAATTCTTAACATGCTCGTACGTTATTATCTATATGGTTATCCAGTTTTTGCTCGTATGATATTACATATATACGGTTATCCAAACATCGTCATCGCTGCCACGCTCATCGCAGCATAAGCATCATACAAAATCACATAAACCCTTCCAGTCACATTTTTCTCTAAATATCTCTGGGTACCATCTTAAAACCCATCATAAATTAAATAATCTTGTAGAATAAAGGGTGTACATACGTACACGCACCACAGTGGAGAAAATACGTAGTATATGTACGTGGTATTATATATGTATACATACGCTGCGCGTGACCCAGAGAGAGACAGGACCACATAATAACTACTTACGTTACGTACAAACAATCAACACATGTGGACGGTCGACGCCCATGCGCGTAACATTCAAAGTGAATTAATTTCTTTCCTTTTTTTACAACAAGTGAATTAATTTCTTACTTACTTGTTACGAAGTTATAGTAAAGGAAAAAGTCCAAATACTCCCTTAAACTTTGGATGGAAATCTATTTAGTACCCTGAATTAACTTTAAAACCTGACATCTAATCCCCTAAATTTTGTAAAACCGTTTATATTACCCCCTAAAGTGGTTTTGAATGGTGGTTTTGCATATTTTGGAAGCTTAAACGAACAACTTTGAATAACTATTATAACATATCTGTGTATCATCAGTTCTAAGTCAT